AGCTATGACAACGCTCACTCGTGTACGTACGACTATAAAACTGTCGGCAGGGAGCAGTTGCGTAAAAGCAACCCACAGGTTTTTAAAAAATTTTTTAAACAAATTTTTCAAAAAAATTTTTTCTTTGAAGGTAGTGTCCGAAAAGATTCAACCAATCTGAAATGGCTGTATCTTTGTGCTTTTGGATTCTCTCGGTTTCTTGGCTTAAAAAAGACTTGTGTGAATAATATCTCTCTCTGTTTTGGATATATAAGGCTTGTTGGCAACAAATCACACCAATCATTTTTTATATAAATATACAACCACAAAAATATATCCTTGAAGAATTGTAAAAGAGCTAAAAGTACTTGGTTTTTTTTAATTTTTAAAAAGAATTAAGAATGGGGTTGTTTAAATGGGGTTAGGTTTGCTTCAGCTTTACCATGATTGGCGTCAGTTTTCGCCCAAACGGCCCTGGCCCAGCTCCTGGCGGAGCTGACCTGACACTGTGTCAGCATTGTTTGTAAATAAACATTTTCACTGATACCTGTAGCCACACCGGCTCCACCATGAGCGGCGCCACGTCATTTTTTCGTTTTTGGGCTGTAATTGTTTAGACAATATTAATTAATTAAAAAACAAGTACTTGAGAGAAAGCGGTACTTTTGTAGTATACGTCCCCTGCACCTCTTTTTCTGTTATGTATATCCTTATAGAGAGATGGTTATATTCTTATAGAGAGATTATTTTTTTAATCCACTACCCATTTGTCCACTCCTCAAATGTCCGGCCACGTTTCATTTTATGCCCATATCTTTTGTCGGAATAGTTATACTCACCCAGAGTTAGGTACTTCGCACAATACCGTACCGTTGGGTCTAAACAGCTTAGGTCAGTCTATAGTGTAAAGTAAATAAAAATATTGACCAAAATGCCATTTTATAAGAGAATAAAAGGGTGCAGTGCTTATGGGATGCAAACTACACAAGTACCAGAAAAACTATAGTTTTCTCAATCTCTTTATCTCTCCATGTGTTTTGTTTCCCTCCCTACCTTCAAAAATATTATTTTTTCTTCTATATGTTCAACATTTTTTTTGTTCCAATGTATGATCGACCTTTTATTTTTTGCTTTGGCTCCTTTTTTTAAAAATAAGTACACAAACACCGAACCAATCACGCACATAAAAAATAAAAAATACTTCATCAAATGTCAGAAATTTGTGGATTTGTCTTACATTACATTTTTTCGTTTAAATAAAAAAATTTATAAATGATTGATCTATAAGGAATTTGAATCTTTTATCTTATTTTTTAGAACTAAAAAAGTTGTTACTCGGGTTGGTAAAAGAGCTGGAGATGAACAAGAAGATTTGTAAAGGCGTTAGTTAAGTTGAAAGAGTTACGTCGTATTAAGCTGTTAAGGTACTTTGAAAAAGTAAAAAAAAATTTTGCGTAGATGACGTGGGCGAAAATATTTTTTTTTATTTTGGAAATAAAATAACGAATTTAAAAAAGCTCAATTCTTAGGGGTGTTTGTTTGGAAAGGCCAAAAATGTCGAGACCAAGACTTCACCCCAAGATCAAGATCGAAAAAGTATGTTATCGATTTTTGGCTGATTTTTTATTTAAAAAATTTTTACTACACTACAGCCCCATATTTTTTTCTATTATAAGCCTCCTACTACATAATAATATTCCTCAAAATATATACAACAACACATATATACAAGTGATCGAATAAGAAAAGATCACACAATTATTAATTATATATATTTTCTCTTTCTAATATTTTTCCTTCCTCTAATCCCCACCTGAGCTTTCATCTTCTTCATCATCTTTAGTATCAGGCGTATCAGGGTCATCTTTTTTGATGCCATACACTTCTTCCATTACACTGCTGCTCATATCTGATTTTGTTCCTTCGGCTTCTTTCATCTTGGAACTCGTTGAGGAACTTGCAGACTTTGTTTTACTCACATCATCACATAAGTAGAGCAAATTGCCTGCCTCGTTTATTTTGGCAACTAAAAAATTGAGACGATGGAAGAATTTGGCAGGAGAATATTAATTTATTCCCCAATTCAGAGTATTCCTTGGGTTTAGGTCGAACCAGAAAACCCCGACCAGTAGCTGTCCGTTGCGGACTGCCGCTTAAGTTCGACCCGAGAAAGCCCCGGACAATCCTCAAGGTACAGGCCTAATCCCCAGTCAGAAAAGTCCTTACTAAGAAAAGCAATCCCAGTCAAGTCTTCCACGAAAAATCATAAATCTGCCCACAAAAAAAGGAAAAAACTTTACCGTGTCCAGCTTTAGGATTTCGAGTAGTATATCTGTATGCAGGCGTGTCGAAGATATGAATCGGTGAGAATGCAACAGCCAAATGTCCTTCTGCCCTCTTTTCAATATGGTTGTCCACATTCCCCATTGGATTCCCTGGCGGTGGTCCTTTCCTTCCTGTATAAGCAAGCATCTTTTTGGTGGCAGCAATTTTCTCTTCAATCGTCTTAAATCTCTTTTGAGCTATTCCTACTTTCATCTTGGTCTTTTCCGTTGATTGACTTTGCATGTCGTTTGGTGCCCCAACCATAATACTGGAAATAAAAAAATTTTTTTAAGAGAAAAATTTAGAAAAATTTTCGGACCTCAATTTTAGATACCCCCTTGGGGTTGAAAAGGATCTATTTTATAATGAGGTTATCTTAAATAGAGGTTTATCTAATTTTGAGGGTATCTAAAAGTGAGGCTCAACACGTATCACCTTCTTGCGAAACTAGCGCCAGTAGTACTCGTTGTTGGTTTAGAAACCATACTTTTAGCAGTAGCATCCTCTTCTTTTCCAGAACTCTTTCGAAGCTTCATCTTTGGGAAAATGGATTTTTTCCCTCCTCCTCCAACATTTTTTCCTTCCTCCATTGTAACAGCAGTATGCACTCCATCAAAGCTAGACTTGAATACCGATTTTTTAGTATTACTTGGAGCTTCCTTTGAAGACTTCTTCTTCCCTTTTTCTTCGACCTTTTCATCGCTTTTCTTCTTTGATCCGGAAAATGCTTCTTTGGAGCGTTGCTTCTTTGGAGTTTTACGAAGAGCAGACTTTTTTGAAGCACCGCCACCACCACCGCCTTCTTCCTTCTTTGACCCACAACAAGTTGATGAAATAAGTGGAATGACCATCAAGATTATTAAGAAGATGAAAAGATGCAGCATTTGGAGTTGATGGGCTGAAATTTGAGGGATTAAGTGAAAGAAGGACTTCCAAAGCTTAAGGAATAATTATACCTTGAAAAACAAACAGCCCCATGGCTTTGGACGACAACAACAATTGAGTTTAGTGATAGGTGAAGTGTGAAAAATGTGGGTACTTTTATAATACAGTATCTAAAGCTGCGATAAACCTTTCATAATAAAATTGGCGACAAAACGGACTATTTTAAAAAATCATCAAAAAGTGCGAGAGTGAATTAGAGAAGGAGAGAAACGAGAGACTGCATTTAGTTTCTAAACTTTTACTTAATGTCTCTAAATTCTGCCAACGCATATTTTGCCAATAAGGCTAAAACACCACATTTTGCCATACTGACTTTGTTGGCAAAATGTGGGGTTTAGGCATTGTTGGCAGAATATTAGCGAGTTTTGTTGCTTTTGTTTTTTTTTAATTTTTGTTTTGTTTGTTGGTTTGTGGAATGGAGCGTTGTATTTTTTGTGGTAGGTTCTTTAAAAACTTTACCTTCTCATTTTTTCATTATTTATTTTAGGTTCAACCCGTAAAACGGCTCCAAATCGTCGATTTTTTGGAATTCCTCGAGAACCTGGTTTCTAACCTTTTTTGACTTTTCTTCAATTTTATAGGTCTAAAACGAATTCAATGGCTTTATGTTCTTGGAGATAGAGATGTTGGCCCTAAAGATCGAGTAAATTATAAACAATTATTTTTGCATTTACTTTTTTGTTTTTAGGTCTGTGCCGTTCATTTTCGACAAGGAAAACCATCTAATGATCCGTCACATGAAGGTGAGGGCTAAGCTACGGATTTATCTGTAAGTGTTGCGGGGGTTGTTAGAGATTTAATGTGTAGCGGCGGTGGAGAAAACCATGGCTATCCCCCAGAGAAGTTTTTGCCTTCCTTCTTAGCCGCCAAAAGGGGTTTCAAAAAATAAATTTATGGATAGACAGATGAATGTTTTAAACCTTGTAAGATTATTTTTTTATTTTTGAGCGCTTATCTCAGAAAATCTTGATTCTCGATAACCGTGGTTTTTGTTTGGGTTTGTTTTGGTCGAGTTTCACGTCCTGATCATTTTCGTTTAAAATTAGCTATCTTAGACTATGTGCCCAACTTATTAATTAATTCAAACAACGGTGAAAGTTCACTTGAATTTCTTGATTCGATCGAATCTGCAAATTTGGGCCTGCAATCAAAAATAAAGTTGCCTTCAATTTTACAAAAACGGAAACGAAAAGAGGAAGACAAGGTTTTTAAAAATAACTTTTTTTTTGTTTTAAGTAAGGCTTTTTTTAGCTTCCAAATTGTTTGAGTGCATCCTCGACATTAATTCCACTCCCTGCTTGTTTAACTGAAGGCTTAAATCTGGTTGCAGGTCAGAAAGTTGTTATCAAAAGAATTGTTTTGACAAAGGCTGATTAATTAATTTTTTTCTTCTTTGAGTTTTTTGTACTTTCAAAAATTGGGAGTTCATTATTATTTTTTAGTTTTGTGAGTCCTCTGCCACTTGGTGACTTTTTTGTCCTCCCCCTTTTTTACTACGGACTTTTTAGGGCCCAGGGCCTTTACTAGGACATTCAAAATAAATCTGAATCTACATTTGAAATTAGAGGAAAACTGGCTTTTTGTGAAATTCTTCAGCAGGTGGTGGTCGACGACCTAAATTTTTATTATTTTGGTTTTATGAATAAAGTTTTTAAAAGACTTGATTGATTTTTTATATTTTAAACACGTTTTTATTCACATTTAACTTTACTTTTATTGTCCTAATACATTTTTAACACATTGTTAAGAGATTATATAAAAAATATGCCGACTATTGAATTGAGGACTATTACTCAGCAAAGCTTTGAGTTGGAAGTTGAGAATTCTGAAACGGTTTGTTTTTTTTCTTTAATCTTTTTTGGTTGTGTCAAAAATAGGGATTCACTAAAAACTAGAATGTCCATGTTATCTTTCAATTTTTGAGAACTGAATTTAAATTTTATAAATCACAATTTTTTAGATCCTCCAATTGAAGCAGAAAATTGCTGAGAATAAAGGCGATAAAGATTTTCCAGTTGATGGCCAAAAGCTTATTTACAACGGGAAGGTGTTGGAAGACAACAAGACGATTGGAGATGTCAACGTTGTAGCTGGGAAATTTATTGTTGTGATGGTTGTGAAGGTTTAAGCTTTAAATCATTTTTTAAAATCTTTTGGGTTTTTAGAAGGTGGCTCCAAAAGCTAGCGTTACTGAGGCAACAACTACTTCGGAAGAGAAAAAATCTACTACAGCAGAAGTAAAAAAAGAGGGGACACCAACGAAGGACAAAAAGGAGGAAGGAGGTTAATGATATTTTTTAATTTTGGGCGTTTCTCAATTTTATTCAAAGAAGTACTTGGAAATAGCCAGAGTAACATCTTTATTTCCTTTAAGTTACTTGAACACCAAGGATTAAGTCCACTTGGTGATAATTGCATTATTTTTCTTTTTTAATATTTAAATTTGTAAAATAAACAAGAAACAAGTTGATTGTGAGTAAAATCGGAACGCCCTATACTGCTCTGGGGCGTGCCAAACCCCCTCCCCAAAAGTCACCAAAATATATCAAACTGGCGAGAAAAGTTATTTAGTCATATTCAACGACGGGGGATTTTCTAACTCCGTGTTTTGGAAATCGGATTTCGGTATTCTATTACGGTGGAAGTAAAATATAAATAAAAAAAACAAGGGGTTTTTTAAATTTTTTACACTTTTTTAGTTCCCGCTGAGCATCAAAAAACTCTCGACAATATTACTTCAATGGGTTATCCACGTGATGAAGTCATTCGCGCGCTTAAAGCAGCATTTTATAATGCTGATCGTGCTGTTGAATATTTGTGCAATGGAATACCTGAAGGAGTTAATTTGGTTCAAGGAGCGGCAGCAGGTTTTTTGTGAAAAGATTATTTTTAACTTCAAAAAATTTAAAGGGGAAGCTAGTGGTGATGAAAGCGGTGGGGAAGCAAATGTTGTTGCTGGTGAGGGGGGTGCTGGTGGTCTTGATTTTTTGGCTAATCTCCCTCAATTTGCTATGTTGCGTGAAATGGTATATCTTGGAAATTTTAAATTTTTTTGATTATATTAGTCATGGAGATATTAGTCGTCATTTGATCTCGTTTATAAGCATTTTGCAAAACATTAAAAAATCAATAACAAAAAGTTTAATTTTTTAGATTCGCAATGATCCATCGGCCTTGCCTCAAATTATGCAAGAAATTGCTGAAACGAGACCGGAGCTGATGCAAATGATACGCGATAATCAAGTTTTTTTTTGTAAATTTAAGTTCATTAGAAAAATTTTAAGGACCAATTTTTGGCGCTCTTAAATGCGGAAGGTGGTGGTGCCGGAGGGGCTGCTAATCCAATTGCTGCTGCTCTTGGGGGAGCTGCTGGAGCAGGTGGAGGAGGAGGACCTCAAGCGGTTACAATTCCTATAACGGCAAATGATCGAGAAGCAATTGATCGACTTTGTGGAATGGGATTTCCTGAGCAATTAGTTATTGAAGGTTTTTATATTTTTTAAATTATTTATCTTCTTTTGTGCTCAAAAAAGTTGCGTAAATTGCGTGATTTTTTTGACTGCGTTTTTTGATTTTTACGCAGTTTTAATGCAATTTATCGCAATTTAAGCACCATGAAAGAAAATTCTGGCTCATTTGCCCTCCTAAATTCCTAAAATCGGCGCTAATCCCTCGTGCATTTATGCTTTAATTTACTTTAATTGAGATAATAGCATCATTCTTTACATCATTTAAAGCTATCGAAAGAAAATTCCGAGTCAGAAAAAGTGGATATCGGCGGAGGGATATCACGTGCATCAAGGAATTAGTAAAATATCATAGGATTACTGGGATTTGAAGGCTTATATTTACGTACGAAGTACGAGACCAAAAATAGGCTTGTACTAACAAGGGAACATTCCGAACTGTGACCAAAAATTTTCAAATAAAAATTATACCATCTTGTAGAGCATGGTCGAAAGCCAATTGTAGTAGGTTTCTTTTTTGGCCCTGACCCCCATTTCGAAAAGTTATAGGCCTTCAAAGTTTCCGACTTTTGGAACGGTTGAGTCGCCCTCATAAAGAGAGATTTTTCTTTTATTAAGGAGAAAAATAAGACTCCCTTCCTCCTTTTTTCCTTTCCTTTTCTTTTCCAATATTAGTTAAAGAAAGAGAAAAAGAGGAGAGAAAAGAAAAGGAAAAGAGGCGTCTCTACCTTGCAGCTAATGTCAATTAAAAAGGAAAGAGGAGATGGCAGAGATGCCTCTTTTCCTTTTCTTTTCTCTCCGCTTTTTCTCCTTCTTTAACCAACATAGGAAAAAAAGAGGAAAGGAAAAATTGAGAAAAGGAGTCTCATTTTTCCCTTTAGGAAAGAAATAATAAGAAAAGTGAGGGCGACTCAACCGTTCCAAAAGTCGGAAACTTTGAAGGCCTATAACTTTTCGAAATGGGGGTCAGGGCCAAAAAAGAAACCTACTACAATTGGCTTTCGACCATGCTCTACACGATGGTATAATTTTTATTTGAAAATTTTTGGTCACAGTTCGGAATGTTCCCTTGTAAGGTTGGCGGATCCGAAAAAAGGCCCTCTATATAATCCACTGGGACTTAACTTTACTGCGCCGCAGGCGAAAATTTTTACAATAAAAATTTCGGTTCCGGATCCGGATATCCGAAGATTTCCAACTATCCGCCAACCTTAGCTTGTACGAGTACGATCAAATTTCAGAATCCCAAGAAGCGTATTTTATGTCTGTTTGAGCATATAGAAAGGGTATACATATATTGTCTACAAAGTAAATGCATACTGACCCCTGAACGCCTACACTAATTTGCCTACCCTTTACACTCCTAGTCATTTAATTCTTTTTTTAATATACCTCTAATTTTTAATAGCTTATTTGGCTTGTGACAAAAATGAGGCTTTAGCTGTTAATTATATTTTGCAGAGAATGGAGGAGAATTATGGAGGAGGGAATTAATAAAAAAAATAAAAGTAAAAATAAAAATTTGTTTTTCTGATATAAAATCTGTTTTTTCTATATATTTAAACAATATAAAATATTATTAATTGGTACTTTGTTTATACTCTCTCCTAGGCTTGGTCCCCGTTCCCGAAAGTCGGGGAATTTGAGAGACTTGTTTTCTAGTTATTTTACGTTTTTAGTTTCATCAGAACGAATTTAAACTTTATGTACTATCAAAATTTTTTCAAAGGCGCAGCGCAAACAGCTAAATATTTTTCTCCTATAGCCTCCAAAATTCTCAAACTTTTAGCTTGGTGCGCAAAAAAAGGAAGAAATCTGACTTAAGGACCTTCAAAATTCTCATTTTTTGATTATTTTTGGCACTTTATCGATCAGTCAATAATTTTTATTATTTGGCTCTATCCATTGGTACCAAGAACAACAATTATCTAGTATAAGTTATAGGGGCCGGGACTGACCGAACAAAGTACCTTTAAAAATAAATTGTGCTCTCTTTTTTTAAAAAAATTAAAATAAGAATAAAATGAAGGAATATTGTGTTCTTTTTAGAAATTTTTTTTTTAAAAGTCAGTTCAAATTTTCTGGCATATACTTATCTTTATTATATAAATTTTTTGTTTATTACTTATTGTTAGTAAGTACATTATTTTTAAAAAGCATATAAAACCAATTGTTGATGTTTTATTTGTTAAATTCTTTAAAAGATCAATAAAAGATTGTCTCCTCATTGTTAAAAAAATTGTTTGTTAACAATTAATAGTAGGGTTGTACACTGCGTTCCAGGTTTACCCCAAGATAGAATCGAGATGGGCCTTGGTCAACGATTTCCTATCAGGCACCGAGGATTTTCCAATTTTTTTTCTAAGGACAGGCTTTTTACTTTATGCAGAGTCCAGGCCGAGAAATGTTTCAGGGCTTCTAATATTTTCTGGACTACAGGTCCATGATCCAAATGAGGCCAATGTCTTAGCCAAGGATTAGTGTATCAGTGTCTCCAGACTTTTTTAAAATCTTCGTTACTATCCCAGCAAGTTGGCACTGGAGACTCTCGTTACGTGAAAGATCCTGGGAGGTATTGACCAATGTCCATTTCCAAAAAAGAAAACTCCTTTCTCTTTTAATTTTATTTCACTAACAAATAAAAACCTTTAAAAATATTTCTCTCTTTCAAAATTTATTTTTTCAATTTTCTAAACTACTATTAAGGACATTATTTTACTGAATTGTCGCCATTTTTCGTTTAAGGGCAACAATGGCAAAAAAAACTTTTTTTCGAGAGGCGCATTTTCGCCTCTTTTATCTTTCCTTTCTTTTTTATCCTATCTCTTTATCCCCCTTTTTTGTGCAAATGGCAAATGAGGCATGTGGTGTGGTGTGCTGCCACTCAATTGTGTGCTAAAAAATAAAACTACTGGAGAAAGTTTTTAAGGGGAAAAGTTTTTAAAAGAACATAAGCCTCTCCTCCTTCCTTTTCCCCCTTCAACCACCACCCTTCTCTCTTCCTGAAAAAAGCCTTTTATCTATTGTCTGAATAGAAGGAAGACTGGGGCTCTTTTTAGGGCCTCGTTATCGACCCATTCATTCGTCGCTTTTCAAAAAGCTGCTTTTCCTTTTTCCTCTTCCAAAAAAAGTTTTTTAAACACAACTCCCAGCGCTTCCAAAAAAATTTTTTTGGGAGAGGGGAAAAATACTTTTCGATTTTATATATCTCTCGACCATTGCTTCCGCCCCCGTTGCTTCCAAAAAAGAGAAGAAAAAAGGAAAGAAGAAAAGCTGCCAAGACACTCAAAAAGGCGACTTCCACTACTTTTCTCTCCTTTTACAGCTTTTTAAAAACATTTTTTTGTGTGAATGAATGTACATTTTTTGGTAGAAAATTTTTTATTTGTAAAAATGGCCGCGAAAAGAGAAAATTAATTTGCTGCAAAAAATTTTTTTGAAAAAATTTTAATTAAAAATTAAAATTTTTCTACGGAGCAGTTCAGTTTCGGTCCTATAACTCATAAGGGAGCAGATAATTTTTAATGTTCTTAGTACAGCTAAACTGGATAGTGAAATAAATACACTACACGTTACAAAAAATAATCAAAATTCTTGACTGTTGGTAAAAAAGTTATGATCGATTAGACTAAAAAAATTTAAAAAAAGTGATTCTTCGGCACTTTTTTTACCTATAATTCGAGAATTTTGATTTTTTGTTATTTTATAGTGTATTTAATTTTTTATTCATTGGTACAAAAAACATTTAAAATTATTCACCCCTTAGTAAGTTATAGGGGTTGGAACTCAATTAATTGAGTTTGTCTAACAAATTTTCATAAATTTTAGAGAGGAGAAAGAGTATAATCTCGTTTTGGCACCTTATTTTTATTTAAACAACTTTTATGCTAATAGAGCATTAGTGTGATAAATAGGCAGTCTTGTTTTGTGGATATCTATGGTAGGTCTTATTTTTGTTATAATTAACTATACAAAAGAGGTTAGGTCAATGACAGTCGGGCCCCCTTAGAGCTGAGTTTTTTATCTTATATGAGGTAGAGGTCAACTTTCCGCGAAAGGATTCGAACCTACGACTCCCAAATTTTAGGAGGTTTTGTAGTCAGCACTTTTATCCACTTGACCAAAATATTTTTTTTCGCTTAACTATTTAATAAAATTAATTTTTGGCGTTGTGTCACTTTAAAAAATTTTTTCACAATTTCTTTCAAAATTTTTTAAAAGTTTTTTTTAAAAGGTGGATGGCAACTATTTTGTTTCTCCAAAAGTACAGACTCTTAAAACCATTACATTTTTTATCATTATTTTGCAACATTTTTCTATTTAAAATTTGCCGGAAAAGAATTAAAATTGTTTGTTTATTAAATAAAACAACAAAACAAAAAAGGATTCCTTCATTTTGTTGTCTCAATTTCGGAAACGCCTCTTTGATTTTTGAGCAGGCGGTAGTCGCCGAATGCCGTAAGAATTAAAAAATTTTTGAAAAATTTGAAAAGTCCGCAAAAAATTTTTTTTAACTTGCGGACTTTGAAAAAAAATTTTTCAGAATTTTTATTTTTTAAAGCTGCGATTGCGGGTTTTTCTGCCTTTTCACAGAAAGAAGGAGGCACATTGAAGTCCTTTGGCGTAAACGATTATTGGTATGGAAAATTTATTTATTTATACAGTGCTCCACACAAAACTATATATAGCCACTCATGTTTTTTTAATTCTCCGGTCCACATAATGAAAGTTTATTTGTCCAATGAAATTTTATAAGTCCAGATGAAATTTTATGAAATAAAAAATAAAATAAGTAAAAAATTAATATTCATTGGTGCCATGAAGATGTCTGAGATTAATTTTAAGGGCTCCCCAGGTTGCTTCAATACCTTGAGTATATACTAGAAGAGAATTAAATGAATTTTTCAAAGGTCACAGACGACGAGCGTCGGGCAAAGCGCCGATTCCTTACACTTATGCGTGGATTTGACACAGAGGATTTGGAAATACTTCGAAGGGTTTTTTCTTTAAAAAAATTTTTTAGAGATTTTTTTAACTTAAAGGCAGTCGAGTCTGTTGGGATTGATATTAAACAATGCGCCCCAGGCCCTCCAATGGACCTTATTGAGGAAAGGGAAAGCAGCACAAGTGAGGATGAAGAGGAATTGGAACCTGAGGCAGTTCCAGGGTGCTCAACGACGGTTTTGAGTACGAGGCCTAGACATTCAATGAGGTTTTTTAATTTTTAGGAGGGAGGGGGGATAGAAAATACTCTTCTTCTATCTCCTCCACTTTCCTTCCCTTAACTTAAAAATATTAAAAATAATAAAAAATTCTGTCATATGTCCCATAATCCTGTTCAAATAATTTCAGTCACTATCGAAAATACCAAAATTAAGCCCCGGTCTCAATTGTAAGCCGAAAATGGGAGGGGGAAGTAAGCTAAAATTATTTTAATTTAATGTTGATTCAGCTCATTAAGCTGTTTCAAATAACATTTTGTTTGTCCAAATCGTTTCTTGGGACATATGACGGAAGTTTACCGAAATAATAGTTTGTGGATTTCCTTTGCGGACTTCTTTCTGCCTCTATCTAATTTATAAAGATATTTGTTTTAATTTTAAAGGCAAATGGAGAGGGATAGAATACTTTTTCAACGTCAAAGAGTGTCCACCGTAGCAGAAATCCAACCACAAGGAGGAATAGGAACATTAATAACAACACAACAAATAGATAATAAACAATTGGGGAATTATCAAAGGAGATATTCAACAAATACAAATAGTAGATATAATAGAAAAATTAGCAATTATAGTAGTGGAAGGTTTGTCAATTAATTTAATTATTTTTGGGTATGGGATGTCATGTTGCGGACTTTTCCAAAATAAATTTTTCGGTTTTTTGTTGACGATTTCTAATGGAATTTTCGAAAGATTTTTTGGAGCCCCCTTTGTGGATTTTTCTTGTAAACTCCTCATCTCACAGTTTAATTTAATTTTTTTTTAATTTTAAGGCGTTGTGCAATGTTAAATAGCCCGTTAAACGAAGAAAATGTGAAAGAAGAATTAAACATTTCTTCAAAAACAAAAAATTCCGCTATTAAAAATGAACAAGAACAACAAAAACAGCAATTTAGTAGCAGAACAGTCAACGCCCCTCCACCTCCAGATTCAATAGCGACAGATGCAGAAACACAAAAATTACTTCCTTTGCCTCCAGAAACTCTTGGAGGTGTTGACAGTGGCCTTATACCTCAGATTGATAAGTAAGGAAATTTTTTTGGCACCCCCTCCCTTCCATATGTCCGCAAATTTTTATTATTCCCTTCTCTTTCTTTCTTTCTATTTTCATAAAGAGGGAATTTTCTCAAAAAAAAATAAATTTTTATTTAAAAATCAGGCCAATGTCTATGCCTTATCTTTGTTGTAAAATGTGGCGTTGGAAGGATTTGCAAGTAGATGCTGCTTTACACAGACTTGACCCTCTCCCTTGGTGTAGATTTGGAAGAGGTTTTTTTCTGAAAATTCTGAAATAAAATTTTTTTTCAAAAATTAAAGTAACTATAAACAATGCAACTGTTTCTTGTTGTAATCCCTACCATTATGCTCTGTGGATAAGACGTAAAAATTTAATTTCATTACAGGAAAACCTCATAAAATATTACCAAAATAGATAAAACAACAACTATTTAAGAGACATTTTTTGAAATTTGGTTGGATGGGAGGGGGGAGGGGAGGGGAGGGGGTGTTGTATAAACATTTAAGTTAAAGAGACTATTTTTCAGTCCTAAGGGGGTATATTATAGTGAGATTATTTTTCTCGATTGAAAAAAATTTTTTTAAGCTGAAACAATATCTTCAGACGAGCAAAGTATTAGTTCAGGTGTTCTAGCAAATGGGGGTGGTGGTGCTACTGCAAGACTGTCAAGTAAAAAAGAATTTAATTTTGAAAAATTCCGTCAAATACCCGGAAACTGTTTCAGACAAACGTTAGGCCATTCGAAAGAACACACCGAGCTGAGTCGATCGACATCAAAATTAGCGGATTTTGTTGACATTCAGGGACCTATATCTCAGTACATGGGTGAGTCCCGAAGCTAAGTTTGATCTCGATCGACTCACAATCAGCTCGGTGTGTTCTTTCGAATGGCCTATCTTTGTCTGAATCGGTTTCCGAGACATATGACAGAATTTTTCCTATAATATTTGCTGGAAATTTGAGTAAAAAAAGTTTGTTTTAGATGAAGCAGCAGATGCCACAATCGGTCATGTACGTACAGCATTTCAACATTCCTTAAAATCAGAAGCAAAAAATATATTATTAAAACAACAACAACAAAATGATTCTTCTTCTTCTAAACCTCCCCCAGAACCTTCACAACAACAACATCAACTAATATTAGATGAAATTCAAATGGGAAATCATTTGCCTCCAGCTTTGAGCGCTAAAAGGCGAATTTCGCATAGTGTACATCATCAAGCAATGTGTTAGTTTTTTTGTTATTTTGTTAGATTTTTAAAGTTTTTTCCTTATAAAAATGGTAAAATAAACAACATAGGAGCCGCGGAATAGTCGCCATTTTAGTCTTCCCGAGGAGGTTTTATTTTTTATTACGACTTTTTTGTACCAAGCAAAAGCTCTATATGTTCTACTGATCATTTTCCTAACAGAATTTATTTAATTAGATACGCACAAAAAAGTTAAAAGCGGATAAGTACGCGCAATCGTTCGCTCTTTATCAGCCTATAACTTTTCTTGCCATGATCCTATCAAATTGAGCCTGTTGAGTAAAATAATCTGCAGATCGAGAGCTTTCGATTGTTATAAAAATTATTCAAATCGATTAAGAATTAAAAAAAGTTATTATTTAAAATAGATCATGAGTGAAAGGACCCCACATTTTTTAATACGAGCTTTTTACCCGCAGCTTTAGTTTTATGGTTAACAAAGCTCCCTAAATAATTTTTTACTTTTGATTTACAGCTTGGGGTAGAATGGCAAGATGGCAATTTAACGAAAGGGTTGGAGATATAATTACTCTTATTGGTCAATTTGCTTTAATTGGTCAACTCGCCGGTACTGTATTTGACGGCCAAGATGTAAAATGTCCTTGGGATTTGGACAATTTCACTTCTTTTGCTTTAATTAGACAACCATCAGATGAATCTTCAGAAATTTTTGATGAAGTTTGGCTTTATAATAGGTAATTAATTATATTCTGTATCCATCCGCGCTCAATGATCCCAGCCGGTTAATATTATGTAACATCGGGCAAGGTCCTTCCGAACTCAGCGCTAAAAAAGGATTAAACTTTATTTGTTTTTTAAATTTATTAACCAGCCAGTGATTAAATTTCTTAAATTTTTGCGTTGCGTTTTAGCCGATTTTAGTGTTCAGGCGTTTGGCACGTTTTAATAATTTAACGTTTTGCGTTTGACGCGCCATGAAAGAATTCTGGCGCACAGCCCTGATCATAAAGCAGAGTACATACCTATTTAAAATATTTAAGGAATGTTTTTTTGGGTTTATCTTATTTTTGACAATATATTTTTTCAGCAGTAATCAACCCTTATTTGTTTGTATTTCCAAAAATGCAGTCAGAGCAACATCATCAACTAGTGAAGCTCCAAACATTCGTAGACTATCACCCGGTTATTGTATTCGTGTACATCGAGTATCTCCATCTACAAATTTATCATCATCATCCCCTCCTCTTCGTTGTTCACCTCACAAAACAATTATTGCCAATGATATTTCTTCTCCACAACATTTTGTAGGAGAGACAACAACAACACAAATTTCTTCTTCTTCTTTACCTGTTTCAATGTTAACAATAAGTATAGGTTCGGGTTGGGGTGCAAATTATGATCAAAAATCTGTTGCAAATCTTGAATGTCGTTATGAAGTGATTTTTACTTGAAGGAAAAAATTTTTTTTGTTTGTTTGTTTTTTTGGAGATGGAGACAGTTCAAATGTTTTTATGGCAGGGTGGATATTTTACTAAAGTATTCTTCAATAAATTCCACTGTGAACTGTCTCACAATTTATACAATGGAATGTTTCTATTATGTCTCCCTTTACTGTCATTCAGTCTCGAAGGAGTGACATTTTAGAGATGATTCCACTGAATAGTTAAAAGAATTTTTATTTTTTTCCGTCCTATTTCACTAAAAACACTTAAAAATCAACAAATTTAAGCCAAAAATATGTCAAAATCCTTTCTCTTTTTATATAAAAAATTATATCATAAAATATATTTAGTCCTCCGTCCAACTTTTTTTAAGATCTCATTGCTTCACTCATTTTTTCATTCATTTGTTTAATTCATTTTATTACAAAATAAATATATTTATTGTTTATTTTGAATTTCGACTGGATTGGACATTTTGAAAAATTATCCTTATTGGATATTTCTTGAATTTACTCTGATAGACATTTTTGATAGATTTCTTTATTGGGATTTTTTTAAAAAATTTCAAACTGGGCGTTTCGCGAATTTACCTTGGTTTGGCGTTTTTGAAAACCAAAAGACATCTTCCAAAATTTAACCCTATTGGACGTTTTGAAATTTGACTGAAATTAGGTGTTTTGTAAGCTTTTCTTTGTTGATATTTTATAGTCACTATTTTCTTTTTTCTCTAATCCACGTTCTCTCTGCGCATTTTTATTCTCTAATTATAACATTTACAAATTTCACAATGTAAAATAAGGAAGACAATGTTATTATGAAACTATTCTTTCTGTGGTGAATGGTATTGGATGGCACGGCCAAACAAAACCTTTGATTGTTGAAAACATTCTTATTATTTTTTGTTTCTTAATACATAAATTTTAAATGTAATCTCAAAAAGATGATAACTCAACTAATTTTGAACTTATTTCGAAGCATTTTATTTATTTTTATCATCAACATTATTTTAATTTCGGCAAATCAAAATCCTTGTCATCCTATTGAAAAGTCATTTTCTGAGTTGGATGGAGCTAGCCCGGTTGGTTTTTTGGAGAATTTTTTAAATTTAATTCTGGTCTTGGACTCGGGTTGGTATATACATATTGATATTGACTGGGCTGACCTGGCATTTGTTGATTTTTTCAGCCTTCTAAAATTCTCAAAATTCCCAGGCAGGCCCGTAGCCAGGGGGGTACTTATGAAGATGGAGGTGCCATTTCTGCGGACTTTTTTTGCGGACTTTTCTTCCCTTATTTAAATGTTTTACTTGTAGCAACTAACTGTCAATGGCCCTCCCCTATTATTTTTCTTACCTAAGCTTGTACATAATGGTCAGATTTTCTTCTTCCTCTCCTTCCTTCTATTTGCCCTGTGACATATTCAAACAAGGCATATTGATAAAGAGAAGATTAATTTTATAGTCATACACTTATATTTTGCCTTAGAAAACAATGTTACACAAAAAAATAATTGAAAAAATTGATTTGGTGTATAACATTATAAATTTCTGTGTAAAAACATTACATTCCTATTCATATTTAAAAATATTGAACAACTGAAAAATTTCAAATATTAGCATCTTCTGGAAAATCTACGTTTAAACGACTAATATTTTGATGCGAGGCTAAAAAGCTTGGTCTTATTCATAGAAAAATAAGAATTAGCCTTTGACAGTTTGTTGCTACAAGCAAAACTTGCTGCAAGCAAGACAACCAAAACATTAAAAAAGAAAAATTTAAAGGAAAGGAAAAGTCCGCAAAAAAAGTCCGCAGAAAGGGCACCTCCATCTTCATAAGTACCGCCAGGGGGATATTTTGCCCCCCCCCCCCCCCCCCCGAAATGGGGAAGAGGAAAAAATTTGGGTAAGGGATTGGGCAAAAAATTAACCTAGTTTCTCTATTTTTTACCCTTTTTCCAGGTCTGTCAGTGTTCTCTGACCAACGATGTTTCACAAAATTTATCAAACAAAATTTGGATTGGATGTACTAATCAAAAAATGCCTGCTATTTTTCGAGCTCTTTTTTCATTAAACGATACAAAAATTGACCATTTACATGTTTGGAATGCTTTAATCAACATTTTGCCGAAAGATATGTTCTCTAAAATTAAATTGGATAAATTAACGATTGAAGATTCTAGTGTTGGAATTATTCGAAAGGAAGCTTTTTCTAATGTTGAGAATACTCTTAAAGGTTTTTTGTTTGATTTTATATTTTTGTTGGCTTTGTGAAGATAAGGGGTTGCACTTCTTGAGAACTTTTCCCGTTCTTTCAAATTGAGAAGGCGTCCAATTTTGGGGATATTTCTTATTTGTTATTTAAGAATAATTATCGAAAATCGAGGCCGTAGCCAGGAAAAATTTTCGGGGATGGGGCAATCTTTTTAGCGCCGAAAACGAGAAGTTTAGAAATGTATTGCCGTGATTTAATGCCTCCTGGCTACGAGCTTGGCGAGAATATTAGTGGTGTATTTGTATTGTTGTAACGCTTTCTTTGGAGGTTTTTTCAATTCTCTCTGCAATTTTTTTTCTTTTTATCCCTTACCAACAATAAGAGAATTTCTGGAAAAGTCCGCAAATGTAATAATGTTCGCAAAAATAAATTCCACAAAATTTCACTCTTAATTTTTAGAATTAAGTCTTCGTAATAATATAATGAAGTCAATTGACGAAAAAATATTTTTAAATTTGGCTTCTCTAAAATATTTGGATCTCAGCAGCAATAAATTGAGTCAACTTAAACGCAGCCATTTTTCTAAACTTGTTAATTTGGAGACTCTTTTGTTGGATAATAATCAAATTAATTCGTTTGTTTTTTACCTCTTGTGTTTTTTTTAAATTTGTTTTGGGGCACCTTTGGCGTATTCTAAAAATTTTAATTGCTTCACGGGCAGACAGGCCCGTAGCCAGGAGGGCATTTTTAATTTAAATTTAATTTATAGTCTCGATGACGGCATTTTCAATTCATTAACCAAATTGAAAACCCTAACTATTTCCAACAATCGATTGACAAAGATTACAAAGTTTGCCATTTGCCTTTTAATTTTTGAAATTTTTTAAAATTTTTAGAGATGTTTTTAAGAATTTGCAAAATTTGGAATCTTTAAGTTTGCAAAGTTTGTTTTTTAATTTATTTAATTTAAAAAAATTTAATTTTTTAGACAACTTTATTGAGTCTATCGAGGATGAAGCTTTTTCTTATCTTTTGTCTCTCAAGCATTTGGATATTTCTAATAACAGGATTGGAAAGGTTTTCAAAAATTATTTTTTAATTTTCTAAACGTCTAAAAACGGGTGGGAACCCCTTATATCCTTGAAAAAGCAACATCCAATAAATTGTTTTTTCCGAAAGAGTCCAGAGGTTCTGTTTTTGGTCAAAACTTTCTTAATTCTTGTCCTTTTAAAACAATTTTCATATTAATCGAAAGCTTTGAATATGCTGATTATTTTGCCTAACAGCATTTGATAGACAAGTTGCAGAAAAATAAAAGACAAAATCATGATTTTACTCATTTTACACCTGTAACTTTTCTTGAGATATTTGATCAAAATAACCTCGTTAGTTAAAATAATCCCCATAATTAAAGCTTTCGATTAATAAGTATAAAAATTATTTAAATCGGTTCAGAAGTCAATCCTTGACAAAGAAACACTTTTTCCCTTCCATTTATTTACTCTAACACTAAAAATCACTTTTTAATTATTTTCAGTTAAAAATTACTCATCTTCCTAAACTCGAAATTCTCTTTCTCTCAAATAATTTATTTGAACAAATCAAAGACATAAATTTACAAAATTTGTCTAATTTAAATACTCTACATTTGGAAAACAACAAAATTTTTAAAATTTCAAATGAAGATTTTAAATTTTTGAAAAAAAGTCAAAAACTTTATTCTTTAATTTTGGATGGAAATAATATCTCTTGGATTGATTGTTTTGCTTTTGAACCAATAAAAATGAGTTTGACAGTTTTGTCTTTACAAAAAAATAAAATTGCTTCATTTTCGTGTTCTTCAACTAACGATCCTTCACGTAAGCAAAAAGTTTTTTTAATTTTAAAATAAAGATAGAAAAAGGAGGGAATTTGTCCAATTTAAATAATTCGAACCTTCCCCTTTTTACATAAAATTCCTGTCTCATATATGCAGTAACGTCCCCTAACAAAAAATAAAATTCTTAATTTCATTTTCTTCGACTAAAATTTTCGACTAAAATTTTTCATTTTCTTCGACTAAAGCATCAAATATTTATTTGGACCGTTCAGTATTTGAATTATTAACATCACTCAAAAAATTATTTCTTTCGTATAATTCAATTAATTCAATAAATGAAGGAGATTTAAATGGATTATTTTCATTACAAGAATTAAATTTGGATCACAACAAAATAATTAAAATTTCAAGCAAAAGTTTTGAGGAAGTCAAAAATTTGAAAAAATTATTTTTAAATAATAATTTGCTTTATTATTTACCTAAAGGAGTTTTTGACAATTTGGATATTTCCAATTTAATTTCTGTGGATATTTCTGAGGTATTTTTATATTTATTGGGTCGAGTTTATTGGTCCCTAGGAAAAATGTTTTTTCGACATTTTTGTATGCCCCTCTGATTGAAATATAACCTTACCTTAATTGCCGCGATTATTTTTAAAAAAATTTTCAGAATAAATGGGAATGTATTTGTGAACAAGAATGGATTGGTTCTTGGCTTTCTTCAATTGGACAAGCAAATACTCCTTCAGGCACTTTAGGCTGTTTAATTGGAAAATGTGAAAATATTCCTCAACAACAAAAAGACAATAAAAATAATTTAGAAATAATTAAAAACGAAGAAGAAAACAACAATTTAATTTATTGGATACGTTTAATTGCTTGTATTTTAGCTATTTCAGCAATTTTCTTTTTAATAATTGCTGGATATGTTTATGTTCAAGAAAATCGTTTAATTCCTCTTTTACAATTTTCATCGTCAGATACAGTTCAATTAATTCCATCAAATAAAAACAAAACAACAATTTTCTCGTTCCCTAATCCTTTAAATAAAAATTCAAAATTTAACAGTAATGAAGAAGAAGAAGAAAATAATTATTTTCCACCTTCATTGTCTATTCAGGCTAAAGCTGGAAAAGTTGTTATTGCTAAAGAAGAGGGGAATAATAAGGAAAGTAAAAAAGAAAAGAAAGTTGTTAGATTTTGTGAGAAATGAAGAAAAAAAAGAAGAAAAAGTTTATTTATGTGTGCAATTAATCTCTATTATTTTTCTTTTTAATTTTATTTTTCTTTAATTTATGTGTAATCTTAAAAGAATAAATCTTCAAAAATACTTCAATTAACTTTAAAAACTTTTTAAAAATATTTTCTTCAATAAAGCGAAATTTTTTTCATAACATTTTTAAATTCGTTCGGAGTAACCTGGCCTTTTATGGAACATTCTGCTAATGAAATCATCTCCTTAAAATTAAATTTTAATCAAAATAAACCAACACTCATTAATAGATATACCCTTTGAAACTGGAAAAATAGTCTAATATATTGGGGGTAGGATCTGGCAGCTCCCACACCCAGTGACCAAATTTTAAAACGTTTCTTAAATAGAGGTGTGTCTAGTATGTCTAGTATTAGGTCAAACTCATTATAAATTCTCATTTTAAAGTCGTTTTTTTTATTTTGATCGAAAACTGGAATGAGGACTGCATACGCGATGCACTCTATTAAAGATGTCCTCATTATAAGAGACGATTTTTCAGTCACAATTGTTTAACTTAAAGTGAGGTTAAACTACAAAATTAAAAACCTTAAATTCGTCTTCATTCAATTCCTCCCCCAATTCTTTTGCAACTCTCTTCAAATCCTCAACATTAATAAACCCTTTTTCATTAGAATCAAAAAGTTGAAAAGCAGTCTGAATTTCATCGCCAATTTTGTCAATTTTTAAACGATCAGAAAGTATATTGGCTAATTCTTGGGCAGTAAATGCTTCTAAAATAAATTTTTTGAGAGTAAAAATAGCGAGAGGAATACACAGGATTTTAATTTTAGATGAATAAAAAATTTAGAAACTCGAAAATTTGTTATATTTGTTCATTTTACAAATTTAAATGTTTAAAAAATAAGGAATGGGCTCGAACCACAGACCCCCAATTTGCTACATAGACCAGCGGATTAGAAATCTACGACTTTTAGCAAAAAAATTTTCGCTGGATATTCACAATGGGTCGGTTCCCACAATAAATTCCGTGGAATAAAGTAGGCGGTAGTTTGTTGGCTAGCTAATTCAAAAAATTAATTCAAAAAACCTTGGTTAACAGAACGAGCAACAGAATCCTCCAACATTCGATCCATTAATTTGTTTACCTTTAAAAACAATTTGTATTTATTCTCAAAAAAGTAAAAAACCTCTTCTTGTCTTGGTTCTAATCCAAGTGCTCTCATTACAATCTGAAAAAAACAAATAAAAGAAAAGAGAGTACACAAAACTTACAAGCAAAAAGGAAAGAATTCACATAAAATACAAACCACATCACACTAAAAAAGTAAAAACAGAACTTTAAAAAGGATTAAAAATGTAAATAAGCATTGGAGCTAAAAAATGTCTGCTTAAAATTAAAAACAAGGGCAAGGCGTAGAATACGAGACAACATTCAAACAAATCGAAAGCGTTACAACTAAACAAACAACTTATTCATAAATTGTGCAATTCGCTCTAATTTGCCAGGAAAATTCAAAATCAATTAACTTTCATTGTCAACAATCAAAAACTGAAAACTTTAAAAACCAAACCTTCAACTTTTTGATGTTAATAAATCCATTTCCAGACTTGTCACAATCAGCAAACACCTGTCCAATCATTTCTTTTGTAATATCGTCTTTTTGTTCCTTTTGGAGTACCACAATTGAGGAAGAGCAAGAAGTACTGCTTAGGCTCATAATTATTTTTTAGTATTAGCGATGGAATAAAAGCTTAAAAATGAATTTTTCGGGTTATTCTAAGGGTATTTAATCTAATTGTAAGGTTTATTGCTTATCAATACAACAAAAAATTGCTTTTTTAAATTCTCCAATCGACTTCGAACCTTCGACCACAAATTTCAATATTATTGGATGTATAGAAATTCCAAAAAAACACAAAAAAATCATGGGGAATGTGCTAGTTCCTTTTAAGATACTAAAAACGCTTTGTTGTATTGATAAGCGACTCTTTGATCCTATTTTAACTAAAATGATCCCTTTTGACTAAAGTCATCCTTTTGCAAAAAAAAACATTGAGATTTGTGGACTTTTGTGAAACACAACCCCAAACTTTAGCAAAAACCCCCAAAAAACAATTCAAAAATAAATTATATCTTTGGTATAGCCAAAACAAACAACAAAAAATACAAACAAGCAAACGTAGTAATAATTATAATAATAATATATATATACTAATAGAATTTCTTCAAAACAACTCTATACATATATATACTCGCATTTTTTGTTTGTTAACGAGAGAAAAAGAGGAAAAAAATACAATTAATAATAATAAAATTCTTTTTTTTTTTTGTTTAAAAGGTTAAGGAGTTTTTTTGTTGCTGTTTTTTTAATAAATAAATTAATTTTTTCCTCCCATTTTTCCTTTTCTTTTTAATCCAATAAATACTATATAATTATATTTTTTTGTTTGTTGTTGAGATCAAAATTAATTAACGGCTAGTACCAGCATCACCACCACTACCAGCACCCTCACGAAAGCGGGAGCGTTTCTCTTAAATTTTTTTGAAATATTATAATTGAGAAGGGGTGAGAGGCGGAGAAGAAAGCGTTGGAATGTTGTGAAATGCTCCCAAAAAGTCCGCAAAATTTTGCCCGCAAATATTTACTTTTTCGATGACAGAATTAGGGGGTTGGCGAATCCCCGGAGACCCTTCGATATCTGGATTAGAAACGAAAATTTCCGGATAACCTGTCTTTTTAAAGACACGGATCCACCAATCTAGTCAGAATTAATGCGGACCCTTTAATTTTTGTAACCTTTGACAACATACATAAAGCTTAAAAATAATCCCCCAACATTTAAAAAACTAACCATCATATTCTCTACTTTCACGCCATTCAGTATCCAAAATAAGCATGCCAAAATGATGTTGAACCATTTGAACAGCATAAAAATTTCCAACAACGCGAACAGCAGCTTCCACGGAATTTTTGTCCTGTTGATTGAGATCTTCTGGTACTTTAATGTTCGCTCCTAAAATTTAAAATTTTTAAGATAAATTATAAATATAAAAAACCGCTTTTCAATTGAAGTCGCTTAACCTAAAAATTAAAAATATTTTTGTAAACATTCTAACAGCATACATTTTGTCCATTCTTCCCAATAATTCGCCCAACAACCTTGCTTGGCACAATTGCCTCACAAGTGAGAACGAGATCCTCCACACGAAAATTCTGACTGTCTGCAACCCTACAAATTAAAAAATCGATAAGAAACCCCTCAAAGAGCCGCAATTAAAAAAAACCAACTTACTTCTTGAATACCCAAAAGAGCGCCTTAATAAGGATAAAAATTAAATCGTAAATTAAATGAAAAGCAAACCCTAGAAACTTGAAAGTCATATCCAGAAATGAACACTCCTCGTTGATCTGGACCTGGTGGATGTCCAGCAACGATATTATTCTTTTTGTGCCCACCATTGGCATGACCAGTAATAGTGACCTCTTCACAAGTTTCCAAAGAATCAACAGCTGCAGGCGCCACAATCGGACCATTCGAAGTTTTATCACCAGCGTTATCACCAACCTCTTGAGAATGATGATCACTAGTAATAACAGAAGGATCTTCAACACAAGTAGTTGTGCTCTTGGTGTTGTTATTATAACTATTTTCTTGGCTGGCAGCGACAGAATTATTTGTGTTTTGATGAACCGAAGAGGAAGATGGAGTCGGATCACGATCACCTTCAATCCTTATAATGGCACTAAAATGAAAAAAAATAAAGCATAAAAATTCACAAAAAATAAAAACCTGCATTCCGCTATAACACTCTTAATTGTCTGACCCTTAAATGAAAAATATAAATTGTCGTTCACTAGCTTGTCTTAAAAAGATAAAATCATATAAGGAAAAACGATAATGGTTTTTAGTAAGGTTGGACACAAACGGTTAACCGAACTGAAACTGAAAACCGGTGTTTTTTGCAAATAAACATAAACCAAAAACCGGGGGGTCAAAACCGGCGAAAACCGAAAACCGGAGGCCTAAACCGATAGGTTTCGGTTTAAAAAATACACCCTAAAGATGGAATTTTTTGGAGTTCTTCGGAATATGAATTCTCAAAATACATTCTACAAAAATATTTCCCCAAATTTTCTTTTCAGCATAGCAAACAGTGAAAAAAATATTTTTAATCGATTTATCTCATCGTTATAGAGTCGGGTGGTTAAGTGGTTATGTGTGTTAGGCACGTTATGTGTTAGGCACGCACGAGATTAAGTTTTGGTTTGATTCCTATTTTTAGAAAAAGGCTTGTACGCAGTAGGAAATTTTAAAATAACTCTCAATCCGTAACTCGCAATTTCTTTTTAAAAATCCGCAATTGCAAAACCCCCACAATCTAAACAATCCGCAATTTTTAAAATGGAGATAAAGAAATTTAATCACTTCAAACTAGTTAAATGTATATGAGCAAATTCTGGTGAAGTGTCAATAAAATTTTGAAGTTTCAAGTTCCTTTTACAGCGCCGCAGGCGAAAATTTTTATAAATTTTGTGTCAAGAAACCAGATTTTTTCATTAATTGTGTGGGAAATTTCGAAAATCTTAAAAATCCGTAACTCGAAATCCGCAACTTACAAGTTTTTTTTAAAAGAACTACGCGCTAAAAATGGAAGAAATTTGCCTTATGGACCTCCAAAATTTTTGCCTGCGGTGCTGAAAAAGGAGGAAATCTGGGTTCTTATTTTCACCCTCGACGTTAAGCAACAAAATTCATAACGCCTTCACCGAACCAGCCAAAACCGAAAACCGAGTGTACCGGTTAATAACCGGTCGTGTCCAACCCTGGTTTTTTAGCTAAAATGATAATGTCAGTCTGCCATGATCATTAAACTGTGTACTATAAACATGACCCCTTATTGTCACAGAAAACTATAACTATTCAAGATAACGAAAATAACCTTAGTTCCGATAAGAATACCGACAATTTGATTTGGCACATAAACACGCGTCTTGATATGAATGGGGGTAGGCATTGAATTCTGTGGCACCAAAGAAAAGTTATGCGGAGTCGCATATTGATGACCCGTAGTATTTTGAAAGCCAGTAATCGACGCTGGATTTTGAATGTAGAGAGATTGCGGGCCCAAAGGAATTGCAGTATTATAGGCAGTTGAATAAGCCTGAAAGCCTTGAGCCGTAATGTATTGACCAAAATTATCCAACGGATTTACAAGCATTCCTTGAGAGGCGTAGTATTGCTGAAGAAAAAGATTAATAAAAGGTTCTTGAAATTTTTAAAATAAACCTTATCTGAATACTCAAAGTTGGATAATGGTGGATCATACGCAACCATACTGCGACGAAAACCGGAACGTTTCTCTGAAAAAAATTTATAGTTGTTCGACAAACTGAGGAAGACTAACCATCATATTCTCTACTTTCACGCCATTCAGTATCCAAAATAAGCGTGCCAAAATGATGTTGAACCATTTGAACAGCATAAAAATTTCCAACAACGCGAACAGCAGCTTCCACGGAATTTTTGTCCTGTTGATTGAGATCTTCTGGTACTTTAATGTTCGCTCCTAAAATTTAAAATTTTTAAGATAAATTATAAATATAAAAAACCGCTTTTCAATTGAAGTCGCTTAACCTAAAAATTAAAAATATTTTTGTAAACATTCTAACAGCATACATTTTGTCCATTCTTCCCAATAATTCGCCCAACAACCTTGCTTGGCACAATTGCCTCACAAGTGAGAACGAGATCCTCCACACGAAAATTCTGACTGTCTGCAACCCTACAAATTAAAAAATCGATAAGAAACCCCTCAAAGAGCCGCAATTAAAAAAAACCAACTTACTTCTTGAATACCCAAAAGAGCGCCTTAATAAGGATAAAAATTAAATCGTAAATTAAATGAAAAGCAAACCCTAGAAACTTGAAAGTCATATCCAGAAATGAACACTCCTCGTTGATCTGGACCTGGTGGATGTCCAGCAACGATATTATTCTTTTTGTGCCCACCATTGGCATGACCAGTAATAGTGACCTCTTCACAAGTTTCCAAAGAATCAACAGCTGCAGGCGCCACAATCGGACCATTCGAAGTTTTATCACCAGCGTTATCACCAACCTCTTGAGAATGATGATCACTAGTAATAACAGAAGGATCTTCAACACAAGTAGTTGTGCTCTTGGTGTTGTTATTATAACTATTTTCTTGGCTGGCAGCGACAGAATTATTTGTGTTTTGATGAACCGAAGAGGAAGATGGAGTCGGATCACGATCACCTTCAATCCTTATAATGGCACTAAAATAAAATCGTCGTCAAAATTCTTAAAAAACAAAAACCCGCATTCCGCTATAACACTCTTGATTGTCTGACCCTTAAAAGAAAAATTTAAAAATGAAGAATAGACCCCCCACCCTATGGTTTTTCGATTTTCTGGACCTATATCCCGGTCCACAGGCATCTCCTGAAAAAGTGTGGGACCGTTAGACTCATCTCGACGAGATAAATCAAATGGTATAGGTCTTGTATCGAAACTTTACATCCTTCCTTTCAAAACCTTACTACAAAACAAAAATAACCTTAGTCCCAATAAGAATACCAACAATCTGATTCGGCACAAATACCCGCGTTTTGATATGAATTGGAGTAGGCAACGAATTTTGCGGCACCAAAGAAAAGTTGTGTGGAGAGGCAAATTGATGATGACCCGTAGTAACCGAAGCTGGATTTTGAATGTAGAGAGGCTGCGGATTTATGCCCAATGGAATTGTAGCATTATATCCGGTTGAATAATTTCCATCCCGAGAAAGGATTGAAGCGCCTTGTGTGGTAATGTACGAACCGATATTGTCCATCGGATTGACGATCATCCCTTGGACAGTGTAGTATTGCTGCTAAATGAGAAAAAAAGAAATAGTATATTTGTTAAGAATCTAAAAAAGCACAAAAATTTAAAGGGAAAAAAATTAAATTAAAACATTTTACCAATTATTCACGAAAAAAAAAAGAAAAGAAAAACCGAAATTAACCTATGAATAAATAAAGAAAATAAAAATCTCGCCTGACAAAACGTGTCTGTAACGTCTAAACCTAAAAACAGAAGAGAAATAGTATTTTGGCATTTCGCTTTTATACTTTATTTAAACTGCTACAGTATATTCAAATCAGAAGTAGTACAAATTGTAATTTTTTATTCAGCAGCGAACGGCGAAAGATGATAGTCCAAAAAGGTGAAAATCGTCACACTTTGGACGGATTAAACGGATTTGGAAGGATTCATGGGATAAAGAGTATATCTAGGGATATAAGAAGGGATTAGGGGTGGCTTCAAGGGATATCAGTGATTTAGAAGGCTATTGAGGATTTGAAGGGATTGAGAGGGATATTAGGGGTAATCCCCCTTTTCCCTCAAAAACATTTTAATCCACACTATATCACTTCACATCCTCTTAATCCTCCGATATTCTACCAATTCCTTTATACTCCGGATATCTTGTCCATTTCCCCTAATCATTTGAGATAACATTTTAACTAAAATTTGAGTTAAAATTTTTTAATAATTTATGCGTCAAATTTATGTCACCATTGGCGGATTTTTGGTCAATTTTTTATTTTAATTTTTAAAGGACTAGAAGCTCGATTTCTTTTTTAGCGCCGCAGACGAAAATTTTCAGAAAATTTGGAAGGCCAGAAAGCCAGATTTCCTCCATTGCGGGAATAAAATAAGGAGAGAGTTTTTTTTGAGAATTTTAAAGGACCAACTGAAGATTCCCGATTCCTTGAACCCTCCTAATCCCTTGAACTCCCCATAGTCTAATATTCAAAATTATTTTTAATTTCTATAAATTCTCATTTTTTCTCGTTCTCTAGTTCAAGTTCAAAGTTTTATATTAAATTATTCTTATTTTTTTATTTATTTCAAGCTTGTTTATTTTTCAGAATTCTTTTCTTTCCTCATTGTTGTCAATGATTCATTTTCATTATTTTTATTCAACAACGAAAAAAACTTAACTTTTTTCTCTTTCATGAGAATTATTTGAATTATACTTTTAGAGACGAACATCTGTCCCCCTTACCTAAAAAATACACCTTATGTTTAATTATACCCAAATCCTCTTCCATATTTATTTTTCTTCTTCTTTCAAATTTAAAATTGATCTGAAATGCTCTAACAACTAATTTTTTTTAAAGAAGAGCAGCCGTGTTGTGTTTATAAAGCCGCCTACTCCATTCTTGCGAAGAAAAAGGAAAGGACAGCTGCCTATTTTTACCAACATTTCCTCTTTTAAGAGAGCTTGATATAAAACAGATAAATGTTTAAGAGAGAGAGGGGGAGAGTCTGAAAATTATATATACTGATCAGGGTGTGCGCCAAAAAATTTATAACACACAAAAACCACAAACTTAAGTTTTTGGCGTTAACACACAGCTAATAATTTTGGTTAGAAATTTTTTTTTCAAAGCATTTTTCAGAATTAAAGAGAGATCAGAACATGAAAAAGAAAAGAGAAATATTTTCTTTTCTGATTTCTTCTCTCTAACTTTTAAAAACTTTGTTTCATTTCCGGGATGCTAGTTTCTACTCTTTAGCTTTTATATACTAGACACACTTTGCGCTCTCTTTTGCTCTTTCTTTTAAATTCTTTCAATCAGCTTCCTCTTACCAACAAAAATCTTTCTAAAGTGCTAAAAGATTTAACGATTTTGACTCACTTTTTTTTATTCTTATTTACTAATTTTTATATCTTCTTCCTTAGCCATTTTACTCAATAATATATCCCCATCCACTTGAAAAGTTGTCTTAGAGCTCAAAAAGAGATAAAAAGTCTTCCTCTCTTGCTTCCACCTTTTTATTTGTGTTGTTTGTTGTATACATAAATACATAGATACTCTCTCTCTCTCTCAACAACGTTAATCACCACAGTTTTGTTTCTAAATAAAATTGTTTTATTTAAAAATCTTCTTTAAAAATGCCATCGCAAACTGGTAAAAAATGACTATTTTTTTGTTTTTTAAATTAACTTTTTTATTTTTTCAGAGATTAAGGAAATTTTCAATCTCTACGATGAGGGTGAGTTAAATAATAATAAAAGGTTAGAGAATCAGACAAAAACTTGAAAACTTTGATTACAAACTTAAAACCAGAATTAAACTTAATTTTAAGCTTAAGCTAGCAAATACAAGCTTGAAAATTACAAACTTGAATACTTAAGGTTTGTAATTGACCTGACTCGCTGTCTTAAAACTTGTGGACTTCAAACTTGAAAAATAAAAATTAAACTTAATTTAAGCTTAAGTTTAGTCAATAAAATTAAAACTTGTAATCAGAATTAAGTCAGAATAAACTTCACTTTGTAGTATATCCCCTCATCCTTAGAGTTAAGTCTACATTTATAGCTGGTACTTATTATAAATCAATTATAGCCTACAGCCCCTCTCCACCTTATGCCTGCCTGTTATCCAAGACCTATCCAAGATCCCCCAGAAATCCCAGATAAAAATTGAGTTTATAGGGCTTCAATTCCCTCCTATCTCTACTAATCCTCTCAAATAAAATTTAAAATATTTTTTTCCTTTTAAAAGAATTGGACGGCAAAATTGACGGTATTCAAATAGGGGAAGTTGTTCGCGCCTGTGGCTTAAAACCAACAAATGCAATGGTTTGGAAAGCTGCCGGGCAAGAATACAAACGAAAAGGTGAAAAACGTTTAACATTTGAAGAATGGCTGCCAATTTTTGACCAACTTTCTAAAGAAAAAGAAGTTGGAAGTTATGCAGATTTTATGGAAGGACTTAAAGTTTTTGATAAAGATGAAAGTGGAAAAATTATGGCAGCTGAATTGAGGCATGTATTATTGGCGTTGGGAGAGCGTCTCAATACTGAAGAAGTTGATGAACTTTTACAAGGAGTTGAGGATGGAGAGGGAATGGTTAATTATGATCGTGAGTTTTTCTTTAACTTTAAAGAAAAAAATTTTTTTGGCTCTGATTGGATTAAAAGTATTCAAAATCTTGTAGTCATGCTTATAAAATTTGCGGACAACTAGTGTAAAACATATAGCTATTATAAGGATGATTCATCTAGAGCATCTAAAACGAAGAAAGCATTAGTCGTCGCCCCGATCGCTCAGTGGTAGAGCACCTGCATTTGTGTGAGCAAGGCCGAGCAAGCACTGTCAGCGTTATCGCAGGTTCGAATCCAGCCCCGGTGACTCTATTTTATTCCTAAGGCTATGCAATAGGCGGCGTGGTGTAATGGAAAATAGCTAAAGGAGAGAAATATCCAGCTCTGCTTTACTCTAGTAGTGCCCGCAAATATCGTCAAGAAAAACTAAATGTTAGCCCAATTTTTGGAACCTACACCTAATATGGTGGTTAGAGGATAAATTCGAGAACTAAAAATTAATCGGGTATTTTAGACACAAAATTACTTAATAAAATAAGTCGCTTCAATTTACTTATCTTTAAATTGTTATTGTCTGAGTGAATTGTCTGAAAAAAATGTCTGATAATACTAAAAAGAAAAAAACAAAACCTACATATATCCGAATTGATCGAGTATTGATCAAGTCTTCCAATTTCCAATCAAAAATACACAGTCGAACCTCACTAAAAGATAACCCAGTGTTCTACTTAAGACACCTTTTATATTTTGGTTGGCCATTGAATGGGGTGCTGCCTAAGTGATGCCCTCTATTTAATAACCTCTTTTCAGTCACCTTCTATTTAAGGAACACCTCATTATAGGATAAGTACGTTTCAGTTGTGGGGTATTTAGAAGCGAGGTTTAACGGCAGAAAGTGAAGAAAACCTTTATTTAAGATATCCCTCAACTCAACTCAAGGAGGGTGTATCTCATTCTCTCACTAAATTTAACTTTTTCAGAGTTTATCAAGAAAGTGTTGGCTGGACCATACCCTGAAGGTGACTAGAAAAATGGAAGAAAAATAATGGGAAATTTTCTTGAAAAAAAAATTTACAAAAAAAACAAACAAAATTTACCCACCACACCCCCAAAAGTTCTTCCAAAAGAATTTTATATTAATTACTCTTTATATCCATAAAATATATTCGATAAAGCTAATAAATTGATTTAAAAACAACAGAAAAGTTTCAACTGTTTTTTAACCTCTTTTTACATTCTGCATAAATACTAGTCAAATCGAGTGCCAAAACTATGTTTTGCTTAAAAAATTTAAAATTCTTAAATTAATTTTTTCGAAATAATGTGGTTATCTGCCCATATTTTTTTCCTTCGTTTTATCCTTTTCTACTTTTTCAATATCAAAAATAAAAGAAAATTTTGGCTTTTTTTTAGCCTTATTAATTTAATGAGACACTGATTCTCCTTTAATAGGTCAAGTGTTAGGGCCTTAAAAATCCCTTTTTTGACTAACTATTATGTGACTTTGCCCAATTAACTTTTCTAACATGAGAAAGAAGAAAACGGATAACCACAAAAAAAATTTAAAAAAACCTCCGTAAAAACAAAAGGAATAGCCTTTCCATTTGTACCAATTAAAGGTCTTCTTTCTGTTTGTATTCCTCCTTTAAAACAAGAAAATGTAGGAAGTTGTCTACTTGTAGCGCTACAATTAATTCTAAAATGTTCTGCTTCCTTTGGAAATCTCCCCACGTCCAATTTACCTTCAAAGAAATTTTTAAAAGTACTGTTTTATATTAAAAAGCATCCACAATTTTTTGCAGCCACAACAATTGATGTCTGCAAATCCTTTACGGACACCTAAAAAACTTACAGACATGCAAAAAAATTGCGGACATTCGTAAAGAATTTTCAACCTCCTTACCAAATCGTAGGTTTGGCAAAGTAAACCTTTAAAAAATATTTAAAATTAAAATAAAAAAATTTTTTTCAAATAAACTTTTCACTCAAAGCATTAAATACAGGCCTAACATAACGACATTCTGGACTCCACGTTGAGAAGAATTCAATAATCCAAACAATTGATTTGTCTTCTTGAAGTGTATTCTAATAATTTAAAAGAGTCTATCTTTAATCTATCTTTAATTTTCTCAAAAGAATTATTCTTGGAAAAAGTCATTTTAGATACAGCTACTACTAGAAATGGACAGAAAAAATCGAGTCAGACTATGATCGTAAAAAACTTAAAAAGTTAGTTGCAGACATCCGCACGTCTTTTGCGGATAGAAAATATTTAAAAAACAAACCTTAAGCTCTTCTCCATTAAAAAATCTAACTTTTTCAGAATCAGGAGGTAAAGGTTCATCTACCAAAACATACAAAGTAATAACCAAAACACAATAAAAAAGACCATAAATTGGTTTAACACGAAAGAATAATAACGAATTTGCCAATTTAGAGTAAAGATAAATTGTTGAAAAAGTATGTAAATAACTTGAAGATTTTCGGCACTTGAAAATGACGATAACAACAAGAAAAATTAAAATTTCATTTTCTCTCTGAAAAGAAAAAAAAGATTTTTATTTTTTACAAACAATTTTGAGGACAAAATTTGCCGCCTAAAGACATACAAGTCCGAAAACTTTCCTAAACTCAAAACTAAGATCTATCACACAAGACTTGAATTAGCGTCAAAAATTTAAAAGACAACAAGACAATTATATTTTGGAGACCCACAGAACAAATTTTTGATTTTTAAACAAAGGCAAAAATTCTGTGGTAGAAAAATGGAATTTACATCAAATAGGGGTAAATTTTGTAAAAATTGAATGAGGCTCCTTAAAGTCCGCAGATTTTCTGAAAGTGCGAAATCTTCTAGATGCCCGCAAAAACTCATTAAAAATATAAATAATTTAAAAATAAAAAGAATAAACCGTGTCAATATTTCTGTTTTCCATTCCAAAAAGCATTTCAGAAATTTTTGGAGTCAGTTTAGCAAATGGAAAAGCAATAGAAAGCATAAAATTGATCAAATGATAGACGTTGCAAATGCTTGAGAATTCGTTTTTTCTCTTACGCAATTCTTCCAACATTTTCTAAGTTATTAATTTTAGAAAAGAAACAAAAATAATTTTTAATCTGAAAGAGAATATAAATTTTAATTATTTAAAATCACAGCTTCATAAAAAAGAAAAATAAACGAAACTAGCAGGGAATACACTCCAAAACTTTACCTTGTGATTAGGGTTGCCAAAATGGACCGATTTGAACCGAAAGAAGAAAAACACCCCCACTTAACCAACAATAACACAACAAATCCTTCAATTTCAAAGAATTAATGTTATTTAAAACCCTTTAAAATGCAAAAATAAATAGTTGCTTTTAACAGCTTTTATTTTTTAATAAAAATTAAAATAGAAAAAACAACTTTATTGAAAAAACATTGCATAAATATAATCATCATCTTTTTAGTCAATTTTAATTACCAAAGAACGCTAAAAAGCGACAATTGAGGAATTTCTCCATTTGGAAGTGGATCAGCACCATTTCGCATTCCTAAGAAAATTTTTTTAAGTTGAGCGATCGATATATAAAAATTCTAAAGATAGGCTTGGACCTGAATTCCTATCTTTATTTTTCTTGTACGAGTTACGATCAAGGTGCTTTTCGGGTTTACCTGACTTCAAACCAAGAATCTGGCCAAGGTCACCCAATAAATGTAAGACAGCCCATCATAAACAAAAAAAACTCCTTCCCTCCCCACAAGACCAAGAAAATTTTAATAATTTAATAAAAAACAAACCCAAATAAATAACAGTCGGCACAAATCCACATTGCAAATATTTTGTAACAACATGAGCAGAAATTGTGAACAAGTGTTTTGCTAAAGATGGAGATTCCCATTTACTAACATCCTTTTCGGAAACATCAGCACTCATAAATTCCATTTTTTCTTTTACTTTTTTTAAATTAAAAATCTGTTGAAAGTTTGATTAAACAAAAAATAAAATTAATTAAATAATTTAATTGAAAAAACAAATAAAATAAAAAATACAATTTGATTATCTGTCCCAAAAAAGCTCAAAAAATTTAAAAATGGTCAAGGTTTGCATTTTTTAATTTTCGAGAGAATTACAAGTCAACCTTGGGCCAGGGATGGCATATCCGATACCCGACTTCTACTTCCTTCACAATCCGTGACATGTGGACGACATGAGAATTAACCCAAATTATTTGATTTTGAGCATTTTAAAATTTCTGAAAAAGAAGAAAAATATGGCCAGATAACCAAATGGTATCTTAAAAACAAAAAAATATTTTAATTAACCCTTTAATATATTAAAAAATAAAATTTAAAAAATTCTTTTTTCTATTCAGCAAACATATCAACAGTTGCTTCTTTTGCTGTATTATTTTCATCAGCTTTAGGTTCTAATTCTTCAATCATTTTTTGAATTTTTACTGGAGAAAGTTGATAAGCTTCCATATGGCCACGAGAAATTAATGAATCTGCGAGGGATGTTAATTCCGCAATTTTATTTTGAATTGAATCATTTTGAATAGGTAAAGAGGTATTCCCCGTCTTTTTGGCTGCCCAACGCCTTTTGCGTTCCTCTGAAGCACTGAGACCTGAAAAAATAAATTTTAATTAAGGGATAAATTTCCTTTGTAAAGTATATCCAGGGGAGAAGAAGGCTGGAGTTTTCCAAGTTAACCATTACCGTTTTCAGTACACAAACTCTTTAGTCAAGCCGTAATTGTTAAAAACGAAAGAAAAACCTTTCTGACTGTTTAATTTCTTTAAAGCTCCATCAATAGTTTCCCCAACTCCAAGTAACTCAAGTAATTTTGAATAAATTGTTTTTAATTCCAAATCGTCCTCCTTCTCATTTGTTATTACTTCATCGTCTAACTAAAAAAATTTTTTTGAAATAAAACAAAAAAATTAAAAAAACCTTTCCCCATTTTTCCCCAGCAGCGTCCTTTGCTTTATCCCATTCAATATTATCTAGCCAGGCATCTTTTATAGCTGCCTCTTTTTTATTGTAAATAAAAGTACCAAAAGCGTCAAAATGACCTTCTTCTAAATCATCATTCATGTTAAAGGGCATTATTTTTATTTCTCCTTCATATTCTTGTGTTGCATCTTCTTGGCCTTCTACCTAAAAATTCGAAAATTTGTTTAGAAAATGAAACAATGTAGTTAGGGGGGGGGGTTATTTAACAATATGAGCGCCTATCAAGAATCGGAAAACAAATTCTGACTAACTTTTTGCATGTCCAACCTCTCATATTCATTAACATTGTCTTCCTCATCTGAATCTAAAGTATGCTTTTTATCAGCTTTGGAAGTTCCAGGTAATTCAAATTCGTCGTTATCCTCATTCTCATCACCATCTCTCTCAAACCTATTTCTTTTAACTCGTTGTTGTGTTGACTCTTGATCTTTTGAATCTTCTGCGAATTGTACTCGTCTTTTCATCTAAAATTTAAAAAATTCAAAACGAAAAAACGTAAAAATAAGAAAAAAGTAAAAAACTTTTGAAAAAAATTCACGAAATAAGACAAACGAAATTTTACAAAGATTAGGTATACTGTAATTTATTAGTTTTGAAACGAATTTAAGGTAATTAGAGTCGAAGCAACCCGACTACACTTAAACAAGACTGAACTGTCAAAAATTATTGATGTCTTACCTAATTTCTTTTTGCACTATTAATTTTTATTTTTCTCTAACAATGAAGAAAAATGTCAGCCAAGTCAATTTCATTTAACCAAATTTTAATTCGTCACTGCGAATTATAACGAGTTATTTCTTCTACATAGTTGGTTAAATGAAAAAAAAGGACGTGTATTTTTCTTGTTAGTTTTGTTGGAACATTTTTTGAGGTTTTTTATCAGTAAAAACTTTAACTTTGAGAATGAGTCATTTTTTGTTTTAAATTTTTATTGGCTGTAGTGTAGTGTACCGGTGGTAAAAGTTCGAGACATGATATATGTCATTCGATTCGTCTCGACGAGCTGAGTCGAACGGTACCACTCCCTATTTTAGGAAATAATTCTGGACCGAGTTATAGGTCCCGGAAAATTGAAAAACCATAGGGGGGAGTAAGCTCGATTTTGGGTGAAAAATTCGAATATGCAAATAATAGCTCATTCGAAAGAGCTCCTCGAGCTGAGTCGAATGACACCAAAATCAACAAAATCCGACTTGATTGGACAAAGTTACGATCGTTTGTTTTAGCTCCTTACCTATGGTCTCCATGGAGGGTTTTGCTGCTACGGAGGCTCCAGGTATGCCCAGAGCAAGGGAGATAGGAATAGGTTTATGTTACGAGCCCAGACCCACCGCCCGTAGACTCCCCGCGAGGCGCGTGCCGCAAACCCCCGCGCGAAGCGCGGGGGTTTGCACAAGCGCCTCGCCGACTCTCCATAGGATTATGTTGCTTGTTTTTTGTGTCGTAACATTGTCTAATCTTGTTCAATCACGGTGATTTTGGTGTCATTCGACTCAACTCGTCGAGCTCTTTCGAATGAGTTATTATTTGTATAAAAAATTTTTTATTCCAAAAATCGCCCCTTTGGATCTTCGATATTTAGGGGCCTATATCTCGGTCCAATCAAGTCGGATTTTGTTGATTTTGGTGTCATTCGACTCAGCTCGAGGAGCTCTTTCGAAAGAGCTATTATTTGCATATTCGAATTTTTCACCCCAAAATCGAGCTTACTCCCCCCTATGGTTTTTCAATTTTCCGGGACCTATAACTCGGTCCAGAATTATTTCCTAAAATAGGGAGTGGTACCGTTCGACTCAGCTCGTCGAGACGAATCGAATGACATATGTCACGTCCCGAACTTTTACCACCGGTACACTACACTATATCCTTTTTATTTTCAGCAGCTTTTCTCCGAGAGGATTAATTATTTTTGTTTTATTTAAAATTCAAATTTTTGACCAAATAAAATAATGGGGAATGTTTTTACAAATTTGTTTAAAGGATTGTTTGGGAAAAAGGTTTATATTTTTTATTTAAATAAATTCTTACTTTCTGATCCAAAGGAAATGCGTATTTTGATGGTTGGACTTGACGCTGCTGGTAAAACGACAATTCTTTACAAGCTTAAACTTGGAGAAATTGTTACTACTATTCCGACTATAGGTTATTTTACATAATTTTTAAGAGAATATGTAAAAATGTCAGCAGAGACCGGGATTTTTGAAAAAAAACCTGATAGAACCGGACCGTTTCTTGAGAGATGTTCCACTTTTTATTGACTAGGAAAGGCCCAAGGAGCTCAGCAAATGTCTAGGTCAGAGTACAGGAAGGCCCACAGACCACAAGGTATATGCAGTACTTCCCGTCCAGGCTCGAGTTAAAAGACTCCTGTGTCTTGTTTCTAAGTTTCTTCATTGACAGGGAAGACCAGGGTCCTAGCCCAGACTATTCGATTTCATATGTCAGCTAGAACCTTTAAACTAAATATAAATCTTCCTTAATCGCATGGGAGATGTTCATAACCAGCGCGGTTCTGAGATTTTGTTACCTCCGCATTACTAGACTGGTCTAGTCTGGAAATGAAATAAATAATAAAATCTATGAAATAACCTCATTTAAACATTTACAGGATTCAACGTCGAGACTGTCGAATACAGAAATATTGTAAGTTTGAAAAATAAAGACTTTATAAAAAATTTTTTGTTTCTATTTAGTCATTTACTGTTTGGGACGTTGGCGGTCAAGACAAAATTCGTCCACTTTGGAGGCACTATTTCCAAAATACTCAAGGTTTTTTAAGTTATTTTTTGTCCAAACTTATTTTTAAAGGTCTTATATTTGTTGTTGATAGCAATGACCGTGAAAGAGCTGGGGAGGCACGCGAAGAATTAATGCGAATGTTGGCTGAGGATGAACTTCGCGATGCTGTCCTTTTGGTTTTTGCTAACAAACAGGTTTTTAAATAATATATTAAAAAATAGATCCGTGTCCTTGATTCAAAGGATAGTCTTGCTCTTTGGGTTATTCCCCCATCCTTTCCACTTTCCATGAAAAAAATTGAACCTTTAGGGCTTAATTCAAATGATAAAACTTGATCTAAAGACAAAGAGATGGTGTATATTTAAATTTTTTCAAGGATCTTCCAAATGCTATGAATGCTGCTGAAGTGACAGACAAATTAGGACTTCACACTGTAAAAATATTTTTTAATTGTTTCCAAGTAAACAAATTTTTCAAGCTTCGTAATCGTAACTGGTACATCCAGGCAACATGTGCAACTTCTGGGGATGGCCTCTATGAAGGACTTGACTGGCTTAGCAATCAACTTAAGAACCGAGGCTAAGGGGAGAGGAAAGCTGTTAAAAAGAAAAATTTTTTGGTTGTTAAAAAAGGTGATGGGAAAAAATGATGAGACTATTATTATTATATTCTTTTAAAAAAGGTCAAAACTTTTCAACTGTTTTTTAAAATGTCTATAAAGGTAATCTTTCAAAATTATTTTCTGGTCGTCATGTATTAAATTTAATTTTAAGTCAAACTGAATTTTTTTGAAAAAAACCTTGCTATAAGACTCCCATAGTTTATGATACGTTTTTCTAAAATTTGGTGGGCCATAGGGAAAAAGGGAGCTGTCAGCGATACCACAGGGATGTCACCGGTTGGGAGCACCGAACTTTGTGGATTTTGCGAAGAAAAAATTTCAAAAATTTAAGTCAGCGGCGAAGGGTCAAAGGGCCGTCTAATATACCCTAATTTGAGATACGCCCCTTCCTCCTCCTTTCATCGAGGAACAATTATAAGATCTGTAGTGGTAGTCTTATAGTGGGGGTCTCAAAAAATTATTATTTTTAATGAAATTTTACACCAGCAGATTACCTTTTTTCGAAAATTATAAACACAAAAAAACTGTTTTTGGATTTTATTTTACCCTTATTATTCTATAATCTATCTATATCCTTTTAAAAAATGTTTCCTCTAAAAAATGTGAACAACAACAAAACATATTTATTTTGATTGACCTTAAAATTTTTTCTTGTAAAAATAAAAATTTGGTAAAAAAGCTTTGATTGTTATTCTAGGGATATATTTTAAAATAGTTTTTCCCTACAAAATCTGTGTGTGTGGGGGAGGAGGGGGGGATATTTCTTCCCCTTTCCCCCTTCCTTCCAATAACTTTTTAAATTTCTGCAATCGAAAAATTAATTTCAATAATTGCTTTGTAAAAGTTTTCTTCAGTGTTTTGTACAAAAACAATTCTGTCTGTGTTGATTGATTTAAGGGAAGATAATAAAGCGTATCCTTAAAATAATTTAAAGAGGTAAATTTTTTATTAAAAAAACCTAAAGCAATTCCTCTAGCTTCAATGAAAGAATAATTTCCATTAATAATAAAACCAATTGGTGATTGTCTTAAATTTATTTTCAAATAAATTAAAACGGCCTCTTTTCCTTTATGCTCCCAAAAAGTCCGCAAGTTAAAAATTGTTGATAATAAACGGCTCTATCTTAGGATATGCGTCCCATGAACTTTTATGCGTCCCATAAACAAAAAATTAGATTTTTCTTGGTGTTGGAAAGTAGGGGTATGGGTCCAAAACATTTTTTCATGTTTGGGACCTACGCCCACTGGGTCTGGGACCGTTCCTTACCCGATCCCTCGAAATTTCTAAAAGTTACAGCCAATTTTTAAAAATTTCAGAAAAACGATTTTAACTTTCAGAAATTTCGAGGGATCGGGTAAGGAACGGTCCCAGACCCAGTGGGCGTAGGTCCCAAACATGAAAAAATGTTTTGGACCCATACCCCTACTTTCCAACACCAAGAAAAATCTAATTTTTTGTTTATGGGACGCATAAAAGTTCATGGGACGCATGTCCTAAGATAGAGCCTAATAAACTTTTGCGGACAATACTTGCATACTTTCCTGGACTTTTCCTTTAGAGCAGTAAAGTGCCTAAATAATTTAAAAAAATTCCCAACCTCGTGTCATCAATTTTTTCTTTTTCTTCCTCAATAATCAAACATCCCTCCTTCAATCCATTTTTTTCTTCTTCAATTTTCTTTTTCCTCTTTTTCTTCTCTTTTTTTCTTTTATTTCTCAATGTTTTTAATTCTTTTTTATTTAAATTTTGAGGAAATAAATTTTTTAAATTTATTTGTTTATCAAAAGGTTTATTTTCCAATTCATTACTAAAAATTCCATTAGACAAATTTTCTTCCAAAAGTGGTAAAAAACCGCCAACAATTTCCTTTTTATTTTTGTATCCATTCTTTAAAAAAGAAAGAAAGCTTTGGTCTAGTTTATGAGTCCACTTTTAATTATATAAACTTTTGTCGGAATGAATAAAGCTTCAATGGATTTATAAACCGGATAGTCTTAAATTAAAGGATGATCCCAAACCTCACATTTATGGAACCCAAAAAACTCAACTTTGAAAACCAAAAATAAATTCAATTTTACCGACCCCCCCCCCCCCTCCCTTTCCAAAAAAATTCAAAAACCTGTTCTACTAAAAATTCTCCTTCAATTTTCTCCTCCTCATTTTCAATTTCTTTAAATTTTTTAAAATTTTCAGATTCTTTTTTCAAAATATAATTGTCAGTTGTATAAATTAATGAAAATTTTTTTGGAATGCCTTTTGACAACATTTTTAGATAAATTGGTACAAAACAGTGGGTAATATTCAATTTCGTTCCCCCCCTCCTTTTTTCCACCCTCAAAGTATTAAAAAATGGTCACAAAGTTATGACATAAGGTTGCCGACTTCGGTAGGTCTAAATAATGCCATAACTTTGTCAAAACTCGTCCGATTACGTTGATTTCGGTGTCATTCGACTCAGCTCGACGAGCTCTTTCGAATGAGCTATCATTTGCATAAAAAATTTTTATTCTAAAAAATCACCCCTGTGGTTGTTCAATTTTCAGAGGTCTGTATTTCGGTCAAATCAAGTCGGATTTTTTTGATTTTGGTGTCATTCGACTCAGCTCGACGAGTTCTATAACTTAAGTCAGACTGACCATTTTTTAATACTTTGAGGATGGAAAAAAGGAGGGGGGGAACGAAATTGAATATTACCAAACAGTGTTTTGAATTGTTGATTAAATTTTCTAAAATTTATTTTTAGCTTCTATGTATACTACAAAATTCACAATCACCACTCCTTGAGGGAGTAATTCCATCATGATCAATAAAATCAGAAAAAAGGTTAAGGGAAACCCTGCACCGGTCATTAATTAAAGGCCAACTTTTAAAAACGAATTGAGTTATAAGGGGGGGGGGGGGGGTAAACCTCGAAACTTCAAATGGTATCCAACACTGCCCTCTACCTCTCATTTTTAAGATATTACAAAACTTGCAAATAACAAACGACGTTCACAACCCCAAAATTAATTTAAAAAAAAAGAGAAAACCTTCTACATTTATCCATTCATTATCATCATCATTTCTTCTTCTTCTTTCTCTATTTTTTAGCCAATAATCAATTTGTTTAAGTAATAATCTTTCTTTTAATACAAATAAATTATTGTCCATTAAATTAATTAATTTTAAACATTTTTGTAATTTAATAAAAGCAAGTCTACATTTGTGAGATTTTTTGGAATTTTTCTGTTTAAAAAAAAAGAAAATAATTTTTTTTAATTTAACACAAAAATAAAATTTGGTATTTCTCTTAGAACGTTGATTGCTCTCTGAGGGAAGAGACCTCATGGGAAATTAAAAAATCGTTTAATCTATTTTTTACAAACAAAAAGTTTTAAGTTAATTAAAGCTTAATTGTAAATTTTATTTTTGTGATAAATTTAAAAAATTATTTTCCTTTTAAAATTAAAAAAATCCCTGAAACCAGGGATAGGTAATTTCCAAAAAAAGAGTCAAATTTCCATCTTTAAGGGACATGTATAAACTTACTTAAAAGCTATAAATTTAAAAATAGGACTAACAAGTTAATAAATAACCTGCTAACTAACTAAGAATTTTTTTCGAAAATTTTGAGGAAATCTTTTCAAAAATTATGAAAAAAATTTTCCCAGTCCCTGCCCTTTCGGAATTTTGGAAAAAATATTTTCCCCAAATTACTTGGAATAATAAATAATATTCGATTTGGACAAAAATATAATAAAAAAACCTCAATTAATTCAACTTCTTCTTTCAATTTTCTTTTCCCAGCAAAAGAATCTACAAATTCATTTGGGAAATTTACCAAACCATTTTCAAAATTTAAATGTTCCCAATTTTTTAATCCAATTGCTCGACATTTTGCAAATTGAAAAGCTAACCAAAAATCATAGCTAACTTGTGTTGGGCATAAAAAATCAACTCGAAATCCTCCAAGATAATTTTTACATTTTTGGGGTAAATGAAGGATAAGGACTATTGGAACCTAAAAAAATTAACAATCAAACTGGGGAAAAGGCACGTAAATATATAAAAAGAATAAAAAAGAAAAAAACCTTAAAATCTGTCCGGCTAGGCAAAACCAATTTTCCCACACAAATCTTTTCAAAATCAGAATTTGTCAATCTCTTTGGAAGCATTTCATCTTCAAATTCCTTCCAATTCCATAAATTTATTTTTAAATTTTTTGAATTATTTGAAGGAGGTAAAGGAATATTTGAATAATTAATTTCATTATTTTCTTCAATAAATTTATTATTTAAAGAACGTTGAGCACGAAATAAACGTGGATCTTCTACAAGTAAATTAATTAAAGTGCCAGATTGAAGAGAAGAATTTGAGACTATTTTTGTTGCAAATAAACGCCACCAATTGTGAATATCTCTTCAAAAAAAATTTTTTTTAATTTGAGGAAAAAAGAAGAGAGGAAGGGAATTTAGGAGATAAATTACTCACATTTTACTATGTATATAACGAGAGTCTCAAGCGATCTCCTAATTTTAGCAAACTTTGAAGCCCCATAACTTTTTAGTTTTATATTCCTATCCAAAAAAGTCAAAAATTTTCAAGAGTAAATCGACTCACAGTTCAAAAGGTTCCCCTGTGAGAGGGCTGAAATTTAAAAAAAAGAAAAAGGAAACCCCCAACCTGTAATCAGAACAATCCAAAATATCCAATTCTTCATCCAAAACAAGTTTAAAAACAAAGTTTAAATAAATTAAAGATTTGGGCCCAATTAATTGAAAACGACTAATTTTATTTTTTAAAACATTCAACTTCAAAAAAAAATTTTTTAATTCAAAAAAATTAAAAAACCTCAATATAAGCCTCAATCTTCTCTGCTGTATTGTTACAATATTTTGAAGGAGAAATAATTTTAATTTCATTTAATAAAGAAATTTCTTTTAAAAAATCAAGCTCAATTGAAGGGTGAATCCATAAAATTAATTTACTAAAATTAATAATTATTAAAAATTTTTTTCCGAAGTCTAAAAACCGCAAGTTGCGACAAAAAATTTTTAATTTGTTTTTTATCCTTTCTCCGCTTAAACCCCCTTTTTGGCAACCCTATAACAACTAAAAAATTTTTGAGGATTCGAACCTTCTTGGTCCAAAAATTTTTTTTAATGAAGAAAATAAAAAAACAAACTTAGGTAAAAACCAAGAAAATCGACAAGGACCAATAAATCCATTAAAATCGTCACCAGGTTTAAAAAGAAGCAGAGATATTTCAAAATTACCAGAAATAGCAAATAAATTATTAAAAGTTGGAGAACATTTCTTTAAAATTATAAAAATAAAATTATACTTTTGGCCTAAGGGGTCCCAAAAAATTTTTTGGGAGACCCAAAACCGATAAGTATTAAAAAATAAACCTTTTGACAAAATTTTGATAATAAATTTGAAATGAATGAAATTGAAGTATTTTTAGTTAAAGTGAATTGCAAACAAGTTAAATAACTTCGATCTGTTATACTTTAAAAATAAATTGAAATATTACAAAAAATTTCAGTAAATCTGGAAAAATAAGAGCTGACTAGGGTGGTTAACGGCCTTTTAATCTAATAAATTTAAAAGCGATTCAAAAAAAAATTTTCTCCAAATGCCAATTTAAAGTCCCCTTCCAAATAAATTTCAAACAAAATTGCCCTTGAATAACTTAAGAAAATTAAAAAATACATTGAAGAAGAAAGCGAAGAACGATAGTTTGGTCTAAAAGTTTTTTGACAACATTTAGCAGCTAATTTAAATCCCCAAATTGCTCTAAAAATTTAAAAAATTAGAAAAAATTAATTTTTATTTTACTCCATATGAAATCGTTTAGCATGCCAAATATGTGTAGATAACCAACGAGGTTTTGAATTCTCTACCATGCTACGCTGAAATAATTTTATAAAATTGTGGAATAAAAAATTAAGATACATTCCTGGCCCATCTCTCATAATGAGGGGTACAGTAAATTGAGAGTATCATCATTTTCCCTTTTTAACAGTCAAAACTAACTTTTAAATAACCCTCAACTAAAAAATATCTTATAATGAGATGCCCCACTTATTCTATGGTTAACCAAATTTAAAAACCGTATCTAAAATTGAGGTAAAGCCAGTAAGTATTGTCACATCTTAATTCGTCAAACACCCTTATGGACGCAAAAAGTATACGTAAAATAGACCAAAACCAAAAATTTTGCCCAAAAAAAAATAAAATTAAAAACAAACTCTAATAAGCCTAGAAGCTCTTCTCCTCCAAATACGACTAGGCATCTTTTTCTTCTTTTTCTTATTTAAATTAACATCAACAGGCCTAAAAAGCCTTGGCAAACGTTTTACATTGTGTGACATTGCTCTTCTCCTCATATGTCTCGGTAATCTTTGGAAAAGGGTTCTGGGTGCAGATGTGCTTTCGTCACCGCCGGCATTGCTACTTACAACCTTTAATAAAATTTTTAAAGGAAAACTGACTTAAAGACAAAGAGAAAAAAGCAAAAAAACCGCCAAAGGGCAAGAATCGAACAACGCGACCTCTTGCCAATTTTTGCTAGGAGTTTCGCCTACACGTTAAGGTCCGGTAATTTTGAACATGAACCGCATCTGCGTTTATTTCCCTTGTTTGAACATTCAAATGCTAACCCAATCTTCTTTTCCTTACAAACTGGAAGTATTTGAAAATTTTTAAAGCTGGCCTGTTAGTGGAGAGTTTCTCTGGCCTGTTAGTGGAGACCAGGGATGAGATGGTTTAGGAAAATGTCGAGGTTCGGTTCGAAAAGTCTGGGTTGGGTAATCAGACACCTTGTTGAGACGCTAAACAATCAATTTGAAAATTTCTGCAAAAATCATCAAACCAAGCTCAACAAAAGCCATCAATTAACAGCAGTAAATAAAATAAAAAAACCTCTAACAGCTCGGCAATTTGATCTAATCTTGCTTTCACATATTCAGTAGTGTCTATTAAACGTGGTCGAAATACTTCCTCACTTACTTCCATCTAATTGTAAGTTAAAAAAATAAATTAAAAACTCTTAAAAATAAAGAAATCAAAAATTGAAAATAGCTACTAGTAGAAATTTTAAAAAATTTTTCATAAATAAATTTAACCAAAGTTTATCAAATTTTGGAAAAATCAAAAAACACAATTGGTCCTTTTCCTTTAGCTTCCAAAAGACACAAGCAAAAGGGGATTATTTGGATAAAATACTGATAAAACTTGCGGACAAAAAATTTGCAGAAAAACTTGGAAACTTTAGGAAACATAAACAAAAAATAACCAAACAAAACAACTAACAATAATTTAAAAAAACTTTTTTCAATTTTCATCATTTTTCAACAAATTCAATCTTTGCCTTATTCTTTGCTTAATTAAACTTCTCTTCTTGTCATAGGAGAGTGTTTTCTTTAAAATAAAAATTTAAAGATTAAAATTTTAAAATAAAAAAAAAACAAACCTCAGCTAATGGCTCGTTATAAACTTCGTCAACAAGCTGTTTTCGAATATTCATTTCATCCTCATAAATTCCTTCAAAATTACGTTTCTAAAAATAAAATTTTATTAAATAAAGGAAAAACGACGAAAGATTTATTTTTAGAATCATCAAGACTGCGGAATTTTCCACTAGAGATTCAACAGAAAAATTTTTTGAATTGGCGAAACATTTAATCAAAATACAATTTAATTTCTAACAAAAAGAGCGAGTATTAAGAAAAAACCTTGCTGAGAAGATCCACACGTGCTCCATGTTCAAAAACAACTTTTTCAATCAAATAGGGGACTGTAGAAGCAATCCTTTTCTCTTCAGGAAGTTTTCGAATAATAACAACATCACCCAATTTGCATTTTTCTTCAGGATCCAAAGCCCAATAAAGCTCAAATGTTCGATAAAAAATCCGAGTGACTTCAAAAAACCTTAAAAATAAATTTGTAAGGCGAAATGAAGATAGGTTCTTTCTTTTCCCGTATGCCCCGAAAAGTCCGCAAGTTTTGTCCGCAAAAGTTGCAACTTTTTATTTTATTAAAAAACAAAGTTATTTTGGGGGAAGAAACTCAAAAGAAAACATACCGAAATGTAAGTCAAAACTTGTATTTTTTGGTATAAATATGTAGATAGAGCACCAGAAAATCTTCGGCTTTTTTGCCCCCCCCCCCTCCCCCCAACAAAACTTACGTATATAAAGGCACTCTAACATGAAGACATGGAATTTTTTCAAGGCCAATACGACTCAAAACTTTAACTTTGCCAAGTAAAAGCTCTCTAGAAATTTTCAATTCCCAAGGTAGAGGATTAGGTTTAATTTGTCGACCATCTCTAATGATTACAGGAGGTCGACGTGACTTTGGAATAATCATTTCTATAAAATCTAGAAATTATTTAAAAAAAACAATTGAGAACCTCATTATAAAATAAACTCTTGCAACTGAAAATTGTATTTTATTATGAGGTGTATCTTAAATAGAGAGACTTATGAGAATAAAGAAGGAAAGTCAAACTGAGTGAGGAGAGAGGGATATAAAAAATGATCGCATTAAAACACTTGTAATTTACTGCGATCATTTCTCCCATCCAATGGCCAACCAAAATTTAATAAAAGCATATATTAAATAGAGGGGTATCTTGTTTAGGGGGTGTATCTTATAGTAAAGTCTGACTGTTTAAGATACTCTCAATACTAGAACATCTCTCGATTTTTAGCCCCAAGGAGGTTGTTATAACGAGGTTCGAAGCGAGAAAAAAATTAAAAATTACACAAGTATTCAAATGGTAAAAATATTAGCTAAAAACTGTAACTTTAGAAAAACATATAATTATAATTTAGTGCGACAAAAAAGCTTTATTATTTTTAAAACGTTACAATTTTGAGAGATATTTACTAATTTAGAGTTTTTGTTTAGAAAGGAATGTTTCCTTCTTACATAACTAAAAAAAAGAAAACTCTAAAAATTAGTCAAAACTTGTATATATTTTTTGATAAAGAGAGAATTTGAAAAATATTTTTTTGGAAGATTGTTGTCTCAAAACAAAAATTGTATGTATATTTTAGGATTGTTGTAGGCTGGTTATTAATCCCTCACACAGTTTTCGGTTAAAACAAGTCTCCAACAACCACTTTTATATATTCTAATTCGGAATGGGAAAGGAAAAGTAAAGAATAATAGCGGACAAATAAAAGGGGACAATTAAATTTAATATATGTGGAATATTTTTTAGAATTAGACCAGAGCTTTTGTAATCCATGTAAAAACTGCAAAGGAATTCTTATTAAAATTTAATGAATCTGGGTAAAAGAAAGGTTCATAAAAAATTTCAGAAAAAAATCATATAAAATTGACAGATATTTCCCGGTAATTTTCAAACAAAAAAACTAATTTTAAATTAATAAACCTTTTATTTTTTATCCTTTTTGAAGAATATTTTTGACAAGTAAATAAAATTTTGACAAAAGCTCTGGTATTTAGATTCGCCTAAAAGGGACTATTCAAACACATTTTTGTAAGCAAAGCACCATTTTTTCTTTTCACATTTATCGAGACTGGATATTTGAACTTTGACATATTCGATGTCCATATAGTATGTTTTTCTTTTAACGACATTCCCAAACTTTGACAGTTGTATCAACACTAGAAGTCACCTTAAAAAATAATTTTTAAACAAAAATTATAAAAAAACAACAAACCACAAACGGTAGTTTTTGATGGAAATCTGAAAAAATATGATTATTTTAAAATTTAAAAACGCTTGTCATTCAAATCAGGCACATAAACAGGGGGTAGGGAAGGGGGAATTCAATACTTTCCGTTTCGCGAAAAACTAGCAAAACTTAAACCCAACAAATAAAAAAAAACAACTGACCAACTGAAGTAATAAATTGTTCATGCGCCTGTTGTATAGTTTTAATACAGCGTCGATGTTCTATTGACCAAACACGAATAGTTTTATCATCACTAACAGAAACAACAAGTTTCCCGTTTGGATGTAATTTAATTCCAGTAACCCAATTATCGTGTCCAATTAATGAAAAAAGACAAGTTCCAGCAAAAACATCCCAAAATTTAATTGAACGATCACGAGAAGCAGAAATGAGCAATAAAACTGTTTGTTCAGATTTTCCATTTACTCCTGTTTTAAAAGGAAAATATCTAAATGAAGAACAAAACACCTCACATAAACACATGTGAGAAAGTGCTTAAGGCAATTCGTGGGAGAAATAAATGTGCCCCCCTAATTATTATTATTAGTCTCGAAATTAGAGTTGTCGGTTTCACCAAATCCTTCGGTTTACCGAAAAACAGGACAAAAATTCAGGACAAAAAATTTTGACAGGAAACCGAAAGCGGAATCATCTGTTCTAATTTTTAAAACAAAAACCTTGCATAGTAGACTGTTCAGAAGAAAGGATCTGCCCGCAATTCTTTTCTGGAACCCAATGGAGTGCCTCAACAACATGTTCATGTCCAATTAAAGTAGCTTTAGGTGTCTTTGTTGCAAGACACCAAACAATAATTGACTAAAAAAATTTTTCAGAAAAATTTTAAAAATAGAAAAAAACCTTATCACTACTGCAAGATGCAAAATAAGTCCCTTCTTCATTCACAAGAACAACACGAACCCATTCTGCGTGTTTTGAAAAATTCTGGACGCAATAACCATTTGTAACATCCCAAAGTTTTATTAATTTGTCACGTGAACCGGAAAGGATAAAATCGCTGTTTGGAAGAAATGCTATAGAAGAAATATTGTGTTCATGTCTAAAAGTAAAGGATTAAAAAAAGAATAAAATTAACAATTTATTACCCTTTCAACGTTTTTAAGCATTCATAAGTAGTGACAAAGTCCCATATTTTAATACTCATATCAGCAGAACATGAAGCTTGAAAATAATTAAAATTAAAAAATAATTTAAAGAGGAAGAAAAAATTATACCGAGCAATTTTCCAGATGAGTTGAAAACAATATCCTGAACAGTATCTGTATGCCCTTTTAGTGTTCTTTCAAATTCGCCACTTTCAAAGTCCCAAACCTTAAATACAAGTAATTCCCAATTTTGTCCTAATTTCCCACCTCCTCAAAAACTCATAATGGTCAGACTTCATAAATGTTAAATATGCCACAAAGAAAACTTTATTTTATAGATTGGGAACAAAAAGAGTAAAAAGAAAACTAGGATAAAAAGCAAAACTCGGAATTAGTCACATAATTTAAAAAAAGAAAAAATAGTAAAATCTCAAAAAAATCTTAGAAAAAATAAACTAAAAAACCTTTATAGTGCAATCCTCACTAGAAGAAGCAACAAGATTAAAAAGTGGGTGGAAAATCACTTTAGTAACAGGCAATCGATGACCAGTAAGTTGATATCTTTCAGGAGGGCGAGGAATCCAATCCTCCTGAACTCTTCGATTATCTCTTAAAAAATACAAAATTTTAGAAAATTTAAGAAAAATGACCTCGATATAGTACTTCCTCCATAAACGGCCTCTTTTTCCACTTGCTTCAATTTTTCTTCCAAATTCAAAATTTTTTGTTGAAGGCGAATAGTAAGTGTCCACTTCTTTTCAAGCAATCCAGCTGATTGTGCTTTACGTGCGGGATCAGCATTCTCATCCTTTTCAAAAAATTTTAAATGAAAATTTGAAAGCCGAAAGAGTCCGCAAAAGATACAAGAGAATCCAGGTCTTAACCAAAATTCATACTTGCGGAGTATGTACCGCAGGGCACATGAATCCAGACACAAGAAAAACCCAAGAAGCTCAAAAAATGCTTGGTACCTGCCATTGATACAAGAGAAGCCAGGTCTTAACCAAGATTCATACGCCAGGGTCTAAGATGCTGTGTCCCCCCCCAAATCAAAAAGCATCAAAATTATAAAAAAAATTTTTTAAACATACAACATTAGCCTCCTGCCTAAAAACTGAAGCAGTTTGATTATAACCATGAGATTCTAAATAATCGACTATAGCCTGATTCCTAAAATTGATCATTTTAAAAAACCCCCCAATCAAATTTAATAAAACCATACATGTCTTCACGTTGCTTTGAAGGCATTACCATTTTGAGATTTATCTTTTATTTCGCTTAAATCCTCTAAAGTATAATTATGTTTAAATTCTTTGGAACGAGATTCAAAATATTTCTTCGATTCAGAAATTTTCCAAAAAAGGAGGGCAACAACAAAGCCAACTGGAACAGCAGCTCTAAGTGGTGTAAAACGAGGAATTTTGAATGATAAATTTGCTGAAATTTATATCTTAAATTTATTTTTTGAAAAATTTAAAGTTAAAAATCGATACAAAATTTTATAAAAATATCGATTTTTTGAAGTGGGATGAAATGTCATTTTTAAGTTGACAAATTGACATTTTGGGCGATTGGAGTCACTAAAGTGCCGCCACTAAAGTCTATAAATTGGCGATAACAATAAGCCTTCCCCTACCCCGAATTTTGCATTGTTTTGTTTTTCCCTAAAATTTCTCTGATTTTTTAAAATTTATTTTTGATTGTGCAGGCTGAATTATTCTATTTTTTGTTAAAATCTATCATAAATGACATCAACTGAACAAGCTTCACATAAAATATTATCAGATAAAGCAGCATTAATTCCATCATTTTTAAAAACAAAAGGACTCTTCAATCAGGTTTTTTTTATTTTTAATTAGGGTTCGGACCCGAGCTGGCCCAGAACCGTGGTTTCAGGTTTTTCTTCTAAACTAACCTGACCGTGTATAAGGGTTAAAACCTTGAAACTCCTGAAAACCCGGATTTTATTAAATTTCTGGTTCTGAGCAGGACAATTAAAAAACCCTGGATACGGGCCTGACAGGCTGAAAAGTTCCAACTCTAATCTTAATAAATATTTAAGTTTATTTTTTCAATTTTAGCACATTGCAAGTTTCAATTATTTTGTTGATGTTGAAATCAAAAATATTGTAAAGGCAAACGATAAAATTACAAGTGATGCAAATCCAGTCTTTTATCTCAAGTAATTTTTTTTGTTTTAAAAAACGACATTTACTGATAAAAGTTTTCCTTTTATGTTGTTTTTTGAGTTTTCAGACATTTTGCGGACAAATCACTAAATTGCGGACAAACTTAAAATCTAGAATATATAAATGACTGTTTTACCAACCAATTACATTAGTCAGAAAATTTTTGAAGTTAAAGGGGTAGTTTTTAACGTGACTCTCTCTAAATTCTCATTTTAAAGATATAACGACATTAACGTTGGAATGCCATCAAGCGAAGAAGGATTTAACATAATCAACGAAAAAATAACTCCACACGAATGTCGACTTCGAGATATGACATATTCTGCCCCAATATACGTTAATGTGGAATATACAAGGGGAAATCAGCGAGTTGTAAGCAAAAATATTGTTATTGGAAGAATGCCTATAATGCTACGTTCTTCTCGTTGTGTTCTTTCAAAACTTTCTACTGAAGAGGAAATGGCTCATGCGAGTGAATGCCCTTATGATCCTGGCGGTTATTTTGTTGTGAGGGGGTCGGAGAAAGTTGGTATGAATTTTACTTTTTGTATTTGGAATGGGGTTGTCAGTAAATTCTTTAGATATTTGGAACGAATTTAAAAATTCTTCATCGCTCGTGTCGTTCCGGTTCGGTAATCCTTTTTTCCCATCCAAAAAATTTTTCATGGAAAGTTGAAAACTTACTCTCTTTTGCCTTCTTTTTATTTGTTGTGATTTGGTTAAATTACAAAATATTCCTGCCACACGATCGGTAGACACTCATACTTATTAATAGTTTTGCTTTTTGATGACTGTTTTGAGCTCATAACAGATTAAAATTTTACGTTTTAAAATTCTACCGTTTTTAACTTTTTTATTTTCAGTTTTAATGCATGAGCAAATCTCAAGAAATCGAATAATGATTAACAGAAATTCAAAAAAAGAACTTATTTGTGAAGTTTTAAGTACTAGTCAAGACAGAAAAAGCAAAACTTATATTATTGGAAAGAAGGGACGTTATTACTTAAAACACAATCAATTGGCAGATGATATACCTGTTGTTATTATTTTTAAGGTTTTTTTATTTTTATGGGGGATTTTGTAAGAACTTTTTTTGGTGCTAATACAGCTTTCATTGTTATAGATTCTGCTGACTGACCATTTTGAGCTCTTGACAATTTTTAAAATTTCTGACTTGACATTAAATTTTATTCGGTGTTCTTGTCCCTTATGGTCAGACGTTCTCATTTCGATAAAATTCTTCCGACTGATCATTTCGAATCTATTTTCGTATTGCTACTAATATTTTAACTGGGATTTTAATAATTATATTTTGACGAGTCCATTGAGGCTTTATGTGTCCAATAAATCTTTTTGGTCCAAATAAGCTTTATAACGCTTTTATTGGACTCATAAATTTGAACAGCGCCAAAAAAATCATTTCAGGCAATGGGATATGAATCTGATCACTTGATTGCAACAACTGTTGGAATCGAAGAAGAATACGTCGCAGCAATAGGTCCAACAATTGATGAATGTGCTCTTCTCAATATAATTTCGCGTGCCGATGCCATAAAATATTTAATTCCACGAATAAGAAGAAAAACGTTTGGCTCTATTGGAGTTCGAGTTTCTCAAGAACATGACGTTTTGGATTTTTTAAGTAATTCAATGATATGTCATATTCTTTCGCCTGAAGGGAATATGAAAATGAAAGCAATTTATATTGGATTAATGATTAGGAGGTTTCTTTAAAAAATTGTTTTTTTTTCAAAAAAAAATTTTTTTTGAAGACTTATACAAGCAGAAAAAGGCATTTGTGATGCCGATGATCGGGATTTTTATGGTAACAAAAGAATAGAACTTGCTGGTTCTCTTTTGGCTTTATTATTTGAAGATTTGTTTAAAAGGTTAATTTTTTATTTTTAAGATTTTTGACGTTTGTAAGGAAAAAATTTTCAATTAAAATTTTTTTAGATTTAATGGTGAATTAAAACGAATAACAGACAGCCATTTGGGTAAAAATTTGGCAGCTCCTCTTGATATTGTTAGACACATGAGACAAGTAATTTTTTTTTAATTTGAATGACGGTTCGATGATTGCTGACATAAAATTTTTAAAAAAATTATTTAAGTTTTGGCGCTGAAACTTTACAGTTTCAGCGCATCTGTAAATTGTTTTCATTCGAAAAAGCCGGGACTAAAATAATATTTTCTAATTTCAGTAATTTTTAAAATTTTTTAAAAATTTTATATTGCAATTGTTATACCTTTTTAATTTATTTTAATATTTTTTAAAGGATTTAATTACAAATGGATTAATAAATGCTTTAGCAACTGGAAATTGGACTATTAGACGTTTTGGGTATTTAAAAAAATTTTTTTTTGATAAGATTTTTAAAAAAGAATGGAACGCCAAGGTGTTACTCAAGTTTTAAGCCGTCTTTCTTACATTAGCGTTTTGGGTATGATGACAAGAATAAATTCAACATTTGAAAAGACAAGAAAAGTTTCTGGACCTCGTTCACTTCAGTCTTCACAATGGGTGGGTTTATTTTTTTGAGATTTTTGATAAAAATTAATTTTAGGGAATAATTTGTCCAGCAGATACACCCGAAGGAGAATCTTGTGGTTTAGTAAAGAATTTGGCACTTTTAAGCCATATAACTACAGATAGCGATGAAACGGTTAGTTTACGCTTTATTTGAATTTTGAGGAGAAAGTAAATGTGAAAGTATTGGACAATAATGGATTGTAGCGGAAAAAAGATATGGGTTAAGTAAGCGATTTGGATTTCACAGATATGGAAAAAAATTTTGGTTTTGGGGTAAATTGTTCTCATTGCCTTGTTTTGTCATTTATTTTCATTTTCCTTGGGGTATTTGTTTTGTTTTAAATGTAAATTTTGAGAGGCATCGCCAAAATTTTTAGCCTTCCTTAAAATTTTTTAATTACAACATTTGGAATAAAGGTTGGGCATAATTTAGTTTTTAACTTTTTTCTATTCCCGTCTTTCTTTTTTTTTGAGTTCAAATTTTTTTCAAATCTGGGACCGCCAACATTTGGTTATGTTCCGATTTCTGGCACCTTCGACTATTCTTATTGTTATGTACGTGACTTGTATGTCTACGTACTAACAAGAATAACGAGATAAGACAGACTAACAAACTGTGCTTTATCTTCAAGACTAAATACAATACTAACGAACGATAGGAATATGGCCGACGCCGAATATGTGGAGCACTAGAATAAGACTGACTGAATAGAATAGAATAACACTAACAAACACTCACTCCCGAATGGCTAAAGCCGTAGCCTTTTATACTAACTTATAGCTAACTTATAGTGTTGGGTGTAAGCACATACCCAACACTTATAGCCTTAAAAGATTAACAAAAAATATATTTTATTTATTATTTTAGCCGATACTTGGTTTATTATACAATTGTGGAGTTCAAGATTTACGTTCATTAAAATTTAATGTTATTCATAATCCGTTAGTTTTTTTTTTAATTAAAAATAATTTTTTTCAATTTTTAAAGAGCTTATAGTCTTATATTTTTAAATGGTTCTGTTGTTGGAATAACTGATGATATTGAAAATATTTTGTCTACAATTAAGATGATGAGAAGAAAAGGGTTTTTAAATCCATTTGTTTCTGTCAGTAAAAATGCAAATTCAATTCATTTGGCTTCTGATGGAGGTAGATTGTGTCGACCTTATATAATTGTTGAAAATGGTGTTCCTTTGCTTAAACAATCACAAATTGAGGTTTTTAAATTTAATATTCGATTTTTTGGAATTTATAAGGGTATCAATTAAATATACAAATAAATACCAAAGCGTTTGAAAACATTCCCCAGATTAAGGACATCATCTCTCGTTGTTTGGCATTACACGATTTGGTTACGTCATAATACATTGATTTTGATTTTTAACTGCTTTTTTACCTTTGGGAAATATTTTTTTAAAGAATCTTTGAATAAAACTAATCCCTTTTTTGATAATTAAATGGAAAACGCAAGCGAAAGGATTAAGGAAAAGTCCGCAAAAATAATCCGAACTTTTCAATGAAAATATTAATTTTCAGGCTGTAAAGAATGGAACAAAAACTTTCGACAATTTAATATCCGAAGGCGTTTTAGAGTTTTTAGATGTAAATGAAATTAATAATGCTAGAATTTCCGTTTATGAGCATCAAATTATTTCACAGACAACACACCTTGAGGTAAAAAATTTTTTTTGAAAATTTTTTTGGAATTTTTTAGATTGAGCCTTTCACTTTATTGGGGGTTGTGGCAGGCCTTATTCCCTATCCACATCACAATCAAAGTCCAAGAAATACTTATCAATGCGCTATGGGTAAACAAGCAATGGGAAGTTGTGGCTATAACCAACAGAAAAGGATTGATACGGTTTGGAATTTTTTACAAAAATATTTTTTGGGAGGCAATGTCTGAGGGCATTTACTTTTTCCCTTCCGTTCCCCTCTGAACTAGTTGATCACGGTCTTAAAGTTTTGAATTCGACCCTGTGAATAGGTGTGGAAAATTCTTTGGGTCGCGTTTCAGGTCGAACTAGTTTGGGTTACGTGTAATCTGACCCATCCCTGTTCCGAAGTCTTCTTTTGACTTCTTTTTCGGATTCTTTCACATAGTTTAATTCATGCCTCGAAAGTATTTTTATTTATTTATTTTTTTAGATTCCAAATTTTATTTTAAAATTTTCTACAGTTAATGTATTTATTGGTTTATCCTCACAAACCTTTAGTCAAAACTAAAACACTCGAATTATCCAATTTTGAAAAATTACCAGCTGGTCAAAATGCTATTGTTGCTGTAATGTCTTTTAGTGGTTATGACATTGAGGATGCATTAGTTTTAAATAAAGCTTCTCTTGATAGAGGATTTGGCCGTTGTATGGTTTATCGTTTTGCTAAAGGAAATGCTCGAAAATATCCAAATCAAACTTATGTAAAATTTTTTAAAAAAATTGTGAAAATTTTTTTTCTTTTCTAGGACAAATTTATGGGCCCTTCACTAGATGCTGTAAGCAGAAAACCAATTTTCAGGCATTCAGTTCTTGATAATGAAGGAATTGTTTTTACTGGTGCAAAAGTTATGCCAAGACAGGTTTATTTTGTTATAATTTTTTGACAATAACAGTTTCATACCCGACCTTTTTTGGCTAACAACTTCTACCCAAAACATTTTTGCCGAACCCGATCCAAACGCTCGCAACCCCTATAAACCCCGATCCTGAACTTTTCGACTCCAAACTGTGGGTCCAACCATATTGCCGTTTTAATGCTTGTTTTTAGATTTTTTTATCTTTGGTTGGGTTCGGGATCTACAGTAATCGAGTCTGTGATCATACGGTTGTTTTTAGTGCCTTACTTGGTATTTGCTCTGTGAGTCCCTTGAATTTTAAAAAATGCCACATATTACTACTACATACTAGTGATGGTCGGGATTCCCGGTCTCGGTTCCCGAGTCGGGAAATTTCCCGGGTTTTTTGAGCTCTCGGTCTCGATCTCGGTCTCGGTGTTTTAGTCTCGGAAAACGAGACTAAATTTACACCCCTAATGACGGAAATTTTTTGAATTTTTTTCGTCCCTCGCGTACTTTGACATTTATTTTTTTAAAAAAAAAGAAAGGAATATTTATATTTTTTCCTAAGTTTTCTTTTGATGGTCGATGGTTGAGTGGTTAGTGTGACTGTCTTCAATCACTTTGTTATTTATTAGGTTTAGGTTCGAATCCAGGTGTGGAATTTAGGCTGGAAAAATTTTTCTTTTCAAAAATAAATGTCTTTTAACTTTGATTTTGATTTCAAATTTATTCTTTAAATATTTTAAACTTGGAAAACATTAAATATTTTAAATGAATCATGAATTTTTTAAAATTTTCGCATGAGGCGCCTAAATCCTCAGTATACATCCTCATTTGCGGCGTAGAAAATGGGAGAAATCTGACTTAAGGACCTCCAAAATTTTTCAAAAGTTTCGCCTGCGGCGCAGAAAATGAATGAAATTGGAGGATTTATGGCTTACAACCTGACAAAATACAAGAATTATCGTATACGGCCTTAAATATTAGGGGTATCAATGACTTGTCGGATATCGGAGCTTATGGGGATTTGAAAGGATATAGAGGTGGATTAAAGTTAAGAGGGATATCAGGAGAATTGGAAGGATTAAAGTAAACATAAAGGGACTTGTGAGCGGCATCGAGGGATAAAGAAGATATCGTTGATTTGAAGGGATATCGAGGGAAATAAAGTGATTCAAAGCGATTAATGGTAATATCAGTGGATTAAGGTGGATATCGGTAGATTTAGAAGGAGTAAAGTTATATTGTGAATGTGGGAATTCAAGGAATTTGGGGGATTATGAAGAGTTATAGGGGTATAGGATTATGAAGAATATATAGGGGTATATCATGTGATATCCCTCCTAATCTCTGGTCTCGACTCTCGGTCTCGACCCGGGACTCGGTCTCGGGGTTGATTCCCGGTCTCGGTCTCGACTCCCGACTCTCGGCTTTTTTTAACTCCCGACCATCACTACTACATACTATTACCAATATTTCGTTAAATTTGCAAGAATAATTCTTTTTAAAGGTTCTAATTAACAAATATATGCCTGTAGTTCAAAGCGACACAATACCTACGGCAGGTGCTACTGGTTTCAACCATAATTTTGAGACTAAAGATGTATCAATACAATATCGTGGAAGTATGAATGCAGTTATTGAAAGAGTTCTTTTGACATGTAACGAAGAAGAACAATATTTAGTTAAAGTATTGATTGCCCAATGCAGGTTTGGGGGTTTGAGAAATTTTTTGAATTTTTTTTTGAATTTTTTAGAAGACCAGAATTGGGTGATAAATTTAGCAGTCGACACGGTCAAAAGGGAGTCTGTGGACTTATTTCACCACAACAAGACATGCCTTTTGATCAGAATGGAACTGTCCCAGATCTAATTATGAATCCTCATGGGTAAACATTTTTAATCATCTTAAAAGAAATATATCCTAATAGGTTATTTTAGAAATTTGAGCTTTAAAAGAAGGGATTCTTTCAATAAAATTGGCAAGGAATTTGTTATGTACCTTAGGATGCGCCTTTCGGGACGGGGATTGATTTTATGGGAATTTGTGGTATGTTAAACTACGGGAGACGGGAAACTGGGTCTATGTGGGAAGACTTTTTCCTGTTTCCCTAGTTAGATTCATTCTAATCTCGTCCCCACATTCCTCTTTTTGTTATGAACTGAAATAATTCCCTTGGAATCCGAACAGCCCCATCTTCCCGCAACTCTTTCAAATAAAATTATTGACATACCAATTAAAAATTTTTTTTAAGTTATCCAAGTCGTATGACTGTTGGTAAATTAATGGAATTATTAAGTGGAAAGAATGCTTTAATGGGAGAGCCACGTCAATGGCGTTTACATTATGGAACAGCTTTTGGTGGTGATGATGTAAGAAAAGAAAAAATCCTGCAAATTTGCAAAATTTCAAAAAAAAATTTTTTTAGGTAAAATCTGTAAGCCAAAACCTTGCAAATTTTGGTTATAATTTTCTTGGAAAAGATATGTTAACATCTGGAATTACTGGTCAACAAATGTCTGCATATATCTATTTTGGACCAATTTATTATCAAAAATTAAAGCATATGGTGATAGATAAAATGCATGCTAGATCGAAAGGACCAAGGTTTTGAAAAAAAATTTCTTTAAATATTTTGAAAATTTGTTTGAGAGGGGTAAAAGCAGGCATCTTTAGCCACGGGCAGGCATTGACCTCTCTTTGCATTTATTGTTAGGCATGTCGCTTACCATTTACAAGTTTACCGCTATCGGTGTGTGCGCTTTTACCTTCAGTTTTAATATATTTTAAATCCCCAATATGCTACCCGATCACCCTTCATCCTTATAATTGTTAAAAAAATTCTCTTTTAAAGAGCAGTTCTTACAAGACAACCAACTGAAGGAAGGGCGAGAGAAGGCGGTTTACGACTTGGTGAAATGGAACGCGATTGTTTAATTGCTTATGGATCTTCAATGTTATTAACTGAAAGATTAATGGTTTCTTCAGATCAATTTGCGGTATTAAAAATTTTTATTGGGGAACCGGGTTAGGTGTGAATCGTTGGAAAGGTTTAGGGTTGGAAAGGTTTAGGCCTCAACTTTTGATGAATTTAAGAACTAGATGGGTTTTTATTATGATATTTGGCCAATTTATCCGTAAACTGATATAGTTAAACTCGGACCTGTATTTGTGGACTGACACTTGAAGACTATGTTTTTCCTCGACAGATAATTCGAATTTTTTAGGTCGAAGTCTGTACAGAATGTGGATTAATGGGTTATGATGGTTGGTGTCAATATTGCAAAAAATCTTCAGCTTCTATGGCTAAAATTAAAATTCCATATGCTTGTAAATTACTATTTCAAGAGCTTCAAAGTATGAATATTGTGCCTCGTCTTCAAACAGCTAAATATACGGATGTAATACAAACATAGGGGAGAGAGAGAGGGAAAATGGTGTTTTGAGTATTTTTTAAACATTTTTAGATTTTAGGAAAGATTTTTCAGATGAGGAATCTCTCTATTACGTCATCACTTGGTGTGAGTTTTGCTGACGTAGGAGGGGAATTGATGGCCAAATTCCTAGGGACCGAATTAAGTATGGGGTGAATTGATTGGGAGACGATGATGACGTTATATAGAGAACTCCCACTGTATTAAAATTTTTTTGCCTTAAATTTGTTACATATTTAATAAATTAAATTGTTGATTATTTTATTAAAAGTGGAGTGAGAAACACAGACTCTTCTCAAATGACTCATTAGGGTATTAAATGGTTCGTTGATTAACACAATCATTAAAAATGGGTGGCACGAATTTTCGTCAACGAACTTTCCGTCAATGGACTTTCCGTCAACGACTTTTCGTCAATGAGTGGATGTTTTTTTAATTTTGAGAGAAATAGAAGATGATACATGTATGTAAAAGTGTTGTCAGATTGAAAATTAGACTTATTTGATAATCCTGAGCAAAGTTACTACGAAGGATAGGTAGTCTTTTCAAGGTTGAAAATCGGTAAAAATGAATAGGTTTATGTTACTGGTGTAGAACCCAGCGACCTTTGACTCCCCGCGAGGCGCGTGCCGCAAAACCCCGCGCGAAGCGCGGTGTTTTGCACAAGCGCCTCGGCGACGCCCCATAGATTATTCGAGAGTATTTGAAGAAATAAGGAATCTTAAACAAAATTGGGCACATAATTTTGTTATTTGTGGCTTTGAACAGGCCGATTAATTTCCTAAATTTTTTAAAAGCGATCATTTATTGATGAAAAGTCCGTCCATTGACGAAAAGTATTGACGGAAAGTCCATTGACGGAAAGTCCGTTGACGAAAAGTCGTAGCCCCTTAAAAATGCCCCATGTTCACGCGCGACAAACTGGGCGACTAAAATTTTAGATAAAAAATAGTTTGTAAAATGAGGAGAGACTGAGTGGGGAAAGAAAAAAAGTAAGGAAAATATTTACATTTTTACATAATTTTTTTTTGTTTTTGATAAAAATTGAATGATGTTTTTGTTGGTTTTTTTTTAATTTTTATTAAATGTTCGGAGCCATTATTTAATTTTTATTTATTTATTAATTAAAAATTTTATTTTTAATTTTCAGAGAAATTCTTTAAAAAATTTAAAATGAGTCAAGATTTCAGTACCGACAATAATAATATACAACAACAAAAATCTGAAGATGATTCAACTGTTCAATCATCTAGTAGTAATAATATAGAAACGAATAACGAGAATTCGCCGGGGGACAATAACAATAATAATGAAAGTACATCAAATCATGTAGAGCAAAAAGAGAATAGGCAAAAAGAAGATCAAAATTCAAGGTTTTTGACTTTCATTTATTTTGTAAGGGTCAAAAGCTCGGTATTCGTGTTAGTATTCCTTGGTTGGACATAAGGGGCGTGCCGTCCGTGCCAATTCTCTAAATTCGGGACTTTCTAAACCTCCAATAACCTTTTGATTTTAATTTTTGTTCTTTTACAGATTTGAATGTAACATTTGTTTGGAAATGGCTAAAGATGCGGTTTATTTTTCTTTTAACTTTTTTAAAATTAATTTCAAATTAAAAGGTTGTCTCAATGTGTGGACATTTATTTTGCTGGCCTTGTTTACACCAGTGGTTGGATACTCGACCAAATCGACAGCTTTGTCCAGTTTGTAAATCTGCAATTAGTAAAGAAAGGGTATTTTTTTAAATATTTTTTTAAACTTGGAAGAGGCTGTTATTTTTCGATTATTTTTCCAAAACAGAGCCTAAATTAAATTTCGGATATCGAATCCAGAAATTTCCCAAGCCAACCCTAACACTTTTTCCTTTACGGAATATTTAAAAACAAGAGGTGCGTATAAACTGTTGCAGACTTTGAGAACTATAAATCGAAACCCTGCTATTTTCAATTAACGAAAAATCTTTTAGACTAACTCTATGCTAGATAAGTTGATGCTCAAATTCCAAATCCACTAGCAAACTTTTTTAATTTAATTTTTTTTGAATTTAAAAAATTTTTAAGGTAATTCCACTTTATGGACGAGGAGGTGGTGACACCGATCCACGCACAAAAGTTCCACCCCGTCCACAAGGGCAACGAACAGAAGAAACCCCTCAGGTTTTTTTTAATTTTTTTTAATTAAAATTTTTTTAAAGTCTTTCCCTGGAATGTTTCAATGGGGAGGAGATAATGGCCATGGAGGTGTTCAATTTTCTTTGGGAATAGGCGTTTTTCCTATCTCCTTTTTTGCATCCTTTTTTAATACTGGAGGTGTTGATAGACGAAATGAAGCTAATCGTCAGTTTATTTATTTATTAAAATTAGGGTTGTTCACGGTCGGTTAACTGAAAATGGAAATCTGGGGGCGAAAACAAGTCACACTCGAAAACCGGAGATACCTGTTAATTGTTAATAACCGGTAAACTCTAATTAAAATTTAAAGGCCATTATCCTTCTATACACCCTTTCTTCCTTTCATAGGTTCCCCTCAAAAAATAATGTTGGATTCGAAACTTTTTTAAATTTCTTTTTATATTTTTGAGTAGGAATTTAGGTTCTGGTTATATAAATGAGTAAAATAGGATTTGATATTTGCACAGTCTCGATTGGTCTGGTCTGTCTGAACTCATTCCATGATGGGGTTTTATTCCCTATCACATCCAATGAATTTCCAAGCCGACAACCCTATATCTATATAACTTTAAAAGCTCTTCAGGTAATCCTCAACAAGCAGAAGAACAATTTTTGTCCAACATGTTTATGTACATTGGACTTCTTATTTTGGCATGGCTTTTGCTTTTTTGAAAGGGATTTATTGAATGAAAAAAAGTATATCATAAAATTTTTAAATACAAAAATTCTACTCGAGGTCGGTAAAACCGCATTCCCGGGATCGCTTAATGTCATTTTTTCAGTGTTTACGTGACGGGATCTGCAGGGTTAGTACGGCAATCCCGCGTGATTTCGGACGGGATCCATAAAATCCCGTACGTAATCCTGTCCCTTGCCGACTTCCATTATTCCTCTCTCTTCTTGGGTACATTTTTGTTCAGTCCGGCACCTATAACTTATGAAAGGGATATAATTTTTAGTGTTCTTGATACCATTGGATAGAGAATTAAACGCACTAGAATATACAAAGAATCAAAATTGTCGATTGATTGATAAAAAGTTATAATCGATAAAGTAAAAAATCACATTTCTTTGAAAAAGTTTTATCAATCTGTCGATAATTCTGATTTTTTTGATATGTTGTAGACTTTTTAATTCTCTATCTAAGGGTACAAAGAACATGAAGAAGTGTCATTCCTTCATGAGTTATAGGGTCTTGACTGAAATGACAATGAGCCGGCTGAACTGAACTCCTATTCCTCCATGTTTGAGTTTCTGGAACTTCTTTTTAAAAAGAAGTCAAATTCTCTTATGTGGATAAGTATGGGGGAGATATATGTATCTACATTAAAACTTTTTAAAATTCTATAAAAATATTTTTCTAAAATTATATTAATTTTTAGTTCGTCTTTTAAAAAAATAAATACTATATAAATTTCTTTTTTATTTTAAAGAAAAACTTATCGGACAGTGTATTTGGTCAAAAATTTCTCTAAATTTTATTTTTTATCGAAAATAGAGCCAATTTTAGAGAACTAAAAAATAGAGGCTAATCAGTCCTGGGATAAAGCAAATATGAAACCACATAAACTTGCAGAGCTAGTGGAAATGTCCTAAATAGAATCGTGGTTGCCCCAAAATTTTTTTGGGTTTTCTAGAGTCCTGACCTAGAGACGAGATCTCAAACAAGAATCTCAATAATTCGAGACTTTTCGTCCGGTCTCTAGTATTTAACTCCCCCATTAATTGTCTTATCCTTGATAATCTTTTAATTTTTTTAACTGAAGAGCCTTTAAAAATTTTTGATCAACGCCTCAGTCAAAATATAGGGTAGATAAGTTGGGTATAAAAAAATTTTTCTCTCCGCAACAACAACAAAATATTATTTTATTAAATTTAATCACATTTTTTACATTCATTTATTCATTCATCTCCTCTCCCTTTAAAAAATAAACTCCTCCCCTTTAAAAAACTATTTTTTCCTTTACTCTTTTTTTAAAGATGGGGCAGGAAAAATATTAAAATAAAAAAAAAGAGAATGCCATTTTCTCAAAAAAAATAAAAAAGGCTGGAGAGAATGAGGTATTTTTATATAAACTTTTTTTACCACTACACATTTTACTCGTTATTTTTCATTATTTTTGTCCATAAGAAGAAAATACCGAGTCGGTTAACCCGTGATATCCCTGTTGGGAATGTCCATTTTTAAATCAAAAGTCTAAATGAGAACGGGGAATTTGAATTGTCATTGTCCACATTGCCCATCCTGCGCGTAATTCCCGTCTCATTGACTTTGGGATGAAATGTCACTTTTTCACTATAAAATTCAATCTTTTTCTAGGTTGCATTAAAATTAAATGTGTTTGTTTTTCACAGATTTCCGGTGATTATCTTTACTCATTCTTACGCTTTTTCTCTTTCAGTAATTTTTTAATGTTGGGATGAAATGTCACCTCTTTCTAATAATCACTCTTTTAGCACATAACTTATGTATTTCCTAAAATAAAGTCAGGCTCTATCTTTCAACTATCCTCCAAAGTTTGGCATCTACCCAACTCATCTACCCTATGTTTCAACTAAGTTAAGGGTAAAAAATTTTTCAAGGATTTGTTTAGAAATAAAAATTATCCCTTACAGCTTTATTAGGCTTTTTAAAATAAATGTTGCACTTGAAAAAGGGTTTATTAGGGATTTTTCAATAAAGATGAAAGACCAAAAGAAACAGGGAACGGCACAGATTTTATTGTCTCTTTTTGCACAAATTTGTTTTCTCATTTTATTTTTAAAAGTTTTTTTATTTTATTTCTATTTCCTATCCATTTTCACACTTTTTTACTAGGTAAATAAAAATAGGATATTTCGGCTTGTATAAAATTTTTTGACAAGGTTCAAAAGATGTCGAAGCCGGAGTAACACTGGTTCGCAGTAGAGACTGGCTTGTGTTTTTTTTTTCTTGATGATCGAGAAACTTAATTGGTGTGTTTGAAATTTAAAAAAATTTTGAAATTTTTTTGGAAACTTTTTAAATTTTAAAATCTTTAAAATGACAAAGAATAATTAAAAACAATTTTTAACCCCCAAAACGTCCATAGACAAAACGCCTATGAATGGGCAACTTGTATATATTAAATCCCCAAAAGGGTACCCATTTTTTAAAAATGAAAAATGGGTAGATTTTTTTTCGTCATTTCTTCTTTCCAATAGTAAAAATAGTCAGTCAGCATTTTCCCCCTTAAATCCTTGTCCTTTTATTTTTAAACCTCCAAATATTTCAAAAAATATTCTTTTCCTTTTCAATCACTTTAAGCCTTTTTTTATTTTTTAAAGTAAAATTTAAGCTTTTCCTTGACTTTTTTAATTCGTTTTTGAAATTGGAGGAGGTAGACTTGACCCTTTAAAGGAATTTAAAAAATAAAGAAAAGAGTGGAGGTGTTTGGCAAAAATAAAAGAAAAGAAAAGGGGGGGGGGGTTTGGGGGTAGTTGAGTTGGGTAAGCCCTTTTAATTTTTTTGTTTTCGTTTTTGACAATCAAAAATGGGTGACTAAATTATAATTTTTAAAATACTTTGAAATTTTTAATTAAAAATTTTAGGATTTTTAAACTTTTCATCAACGCTTCCGTTAAAAACTTGGGGTTGGTAGGGATCTTCCTTTTTCACTAGTTTTCAAATTACCTTAAATTAACTAGTTTTCCAATCTTAGATGTGTCATTGGTGTAGTGGTTAGTGTGATGGCTCGTCATTGTTTTGGGGCATGTTTGACCCACGGGTGGTGTTGAGCATTTTTATCTGGTTTCCTAACAATTCTAAAATTACCCTCTAAGTTTTTTTTAAAATTTTAATTTTCAGTTTTTAAAACTTTTCCCCTTCATTTTTTAAATTAATTTTACATGTTTTTTCCTTTTCTTTTTCATCCATTAAATGCCTTCTTTAATAACAAAAATAAAAACAACAACAACAGCAGATGAACAACAATACCGAAACATTAACAATAACAACAACAACAACAACAATTTATTTAAATTTAGCTTGGTCTGAAATTCTTTTAGTTCTTTTAATGGCCGTTATTTCTGCTGTAACGGTTGTCGGTAATTTGGTTGTTTTACTTTCATTTTTACTCGACCGACAAATTCGACAACCTAGCAACTTTTTTATTTTTTCTTTGGCTGTTTCCGATTTGGTAAGTAACAAAAATAAAAATAAAAATTGGGAATTTTTATGGTAATTTAAAAAAAGTTTATCAAAGCTTCTTCCCTTAAGACTTGGAGTAGAAAAGAGTTGGGTGTACATACATTTGTGGTATATTTTTGATTGAATTTTGTAACTACTAATTCAATTTTTGGATGCCCAAATCGGTCCTGAGCTTTGGCACTTTATTTGGCACAAAAAAGCCCTTCCTCCTTCCCTTTCTTCTTCTTCCCTCTTCATTTCCGTTCTTTTCGTTTATGTGTAATATTTAAGTCAATTTGCTTGTGACATTTTTTTCTCCTTTCCCCAAAAGTATTTTTCTTAGAGAAGATTAAATTTGATTTTGTTATGACAAAAAATAAGGGGAGAAAAATGCTCAAAAATATGAGGGGACTAAAGTAGCAAGGAAAAAGGAGATGTTAAAAGAATTAGGGGGAAAATGATGGAGGGAAGTAGTAGCTAAAGGGGGAAAGAGGGAGAGGGGGGATATTAAAAATATTCATATTTTAGTAGGGTAGGTGTGAATAAATTGATTAGGTTGGCAATAATTTTAAGAAAAAGGAAGAGGCCCGGTTATGGATTCCTTTTCAAAGGATTGGAAGTTGACCTCCAGGGTAATTTGAATTTTTGAGAGTTAAAACTTTAGGGCCATTTTGATTTGGAATGACAAAACGAGAGGGGAGATGTTAAAAAGAGTTGGGGGGGGGGGGGGGGGGGGACCCCTTTCAAAATTGGAGTAGATGAGTTGGGTACAAATTTTATAAAGCCGAAATTTAGTCAATTTTTGCGATAAATATTTTTTATTGTTTTTTTTGTTTTTTCACGCAGCGCGAAAAATAAAAACAAAAGAACTTGGAGGAAGGAGAGGACAGAGAAAGAAAAGATTATGCAAAAATAAGAGAGACAATATTAAAAAACATCGATTGTCCTCAAAGGGATGGATGGGCAATTAATTCCAAAGCTTTTTAAGTATTCTCTTGAGAGATGTTTAAGAGACGAGAAAAAATTTTTATGGAAGATTTCTTCAAGTTGAGGGAATGAAAAAATATATTTGGGGGGATTTTTATATGTGACGAGTAAAAATTGGACTGGAAGGGGGGGGGGTTGTGTTTATGTTGCAAAAAATTGAGAATTATGAAAGTTTATTAAATAAATTTATAGTTTGGAGTCGAAAGAATTTAAGTCCCAATTCAATTTGGCCGGCCAGATTGAATTAATTTTTTTAAAAATAAACGATTTTGATCAACACTTCTGTAAAATTAGGGGGTTGGGTATATAAAGGAGGAACAATAGGCAGAAACAGTTCAAAGATGTTCTTCTTCAGATCATTAACACAAAACATCATCCAAACCTCCCAAACATCATCTAAAAAGGCCTGCCAAAATTTAAATTAGACGCCTACACACATAAATAAAAATTAAGAAAAATAGCTTCCTTTCCCCTTTATTTTTTCTTCTTTTTTTCATCAACCAAAAATATATTCAACAACTTTTTTTTATTTCCCAAAAGAATTAAAAATAAAAATTCTGTTCTTTTTTGACCTTTTATTTTTTAAATCAGAATTTATATTTTTATTTCCGTCCATTTTTATATCCCAGAGGAATTTTTGGAAATTTTTTAGCAATCAGTTTTTGACCCGAAAAAATAAAAATACAAGCAACAAATTGAAAAAAAGAAAAGAGGGGAAAAGAAGAAAAATGTGTATTTTTATAATTTAATTTATTAAAAAATTTTTTTTTGTTGAGAAAAAATGTCAGAATTCGATCAACGCTTACGTTGTAATTTGGGGTAGATAAGTTGGGTATATACATATGTACATATTTTTAAGTTAGGTAATTAATTTTGATCAACGCTCCCGCTAAAACATAAGGTAGATGAATTGGGTATACTTTTCGGTTCTTGTCCAGATTTCGCTTTCAATGGCACCTTTACGCGTCCAATCCTACCCAGTGTTTTGTTACACCTGCCGATACCGAACCATTGGTCTAAAATGAAGAACCGGGTACTTAAAAAATGTGACTAGACGCATAAAATTTGATTGTACCGTGACCGGACAATCTGTCAGTGGACAATCCGGCAGTGGAAAATCCGTCAGTGGACAATCCGTCAGTGGTCGGACAATCCGTCAGTGGACAATCCGTCAGTAAATAAATTCGTAATTTCTACCCATATCCAAAATACCGCGGCCAAAAATTTCCATTTTTTCGTGAATGAGGATATAAGAGATATCGAAAATTTTGAGAATAATGAGCAAATCGGCAGATTTAGGTGGATTAAAAGGATATCAGTGGATTTGAAAGATATTGGACAATTTGGTCTAAGTAAGCGAATGTCGATGACTTAGAAGGATATAGGAGATTAGGATGGATTAGATTTGCATGATTAACGTGTGGGATTATATTGGATTTGGATGAATATCGTGGGATTATGAGAAATCTATGAATAAGAGAGATTGTTTTTAAATTGATATTATCGAACAACCTCAAAATCCTTTTAACCCGCCTATATCCCTTGATATACCACTCAATCCCCGAAATCCATCTTAATCTTCCAAATTCCTCGATAAGCACCATAATACTAAAAATCTCTTATATTCCCCTTAATCCCACTTTATCTTTGAAATTCCCAATATCTTTCAAATCCACTGATATCCTTTTAATCTAGCTAAATCTGTTATAAACTCACACACGAAAAAATGGAAATTTTTGGCCGCGGTATTTTGGATATGGGTAGGAATTACCAATTTGTTCACTGACGGATTGTCCACTGACTGATTGTCCGACCTCTGACGGATTGTCAACTGACGGATATTCCACTGCCGGATTGTCCACTGACGGATTGTCCGGGAGCCGATTGGACGCGTAAAGGTACCTACTTTTTATTGAGAATTATCATATTTGTTGTTGACACAGATTGAATAGCTCTCTCTATAAATTTAATTTTTTTAATTTAAAAAGATAATTGGATTAGAAGGAATACCTGTATATACATATTTTTTAATTAACGGACAACGTTGGCCTTTTGGAGCTTTTCTTTGTGATTTATGGCTTTCTGTAGATTATGCTTGTTGTTTAGCCTCAATTTATACTGTTTTAGGTATTACTGCTGATAGGTAGGTACAATTAATGACATAAAAAATCAAAAAAATTTGATCAACTCGTACGGTAAAATTTAGGGTAAATGAATTGAAAGTCGGATCTAATCTTTTGTGATTTTTTACGTTCAGTTATGGTTAGACTGGCTTATGATCCCTAAATCTTTACTTATTAAAATTCCACAGCTCCTCCACCAAACATCTCTACCCCCCTCCTAAGCCTTATCAACGTTTTTAAAATCATGTTAAGAAGAAACTGTAAGAGATTGATCAATTCCTCAGTTATAATTTGGGGTAGATGAGTTGGGTATTTAATTTTTATACGTTAATTTTGATTTTTAAATTCTTGATCAACGTTAACGATTAAATAATATTTATTTATTTAAAGATACCTTTCTGTAAAATATCCTGCTGCTTATCGTAATTGGAGAACTAAAGGTCGAGTACTTTTAATTATTGCTGCTATTTGGGTATTGCCTTCAGTGCTTTTTTCAATATCAATTTTTGGCTATGGATGGTTTTCGGGTAAAGGACGTATTTTAAGGGAAGACGAATGTTATGTACAATTTATGACTAATCCTTACTTGAATGCTGGAATGTAAGTAAAACTATCGATATAAGATACACCCAATATTAAATATATTCCTGAAGCTAGAATAATGATTGTTGTCTAGAAGTTTTTCTAGGATGAGCGCCACCATGGAAAGATGGTTATTTTCTATCTTCTAGCAAATTTTATTGGCTTTCAGATAAGCCTAAAAGAATTTTCAAAAAAATTTTTTTAATTTTTCCAAAAATTTTTCTTAAATTTTGAAAAATCCCAAAAAATCACCTATCTATATTTCCAAGAGGCGATCAAATGGGTTGATTTATTTTCCTAAACTCTTTTTAGGTATCTTTCATATTATTGGTCAACATTGATACTAATGCTCTATCTTTATTATGGTATTTACTCTGCTGCAAAACAATTAGCATCTAAATCAGATCAAAAACAAAAAAGATTGGCTATTTTGGCTGAAATGAGGGGAGGGGAGGGTGGGGGACAAGAAGTAGCTATTAGGCCAGATTCTAGAGATGAACAATCACTTGGCCCTGGGCTTTCTGAAGCTCTTGGAACTTTGGATTCTTCTGAAACGTGAGTTTGGATTGATTGGACCGTATATAGTATACTCTAATTCGGAGCCGAATCCTGTGGTTATGTTTATTTTCCCCCATTTTTCTTGATGTCTAAAAAATGAGAGAAAATCTCTTTGCGGATAGGTAAACCGCCAATTGGGCGTTTACCGAGGTAGTGTTCTACACCAGAACGTGTCCGGCCGAAAACACTAACCTCCCATCTCTTTTGAAAAATGTTCAAAAATTCATTTAAAAATTTTTCCTTTTCAGCAAACCATTTAGAAGAGCATCAACTCGTTTATTAAACGCAATACAAAATGGCAGACTTTTATCACTTAGGACAAAAAATGGCGTCAATTCTTCAACAAGTGATGGTGCTAGTTCTAAAGCTGACAGCCTTAATACAAAAGAAAAATGCCCCAAAAAACTATCAATTAATGCTAATAATAAAGAACAAAATATTATTGAACCTAATAAGTGAGGAAAAAATTTTTTTTTAAATTATCACTCGGACATGGACTCGGACATGTGTTCTATTGACCGTTACTTAATTGCCAAAAGAGCTTAGCTAACTATATATTTCAATTTTTCTGCTGACTGAGCTACTGAAGTGATGACTTTGTTTTCTCTTTCATCGAGCTTAATAATGACCATGGATTTCACAAAATACATTCGAAAAGCTCAATCCACCCAATAGATACACTAGATACCCTCTATTTAAGATAAACTTTTAAAAAATGAGCTTTTATTTAGAGTGTGGTGAGCGTTTGAACTATACCCTCTATTTAATGTACACCTTCTAGTCCCATTTCTTTTAGTCCCCAAGAGTTATATTTAGTTTTGTCTATAATATAAATTACATGTCTTCTTATAAAGATTTTAAATTTCCCAACAGATCAACTTCTCTAACTTTACTTGGTCCAAACAACGAAACATCTAATAGTTTAGAACAACAACAATCACAATCCTTATCCCCACATAAAGAAGAAGAAATTCTGGAAAAAAGAGAAAATTCAAATGAGGGAGGTGATGGAGCATTTTCGCCTGATTTTGGGGATCGAGTGCCTTTTATTGACGAATCAGCACAGTCATCTGCTTTGTCTACACCTAAAGACCTGAGGGAAGAGGAAGAAAAAGAAAATAAAATGCCAACTAAAGTTGGCCCAAATTCTTTCCGGTCACACTCTGTGCCGTCTCCCAATCAACACAAAGAAGAAGAAAAAACATTTATTCCAATAGATTTCAATAATGGATTAAATGGAGGGTGTAATAACCAAACAAATGTTGATAATTTAATGAAGGTAAGCGGTACTTTTCTGTTATGGGGCTGCACATAAATTTTTAAAAATGTCAAGAATATGTATGGGAAATTATATATTTGAAAGAGCTCGTCGATCTGAGTCGAATGACGCTAAAATCCTCGCATTCTGACTTGATAGGGCTGTGTTACAGGCCTGTTGACTCAGCTCGACGAGCTCTCTTGGATAATATTTAGTCCATATTTATAACATTTTTAAGCATTTTTATGTGCGGTCCCTTGTCCCAGGTAGGCAGATACCCCCTAAATTTTTACAACTTTTAAATATCTTTTATCTTTACCATTTTTAAATGCAGGAAGAAAAAGCTCTACCAATTTTCGACAAAATTCCTCAACTTCAAATTCGTCCATCAGTAATAACAGTTACACAATTAAATATACATAGAGAGATAACTGCAAATTTTACTGAAGGAATTGGTGGATTAAGGAAATGGGTAGATGCCGCTAGGGGTGGGGGAAGAAATGTAAGAACACAAAGTGAAAAGAAAAGAAAACAACAGAAACAAAAAGGACAACCACACAATAGAAAGTTTTCTAAGGTAAGTCTAAAGGAGGTGGAGGTAAAAGTTGGTTTTGATACTCGTTCGATTCGTCTTGATGAGAGCTAAGTTGAATTATACCTCACTACTATATGGGGAGATGCTTGTGGATCTAGTTCTTCAAATAAGTTTTGTATCAAAGCCGGGGTTGAGAACTTTATCCAAAGAACATTTTTGGCTCTATTACACAATATACGTCCAATCATATTTTTATCATTCATATAAAAGTCGATTGGACGTATATTGTGTAATAGAACTCCATTTTTGTACCATTTTTGAAATATTTTACTCTCAAGAGTAATGTAAATCAGAAGAGACGGAGCTACTCCAGTAGCTCTGTCAATAAAGCATTTGAACGCATTGTTAGAGGAGCTCCTAGCAATTGACTTAGCCTTTCTCTTACTTAAGTTGAGTACAAATACGAGCAACTCATCAAATTTTATCTCTCCCCAACTCTTTTAATTTCTTATTATTTAAAGGGTTCTTCATCCCGTTCTGAAAATCGAGCAAGAAAAGCCTTGAGAACAATTACCGTTATTTTGGGTACTTTCACTTTATTTTGGACTCCTTTTTATGTTTTGGCTACAATTTATGGATTTTGTGAACGTTGTAGTAGTTCTGCTGGTATTTAAATTTTGTTTTGAAAAAAATTTTGTTTTTCAAAGGTTTCCAAGCTTTATATACAGTTAGTTATATTCTTTGTTATATGAATTCGCCAATAAACCCACTTTGTTATGCTGCTGCCAATCAACAATTTAAGCGCACTTTTAAAAGAATTTTGAGGGGGGATTTACATAGAAATTAAATATTTTCTTCATAAATAGTGGAACCTCATTTATAGATACACCTATGGGGAAAGGATACCCAATAGTGTATATGTAAAATTGAGGTTTGAGATAATAATTATTCTCCCGTCTGTATTGCCATATTTTATTCTTGTCATACAAATACTTTTTAATTACCGTAAATGCTCTAACAAATGCCCTCTTTCCCTAATAAACTCCAAAAATATTTTTAAAAAGTTTTGTTTAGGACTGTTTAGTATTTAATTATAAAATAATTTTCCACACAAGGGTTCGAATCCCCAACCCCTCAAGTTTGCCACATTTAACCACAAACTTGATTAGCATTTATGTTATATTTATATATTATATTGCTCATACACAAAATTTAAATAAAATAATTTCTAAATTAATAAAAAAAAATTTTTTTTATTTTTAAAAATATCTTTTAATTTTATTATGTATTTACAACTGGTTTGAGAGTTAAGGGAGGCCAATTGAGCACGGTCAACTATGCCAAACAAATTTAATCGACTATAACTTTCTTTGCTCCAATCAGAATAAATCTTATCAATTTTATAACCCTTTTTCTTTTTTCCAAAGTTTAGAGACAGTACACACTCATTTGGCCTATTTAGCGGTTTTAAAAGAAATTTAAAAATGAATAAAATAAAAAAATCAAAATTTAAAGAATTCTTCAATTTTAAAAATTTATTTCCGCCGACAAAAAACACAACGTATAACGCTAAGCAAAATCAAAGAAGCAATCAAAACGCCAACAGCTACGAGTAGAACAAAAGCCCATGTTTGTAATTTGAGACAACATTCTAAAAGAATTAGAAAAATTATAGGTAATTCATACCGAGAGCGAAATATCGGTACGATCTCTGACTTATAAATCTCGCTATAAGATATACCCATGATACCAGTTATTCTCTATTTAAGATACATCTAATAAAATACGTTTTAGTTGAGGTTTGACTGTAGAATGGGAAAAAACGATATCCACTATTTTATCAGACCTCATAAAAGATTCGAATTTTATAAAAAGTTCAGACTGTATTAAATTATGTCAATTTTAATCTCTAAATTTACCATTATTCAAAGTCCCGCAGCAACGGAAGTAATGGAAGACAGAGCTGTCAGGGCAACGAGTGCCCACAGCCGGCACGGGACACCAAATCTGACCTCCCTAAAAATATTTTTAAATTTATTTTTCTCCTTATTTTTTACCTCAGTTTTAGACAATTTATTAACTGTTTCACTAACATCCTGTCCAAATTCATCAACTTTCCTTCCAACTTTCGAAAGGCCGTCCTCAGCATCTCCAGCCAAAACAATTCCAAAAAGTGTTAATAAAATAATAATAAATATTTTCATTTTTTGTGGAGATTTTGATACTATAAACAAAAGAGGTGAATCGGAATAAAATTTCCGACGTTTTTTTCCTTCCGATTTCCGATTCAATTCTGCAATTAATTTATAGGGGACTTTTTTTTGGCTGGACCTATTCTGATAAATTATGTCATTCGAAAGAGCTCGGAAACTGGGTCGAACTAGGAGTGGACATAGTTGGTCCGGCATAGGGGACCGAGATATCGTTGATTGAAAATTGAAAAACCATAGGGGGGTACTCATTTTGTTCGACGAGCTGAGTCGAATGACACCAAAATCAACGTAATCTAATAAGTTTCGACAAAGATATGGTCGTTTATTCCGTCCACGCAAAAAAAGTTTTAATTTTAAAATAAAATTTAAAAAATTTTTATTTGGTTAAAAATTGAAGGAATTAAATAAATGCTTAAGGGGAATGCTGGAAATAAGATTTAAAAAAGGGGAGGGGAGAGAGAGAGAGGGAGAAAGAAGGAACGAGAAAGATAAGAATAAAAAAGAGATTGGCTGGCAGAAATTTTAAAAAAGATTTGCCAAAAATATCTGCGCTAACCAACACAAAAGTGTGGAGTCGCTTCGGCAATCACTCGCTCGGGAATGGGAGAGAATCCCACCAAAGGTGGTGCGAAATTTTATCAAAAATTTTTCCGCGTGCTTTCAACTCTGTATCCGAGCAAAAAGTGGGTACTTCAAAAATACTTAGTATTTTATTTATTCTCTATCATTTAAGCTTTATTTGATCCAATTATTTTTAATTTGGATAAAGTTATGCCATAAATTAACTGCCCCATTTCTTTCTGGTCACCACCCTGTAGATACCAAACTCATCACTACTAAAGCTGATAATTTAGTGTTGTTAAATGAAATAATCTTAAGAAGCTGGTAAGAGAAACAATAAAATACTATTAAAAATAAGAGAATGTTAGAGAAAAATACAAAAAATATAACAGTGAGAGAAAATAAAAAAATATGTAAAACTATTTTGGATTTATTTAAAAAATAAATTTGAGAGAGAGAGAATGCCTCGCAACCATTTTAACGTCTTTTTTTGGTTATTTATTGTCTCCAAGGACAACCATTTATCCCTTTAAGGAAAATAAAAAAAGGGCATTTTTATATCATTTTATTTTTTATATTTTTTGACGTTCATTTTTCATCAAAATGAAAACAAAAAAATGCCAAATTTTTGAAAAACAAAAATAGAAAATGAAGAAATTCTGGAAAATAAAAAAAATTATTAGGACATTTTACCAAATTACAATTCGCATAAATGGACAATTCACCGAACGAAACATACGGTGAATTGTCTTGTTGGTGAACTATCCTTCCACTAAAAATATTATAAAAAATTTTTTTTCAAAGAAAATAAAAAATAAAATTTTTTAAAAATACATAAAAAAAATTTTCCTTAAAGTGGAACCCCGTTAATACGTCACCCCAGCCATACTTCATACTCGTTTATACGTCGACACAGTTCGGGCACGAGAGGTGTGTTTTGGCCTGATATGGCTCCCGATCACACGTTGTGTTCAATTATATGTCGGTATGATTGAGACGAGATTCTATTGAATATTTAATTTTTAGGGGAAATATATTTTTAAAAATTAAATATATTTATTTTGTAATTTAAAGTAATTGATGGAAGAAAAAAAAAAAGAAATTTTTTTATTTGTCAATTTTTATTAAAAATTAAAAAGAAAATAAAAAAATTAATGGGACAAATATGGCAACAAAAATTTACCTAAAAATTTAAAAAAATGTCAAAGAAAAAGAAAATAGTGTAGGAAAAGAAGAGAGTGTTAGAGAAAATGTATATTTAAGGCGCGCCGAAATTTGCGGATTTTAATTTGCGGACCCGAAATTTGCGGACCCGAACTTTGCGGACCCGAAATTTGCGGACCCGAACTTTGCGGACCCGAATTTTGCGGATCTGAGATTTGCGGACCAAAAATTTGCGGACCGACAATAGAGTCTACTGAACCTCGGAAATTTCAAAAATTTTAGCCTGCGGCGTTAATTAGGATAAATTCAAGCATCATGACCTTATGAAATGGCCATATAAATGATTTTTTAAGGAATTTTCTCGATTTTTTAAATTATGAAATAATGTTAAGATAAAAAATTGATAAAAATTTTGAAAAATCAAGAAAAAATCTTGATCTGGTACGGATCATGGTAAACTCTGCCGGGATCATCGAAAAATAAAATTTTTAATTTTTTCATTTTACTCAAGTGTCGGTCCTAAAATCTTGGTTCCCCAAAAATCAGGTCCGCAAACTTCGTAACCTTCGGGTCCGCAACTTTCGTTCCGCAAATTTCGGGTCCGCAAAGTTCGCGCCACGATATTTAATTCTAATTTATTTTAGATCAATTAAAGGATTAAATTATAGATATTTTTTAAAATTTATTTTGAGAAAAAATTTTCAAAAATTTACAAAAATTATTATAGGAAGGATTTAAGGATTAGGGGCAAAAATTAAAGAATTGGGGGCAAAAACTAAGGAATTAAATTTAATTATTTTTTAAAAGCTTTTAATTAAACTTAACACACCGGAAATGGGGTTTAATATTATTACAATCGGATCTCATATACTAGATATACACCTCTATTTTAGCTATTGAGTGGGTGAACTTAAGTGATACCTTCTATTTAAGAAAACCTCATTATAAGAGACGATTTCACCAAGGGGATATCTTATAATGAGGTCCGACTGTATTAAGGGTAGGGGACACCTCAATCCCTTCATTCCAGTCCCAGGGCCGTATTTTGGAATACTAGGGACAGACCATTTAAACGAAGTTCCAGTAAATTCCTCATTTACCAAAAAAAATTTTTTAAATAAACAAAATAAAAATCATTATTCCCCCAATTAAAGGCAAATTTCTTCTCCTCAAAGCAAAAGAAGAAGACGAATAAAAAGAATTTTCCCCACGTCTTGTCACCATCCATCCATCTCCTCCTTCCATTTCTTTATAGGGAAAGGAAGTTGTTGTTGGCTGGGGAGGAAATTTTTTTAAAATTTTTTTTCTTTTTTCTTTTTGTGTTTTTTCGTTTCCTTTAAATTTTTGTTTTGTTGGAGTGCTTATTTTTGGCTCTTCAAAATTTTCTTCATGGACAGCAGAGAGAGGGCGATGCCATGATTCTGCTATATTTTTAAATTAATTAAAAAATTTAATGAAAAAATTTTTAGAAAATAGTTTAGAAAAATGAGAGTTTTTGGGAAAAAAATATTCGGGAAGAGAAAATAGTCTAATTTTCAAAAAAACCCCAAAATAATTTTAAATTCTAGAAAAGAAAGATAATTTTACTTAAGGTGATTTAAGTTAATTGGATTAGAGGGTAAAATAGTTTTGGTGTCCAATATAAAGTATTAATTTTGGAAGATTTTTTGATGACTAATAAAAATCAGAAAAGGAAACTTTTAGAGAAAAATAGTTTGAAAAACCGGTTTAAGAAAAAAATTTCCTTTTTTAATCAAACGTTATAAAAGGAAATTTTTTTTTTAAAAATTATTGCGAAATAAGAGGGATGAAAGAATTAAATAAAAATTGTTTTTAAAATTAATTAAAAAATCTGGAAATAAATTTTAGTAGTTCCCTCGAATATTTCAGTTTTTGAAAAATAAATGAAGACGTGAGATTAAAAACCAATTTGTCATCAAAAGGGATCGAACTCTCTTCCCTTTTCCCCAAAAAATTGAAAAATTATCCCACTACACCAATGCAACCAACTTTCCTTTTTTGGTTGTTATTGACTGGGGCTTGAATGGCAAATTAAAAATAATTTTAAAAGAAATTTCTACCAAATTTTTCCAGATTTGTACTCATTGTGTTAGTCTCTTCTGGCCCAATAAAGTGTTGTGTTTGTCCATAAATTGGGGGATTATTGTTTTGATTTATTTCCCTAACATTCTTTTCTTCCTCCTCCTTAGTTTCATCATCTTCATATAATTCTTCTTCTTCTTCCATTTCTTCTTCTTCATTATTTAAAGAAGTATATATTGGTGTTGTTGTTTGTATATTTTGGTCTTTAATAATTAAATTAATTAATTAAAGAGCGGGCCCCCTCAAAAGGTAAATGAATTAAAAGTTAGAGCGGCAAAATCCGATTTAAATAAAGACTTAACCAAATTCTTAAACTTACGGAGTTAAGTAAAAAGAATTCGGTGCCTGATTTATAGAATATTTCAATGAGGCATTTTAATTGTGTAAAATATGAATTGGATACCATAAATGCTCCAAACTCTCTGAAAGAAGCATACTCTCTAATACATATACGAGAGGATCGAAAAATAAAAGAACATGTGGTTCTATTAGAACACTTACGGTTGTTCTTGATAAAAATACAGGAATAACCTCGATTTCGGTTAACCGGTAGTGAACAACCCTACTCATCACCTATTATACCCCGTCTGGTCAAACGCAAATTTTTTTGAATTTCCAACTTCCAACTACCCAACTCTGACTCCCTCCATTTGTTCAACTCCCCCATTCCCGCCTAATCAAAACTAATTTACCAATAGCCTGTTCACATTGAGGTCCTTCAAACATTCCAATTAAACAAATACATTTATGTACTTCCGGTTTTTTAACCAAAAAAGAGCAAACCCCTCCATTTAAACAATTCAAATTGCATTTGGATTGGTCTGATAAAAATGCCCATTTTGCCCAAGAATTGTTTAAAATAATTAAAAATAAAATTGAAAAATAAATAAATTTTGAAGACATTTTTTAAAAAAATATTCTGAAAATTGAAAAAAAAATAATTTTATTCGAACCTATGACCCCTAAGTTTAAGAAGATTCTGAAGTCAGGGTTCTTATCCACCTAACCAATAATTTCAATTTTGCTTTTCTAGTTGATTAAATCGGTCCAATCTCTTGCTTACCTATACATTCAAACATCATTATAAGATACCCTCAATACTAAATACACCTCTATTTAACGGACAACTAATTATAAGGTACGTTTTAGTCGATGGGTTTAAAAGCGAGGTCTAACTGTAGAAAGAAGAAAAACTATACCCCCTATTTAACACACACCTCATTATAGAAGACTATTTTTTCTGCCCGTATCTTATAGTGAGGCCTGATTGATTTTCAAAGTTTATAAATAATTTTTATAAATAATTTTTATAAATTCGATTTTTATATGGAAAAGACGGAAAAAAGACGGATAAAAAGACCAAAAGAATAAATTTTGTCAAAAGCATAAAAATTGCCAAAGGAAGTGGACATTAAAAGTGGACAAGAAAAAACTAAATATTAGTAGATTTTGTTGCGAAAAAAAACAATTTTGGGGGTAATTGACTGAAAACACAATTCACTGAAAATTAAATAAAAATAATGCGGGGAAAGAAATAATGCAGGGAAAGAACAGACGCTTCTTCCTCAAAAAGAAGTTCTGTGCTTCTGTAAACAGAAACTTGGAGTAAAAGGCCCTCATGGTATTATGTAGTTCCCAATAAATCTGTCAAAAGTCTTTTCAGCAAAATGCCCCTCTAAAAGATTTTTTCTTTACGAAAAGGTGTGGAAATAATAAATAGGAAGATTTTTTAATATAAAAACAGTTTTTTGTGTTTCCTTTTTATTTTTTGCAAACAATTGCTTAAGAGTGTTGAAAAACCAAGGAAAGAGAGGAGGAGATGCTTTTCTCGCCCCCGCTACTTAAAATAAATTTTATTTTTGCACGTGTGAAGGGATAAAACATGCTAAAAAGAGAAGAAGAGTGTTTGAAGATTTTATTTTTTTGATTTGGAATGATTAGTCGAAATTGTGTAAAGAAAAGTCATTATAAGGATAAGATTTTTCAGCCCTAAGGTGAAAACTACCTATATTCTTACGAGGGAACATCGTTTATTGTGTACAGGAATTTGGTAATATTTTGGTAAGGCTTATGAACACATTCAAACACATGTTTTTCTAGTCTAGAAAAATGTGCGGTTATAAAATATCAGTATTAAAGTACTAAAATGGTCCACTTTTGCATTTTAAAGAAAATAAAAAATTATTTTTCCCACTCTGATTCGAACCCACGACCTCCTTGAGTTAGCTCGACACGACCCGCATCACTTCGAAATAGGAAGTCGATGGTCCTCTATCGATTGATACCAAAAAAATACCAAGTTTTTGTACACAGTAGGCAATGTTCCCTTGTTAGTAAAAATTAAGCGTCAAGTTAATCTACCCGCGCAGGAATAGCGAACCTACCACCTAATTGCTAGGAGCTTCGCTAACCATTGAGTTCAAATGTTCTACTAACTGAGCTCCTCCCTTATAAAAAGTAAATAAGGAATAACCCCCCATAATCTCGAATAAAAAAAATTAATTTTTTAAAATTTTCTAACTAATCAAAAAAAAGAAAAGATATTAAGAAGAAGAATTAGTGTAGATTTGTTAATGTTATGAGGGAAATTGGACAATTTTAATAGGAAAAGAAACAACACCGACAACACCGCAAGAAGGAAAAAAGGTGTAGTTAAGTAGTAAATCTATGTATTTATAACAACTGACACTTTTAAAGTTTTTTTGTAGAGAAATGATCGAAAAGCTTTTGGAGGGCTTTAGTATTTCTTTTTTGCTTTAAAGATTTTATGTACTTACATTTTTATTTGGATAAATTTGGAAAATAAAGAAGCTCTTAGGGGGATGTTTTGTGTAGAAAAACTCGTAATTTGTTATGGATTTTAAAGTTTAGATTAAAAATTAAGGACAATTTTGTGAATTGTAATATAATTGCCAATTTGTCACTTATACACATGTTGACATTTTGTCGTTTTTGCCTTATAGGCAATCTGTCGCTTATGCATTTATTGGCAATTTGTCGTTAACCGGCCCGTTCTGTTTTTTCTTAAGCTTTGATTAAATAATTTTTTGGAGGTTTAAATTATTTTTTTATTTTTTAGAATAATTCCAGTCATAAAAATGAGTGGTTTCTCAGAATCGACAATGCGTGAAAGACTTACGAAGTTAACAAACACAACACATTCAATACAAACATTATCAATGTGGATATTACATCATCAAAAAAAGAATGCTGATGCTATTTTGGATACTTGGTTAAAGGTTTTTTTCTGAGATTGTGAGGGGGCTTTTTGTGGATTTTCTGATGATTATTTTTACGGACATTTATTGAGATTTTGCGGACTTTCTCTGTGGACTTTTTAGTATGAATAGAATTCCGCAAAAAAGCCTCTCATCCGACAAATGCCAAAATTATATTTAATTTTTTAAATTTAAAAATAGGAAGTTCGAAGTATTACAGACAGTGAACGCCTTTTAAGTTTAATGAATTTAGCTAATGATGTTATTCAAAATGCTAGAAAAAAAGCCCCAGCTTTTATGAACGCTTTTTACGAAGTTCTTCAACCTGCTGTTAGGTTGGGGTTTTAATTTTTTGATCAGAAAGTTTTTTTAAATGCATCTTTTTCGACCTGTAACCGAGACCCGATCCGAAGAAAATTCTTAAACCTGATCCAACTTTTTTTTCAAATCGTCCCATCTTTGTTCAGCATAACTTTTGCAGACTTCTAAAAAAATTTTTTTATTTTTCAGTCACATTTCAAAAAATGCCGATCAATACCACAGACAATTGCTAGAAAGGATTTTGTCTGTTTGGAGAGAAAGGGGAATTTATTCAACTGAAAATTTGGATTTACTCGTTAATTGCCTTCAAGAAACGTCCATTTCAACTCCAAATCTTATTTCTGATCCAGAAAGCCCAATTCGGACGGATTCTCCTTTGTTACCTTCAGGCTCTCCAGGAAATTCTTTGGACAATTCTAAGGTTTGTTGTTGAGACTCGGTCAGAGGGAGGGAGCATGGCGGAGTTTTTTTTTGAGTTTTGGATTTTTTGGGTTGACTCTAGTCTAGTTTATGTTTCCCATAAAGTTGTTTATTGGATCTGAAACCGAGAGTAAAGGACCTTTATTATTATTTTTCTCTCATTTTTAGAAAATCAAAGAAGAGTTTCATGCATTTTCTAGCCTCAGTACAAATATGGTTTGTTTTTAAATTATTTAAAAAATTATTTTTTTTTCACAGATTAACCTCCTTAGACGTTTAGAAGACCCCGCATCGGCAGACGTGAAAATTAGGTTTAATTTATTTGTAATTTATCTAAAAAATTATTTTGTAGACAAATAATTGCTGCATATCCTGAAGCTATAGCTAATCCTCTCCTTCTTAAAGAAATCAAAACTTCAGAGGGAGTAGCTGCTTTGATGGCTAAAACTGTGGAGGCTGTGCCGGGTAAATATTTTTTTGAGATTAATGGGAGTTAAAATTTGTTGCTTATGTATGGATTGGTGTAGCGGGTTAGTTTTTTGTTTGGTGGGTAGGTTATGCGTGGTTTGACCCCTTTATTTATTCTGTTATTTTTATTTTTTTAACCTTTTTTTAATTAAATTTTAGTTGTGGATGCATATTGCACTAGATTACAAGACGAACTTAAAGAACGTCAAAATCTCCAATATCTTATGGCAGATTATATAAAAGCTTTAGACCAAGCAAATGAACGAAATAAAGCACTACTTGATTCTGTTAAAAAGGGAATTTCAAGGTTGGATGCTGAGAAAAAAGAAGTTTTTTTTTAAAATTATTTTTTTTAAATCTTTAAAATTAATTTTAGTTGGCAAAGCACATCGATTCTTTGCCAGGTTAGTTTATTTTTTAAACTTTTTGGGCATAATGCTTCCTTAATTTTCTACCGATTTGAATAATTCTCTTGCCGTTTTTTAAATGTTTCGATATGGGGATGATTTTTTTATCAAATTGGGCCGATCTTGCTCGAATCAGAGCCCATGAAAGTTTCGTTTCGAGATTGCTTTGAAGAAAGGAGGGGAGGAAAGGAAAAGGAGAATCTTTACTTCCCTTAGAAAAAAGAGGGAAATTTTCTGAATTGTTCCCTAACCAATTTTCGAATCTGAAAATTGAGGGGTTCTTTTAATTTCTGTTTGAATTATCTAATTTTTTAAAAACTTTATATAGACCTTTCACAAATCGCTGCAAGTACAACTTTACCACCTTTGGGTGAACTTTTTACTTCGTCTTGAAGGATCTTTCTTTAAAAGTTTGTCACATTTTAAATTTATTTTCTCTTTTTCTTTTAATATTTCTTTTTTTTTTCGATTGTGTACATTTATAATAATAAAAAATAACAATTTAATACATCACCTTTTTATATTCTTTCTTAAAACTATTTACTCTAACTATTTTTTTATAAAATTTCTAGCATTCTTTTTAGTTCAATAACTAATTGCCAATCAGCCTTTGTCAAGTCATCACGAAAATATGTTTTACAAACATCAATAGATTCTCGAGTTATCTTAAAAATATATTTATATGTTAAAGATTTAATTCTAAAAGTTTTCTCAAATTTTTCTGAGCGTTCTTTCAAGAATGAAAACCCAATTTCCAGGTTCCCTTGTACAATTATCCTTAAGAAAAAAAAGAAACTTTTTCAAACCTTGCTAATAAGAATATCTTCATGAGTAAAATGTCTTCCATAAAGCTTTGGTGCATCTCCTGTTGTGTTCTCTATCTTTATACAAACTTCATCACCAGCTTTAGCTATATCTACTTGTTCATGATTTTTTTCTATTGAAGAAATTGTTCCAAGGAATACAGGCTTTAAAAATTCAAAAAAAATTTTTAAACTTAAAATCAAAATAAACCCCTTCTTTAGTTTTAGCAGTAACAGGAGTTCCTTTCTTTAATTGCCCAGCATCCACAGAAACGCCACAAACAATTGGATTTCTTGCATTAAAAATATGTTGTGGTAAAACACGTAATTTATAAGGAAAAATAGCCAAATGTTCATTTTCTTTACGTCGTTTAAGAGCTAATTCTTTCCTTGAAAAGAAATTTTTTAGAAATTCAGTTAGATGATACGTACGGATTTAAGGAAAAATGAATTATAAAGAATTGAACTCAAGACTACCCACCCGTTCTTCCAAAATTGTGAATAGTTTTCAGTCAGTATAAAGCCCTAGTTCAGGCCCATGCCGAAAAGTAAAGAATTTAGTCGATTCATCTTAAGTCCTCTAACACAGAATCAGACGTAAAATTCTTATTGTTAGAACGGATCATATTTTGGTATATCTGCCGCATTTCCAGATCATACTAACATTAAGATGGTATGATTTGATACTTTCACGAACCGCTGTAAACTGATTGCGATAAATCGGTTTATCATCGAGTTGAGAAAAAAAAAGCCCAGGTTTCGGATGTCTGATAACTCATGACATCTCTGGTGTGTATCTATAACCAAAAATCATCTCTAGTCCCAACCTCTTTCACTTTAAATAAATTGAAAAAAACTAACCTATAATTCAAAAAGCTTTCTTCCAAATGATAAATAATATTTGCTTGGAATATTCTCACTCCTTCTTTATCTGCCAACAATTGAACCTCTCGATCCACTGGAACATCAAAAGCGAGAATACAGGCAAATTCAGAATTATGTTCAAGCATTGCTGCTGCTTTTTGTACATCTCTTTTATGGACTGGTCCAATATTTACATTTGAATACTTTAAATAGAAAATTAAAAATTTTACGGTCAAACATCATCTCAAATTAAGAGATACCTCTCACAAGGGAACATCGGCTACTGTGTACAAAAATTTGGTGATTTTTTGGTACCAATAGATAGAGGACCATCGACTTTCTAAAGTGATATCCGTTTTCTTGCAAATTACATTGAATTCAAACTAGAACCGCTAGACTCGCCCATTAAGCGATTTTGCGAGAAAACCCGCATCAGTTCGCAATAGGAAGTCGATGGTTATTTATCGATTGGTACCAAAAAATACCAAATTTGTGTACACAGTAGGCAATGTTCCCTTATTAGTTTAAGATACTCTCCGTTTAATATACTTTTTGGTTTAAGATACGTTTCTTAATTTTTGGTTGGCCACTGGAAGGGAAGGAAGTCTAACAATAAACGATACCTTTAATTTAAAATACATCTCTTTATAAGGTACAATTTTTCAGTCCTGATGAGTAGCTTATAACTAGGTTCGAGTGTAATAAAATTTTAAAAAACCATACCGGAATTTTTTGTGCTTTCAAAAACTCCAAAAGCGCTTCTAAAGACCCTAAAGTACTCGCTTGAACATAAACTCCTTCGGGTTTCTTTTTTATTGCCATAAGAGCATTTTTTAATTGATCTTCAGCATCCATTCTATAAAGGAAAAAATTAATTTTTCTTTAAAATTTTATTAAAATAAAACTTTAAAACTTCAAGTTCATCTTCACGATGTGCAACAAATAAAGGAAGACCGGCAATTACTTTCTCTAAATTTTTTGCCAAAATTTTAATTCCTTGTGCGCCATTAATTTCTTTGTAATGCTCATAATCGGCTTTTACACGTATTTCTTTTAAAGGCTTAAAGAAAAAAATATTTTTGGAAATATTTTTTGATTTCCACTTAAAGGGATCGAACATCTTTACAATTTTCTAAAAATTCTTTATTTTGCCTCGCCTTATTCAAACATGTCATATTCAATGGATACTACAATAGACAGTCAGCACCGGACCGGCACTTTTCGGTAACCGTACCGGTAATATTTTGAAGGTACTCTGGTACTACAGGTACAGAAAAAACCCATTTGCCTACACTAGTTTTTACGAGATTTCGTTCCGAAATCCTTAGTTCTAAACGACAAATGGGATTACCGGGAATTGATCCACGAGAAATCACGTACGCCATTTTGACCTTGTTAAGAGATCCTTAATTTCTGATTTTCCGCGCCCTTACAAATTTTAGAATTTTACTTTACAAATTACCAGACTTGAAGATTAGTCCTACACAAATCGTCAAAATTAATAAAAAAAACCTGAGGCATTAAAAGGTCCCTAATAGGCGTTGCAATAGGTCCATCACTTCCTGTCAGAACAATAATATCGTTAACATGCAAAGTACCATTAATTAAAATAACATCAATTGTTGTGCCCAAACCAGGAAGAGAACGAACCTGAAAAAATTTTGATGAGGAAAATTGTATAATAAATAAAATTTGATTTTTATGGTTTCGCAGAACCTGTATTCTAGGTTCAACTAACTCCAAAAAACGAGAGTAACAAAGATCGAAGTAGAAAAATCTTCAAAGTCAAAATTTGAAAACCTTAAAAAATCGAAAAAGCAAATGTCAGATCCAACATAAAGTCTTCCCTTTCAAGTCGTAGCTAGGGGGCCTATCTATCAATCATCCCTAACAAACCTCCATCACAATACAATCCAACTCTTCAGAAAAAGCAAGTTTTTCAAGATATCTATTTTGACATTGGTCTACAATGTGTGCCATTAAATTCCCAATTCCATCACCCAAAAAAGCAGAAGTTGGGACAACACTTATATATTCATCAAAATTTGTGTTTTTATTTGCCAATTCTATATTTATTCCCTTAAAAATAAAACAAACAAAAAAAATTATTTCCAAATTAAAAAAATAAACCTGTTCAGAAAATTCTCCAATAAGTTTATTAAAACGCTCTCTAAATTCTAATTGTGTATTTGTTGGTTGTGTATTCATATGTTGCCAAATATCTTTTCTTGGATTCGATTCATATTTGTAAAGTCTGTCAACCTGAAAAAATTTTTTTTATTTAAGAAAAACTTTTGTTTAAATTATAAATCTCAACTTTCTCAAACAAAAACTTGAAAAAATTTTACCAAGCAGGAATCGAACCTGCAAACTCTTACCAATTTTTAGCCTAACAATTTAAGTTGTCCACCGATTTAACTATTGTTGTATCTTTAAAATTTAATCTTAAAAAAAAGATTTAAAAAAACCCCCCACAAAATAACATTTTAATTCGGAAAAGGAAACGAACACACCAACTCAGAAAATTTTTGTGCACCAAATTCAAGTACACTAACGATTAAACTATCTAGTAACTATATCATTTTATTTCTTATAGAATAGATTAAATAATTAAAAAAAGTAAACAAAAAAACCTTATTCAACGCAACAACAAAAGGCGTCTTTCTTTTAATTAACAATTTTAACGATTCAATTGTTTGTTGTTCAAGGCCATGCATAATATCAACAACTAAAATAGCAAAATCACACAAAGAAGAGCCACGAGATCGCATATTTCTTTAAAAAATAGAATTTAAATTTACTAAATAATTCAAAAAAAAAATACGCAAAGCTTTCGTGTCCAGGAGTATCAATAATCAAAAATCCTGGAATTTTCATTGAATCACCGGAAAACTAAAAAAATGACAAAATAAAATTATTAAAAAATTTTAAATTACATTTTTGAGCATTTTACACCGTTCTTTAATGGCCAAGTCGGGTACCCGAGTAGCACCAATTTGCTGTGTAATCCCTCCAGCCTCCCCTTCTTGAACATTGGTTCGACGAATCTAATAAAAGGAGAAAATGAAAAAAAAGTTTGGGAAAAAATCCAAACCGTGTCAAGCATTTTAGTCTTTCCAGTATCGACATGTCCCAAAACACAAATAATTGGAGAACGTAAAATATCCGTAGTCTTCTTTTCTTTTGCTAATTTACTTCTTTCCTAATAAAAGAGAATTTTATAAAAATTTCCAAAAAATTTACAAACAGCAAAACGAAGTCTAATTTTAGCTAAAAGTTCTTCTCTAGTTTCTTTTGAAATTGTTGGAATTGAAGATTCAGAAGCATAACTTTCATCATCTTCAGAAGATGAGTCTGAACTTTCTTCTTCCAAATTTTGATTTAATTCAGAAGTTGTTGAAGGAATATTTTTTGGTTGTTTAGTTGAAGGTTTTGGAATTAATTCTTCTTTAATTACTTTTAATTTATCTGGAATGTTAATTTCTCGACCAGAATCAACAATTGTTTCCCAGTCGTCGACAACCTTAAAATTTTGTTTACTTAACAAGTCGAATAGGAATAAATTGGATATATGGAAGAAAAGCCGGTAAATAAGGCCCTTTTTCTGTCTTTCTCAAGTTTTTTCCTCTGTATGTATCTAGGGAGTAGCCAGGTGATCGAGTTCCGGGGGGAAGGGAGGGGGGGGGGCTATACTAAAAGTCGTATAAAATAACTAAAAAAAACCTCTTCTTCGTCACCCAAATCTTCTTTTTCTTCGCTCTTTTCTTCCACAACTTTTTCTTCCTCGGGAACACTTTGTTGTTCTTCTACATTCTCAACAACTTCAGTCGTCTTCTTAGCACCTCGTTTTCTAGCAAAAATAGGCTTCTTTGGTTTTTCCTCATCATCTCTATTCACCTCTGGGACAACATGACCTTAAACATTTCAAATTCAAATCCAAAAAATAATTTTAAAAACCTTGACTTTCAAGTAACTGTCTAGCCTTTGCAGCAGCTTGTTTTTGCTTTTTTGTCAAAAAAGTTCCTTCACGTTTCTGCTTTTGGATTAATTCTTCTTTTCTACGTTTTGCCTCCTCCTTGCGCTGTTGAGCTAATTTCTCCTAAAAATTGGAATCATTTGATCAACATTGTCTTTATTTTTATTATTTCAAGTTTCTATCAGATTGTTATAGTCAGTGTAGAGATAAACGATAGATATAAAGATAATCTATTGCCAATTTTTGGCTTTTTCCCCCTGACCCCCAATTAGAGAAGTTATACGGCATTAAAGTTTTCGACCTTTGGAGCCGTTTCTCCATTTTTTGGAGCGATATCAGGTATCGGATCAAATATCGGGTCCAGATTGGTGGACCCTTTCCTTCTTTTTTCAAACTTTTATGAAAATCTCAATCCCTTTTAAACATACAAAAACGACAATCAAAAAATTCCCATAAAGATGCCAAACCTGTTCCTCCTTCTGCCGTTCAAGTTCTGCAAGTCGTCTCTCTTCCTCTTCCCTAGCTCTCTTTTCTTCTTCTTCCTGCTCCTGTTTTCTTCTTAACAATTCTTTGATAAGTTCAGCTTGCTAAAAAATTTAAAATGAACCTTCTTGAATAAAAATTAGAAAAAAACCTTATTCTTCTTTTTTCCATCTTTACCCCCTTCTTTTTCCTTTTCCTTATCTTTTTTAGCCTTTTCCTTCTTCTTTTCTTTCTCCTTTTCCTTCTTTTTTCGAGCCTTTTCTTCTTTTTCGTCGAGAATTTGAACTTCTTCAGGTTGCTCCATTTTTCTTAAAAATAAATTTTTAAAATTATTAAAATTAACTAAAAAATTTGATTAATCGTGGCAACAAGCCGTCCATTTTTATGTTTGGAAATAGCGTGTAAATTTAAGAGAGACGTCAGTCAATCAGCTTTCTTTTTAGTTAATACGTTTCAGTGCCTACTTTTTATTGTGTGCTGAAATTGACATTAGAGTCCCGTTTGTTTTAATCAAAAATTATTTCTAACAAATTCGATTTCCTTTCCACATTTTTAATGAATGTGAAAATTAATAATAAATTAAAAATCCAATCCCTTCCTAAAAAATCTGGATTTGGAACAGTGATTAACAAAAAAATTTTTACAAACATCAATACTCTAATACATCGACGACAAGAAAAAAATTAATTCAAGAAAAAATGAGGCGTTCCAAAATACATTTAACAGTTTATAAAACTTAACAGACAAAAAAAAGTCCTTAACAATTACTAAAAAAGAAATAAAAATTTTCTCTTAGGCCTATCTGAAAGCCAATAAATTTTCCTATAAAATAGACCGGCACTTAATTTTTCTAAAATATATCTGTTTAAAGTACAGAGTTCAGCGATATCGGAATTTAGAGAAAAAATTGGGATTTTGGAATGGTGAGATCCCGGATCCCGACACGGGATCCGAGATTTTGGAACAGTGATTAACCAATGTCAACAGACAAAAAATTTTTTTCCAAACATCAATTTTATTTACTGAAAAAAATGTTTTAAAAAATATATAATAGAATAATTGACCATTTTATAAAATAGAGATTTAATAGTGGAAGCTTTAAAAATTTTAATTTAAAAAATACACATTTATTAACAGAAATTAAATATTTTAGAGAAATAAAAAAAATAATTCTAGGAATATATTTAAATAATGAAAAATAAAATAAATTTTTCGATTTCCTAGTTTTTTAAGAGGTTCTTTCATAGTCGCGCGAAAGTGTGAAAAAAATAAATTTAATAAAAATAGCAAAGTGTGTGGGTAGGTTAATTAATGAGCAAAAAATGTTTTTGAAGAAAAAATCCCAGCGAGTAAAAAACAATTTAAATTTACAGTCAAATCTCTCTGATTATAAGATACATCCCTCGAGGTTGAAAAAATAGTCTCTTTATAATGAGGTGTATACTAAATAGAGGTTAGAAGGGGGAGGATGGAGGGGAAGTATCTTATAATAATCAAGTTCAACTGTCCACCTAAAAATAATAAATTAAAATAAAAATATTTTGGACTTTAAAACTATGTTAAAATCATCATAATTTTTATTTACAAAAAATTTTTTTTGTTTAACAACAAAAGAAAATATCCTGTGTAAAATTAAATGAAAAATGCACAAACAAATACTAATATTCATTAAAAATTTTTTTTTCAATTACTGTCGAACATCGGCTATAAGATACCCCCTATTTAAGATACCATCACTATAAGACACTACCAATAATAGATACCCTCTATTTAAGGTACAACTCATTATAAGAGACGAGTTTTTCTACCCACAAGGGGTATCTTATAATGAAATTTACATAACTGTGTGTATTTAAAAATAAATTTTTCAACCATCTTAGATAATTTAATAAACAATTATTAAAAAAAAGACTATTTGAAGAATAATGAATAGGTAGTTGGTAGCATACATATTTAAAAAAATAATTTGAATTTTAATATATTAAAACAATAAAAAGACAATTAAATAAAAAGAAAATAGAGAGAAAAACTAGTGATTTTTAGGAGAAAGAGAGAGAGGTGTTTAATTAAAATTAAATAAAAAAATAATATTTTTTATGTGGGATTATTTCTTTGTTGTGAAGGCGATTGTGTTGAATGAGGAATTTGTTGTGATTGTAACCATTGTTGTTGTTGGGTAGAAGACGGAGGTGAATTAAATTGTGAAATACTTGCACCACCATTTTGTTGTCCTCTTCCTCCTCCTTGAAAATATTGTTGTTGTGGTTGTCCTTGTCTTTGAATAAATTGTTGTTGTTGTTGGGAGGAGGATGTTGATGATTCTGAAGGATGCCTCATTTGTTGTAAAATATGTTGACCTTCTGGGCCTTCCCTTTTTGTCATTTTTAAAAAAGCATTAAATAAATGAGGAGTTTTTCTGAGATCTTTGAATATTGCTTCCTTATCTTCTGGAGAAGTTGCTGTTTTAAACCTTTCAAAAATTAGGTGAAATTGTTGTTGTTGCTGCTGTTGTTCTGGTAATGGATGGCCTAAATACAAAAATTTTATTTTTCCTTTGTTGAATTTGTGGTAATAAAATTTTTTAAAATAACAATCGGACCTCGATATAAGAAAGCACCTTGGAAACGAAAAATCGTCTCTTATAATGAGGTGTATTTTAAAAAGAGTGTATAGCTTAGAAAGCTTTCGTTCACATAGAGGTTGGTCAATCAATCTTAATAAACAAATCCTATAAATAGGTTTTTTTTCTTCACCAAGTGAAGAAAGAAATTGATGAAACTTGTTCACCGTTAAAGGCAAAACTTCTTAAAAGTCTGGAAGGGCAAGATAAATCCTTTGATATCACTTCAATTCCTATGATACCCTAATTATCCGTCCAGTCTCCCAATATCCCCCAAATTCATCAATATTCACTTACACCCTTGATCCCTCGATATCATACTCATCCCTGAATTTGTCCTTTGACCTCCCAAATCCATCTTAATCCCTGCAAATCCCACAATATACACAGATTTGTTCATTTTTCAGCGGCGCAGGCAAAAAATTTTTTAAAGCATCAACTCCAAAACGAGGAAATTTTTTAATTTGAGCTTAATTTAGTTGGTAAAACCGGAAACCACGTTACTGGTTTCATCTTAGTCATGAAACCAGTAACGTAGTCATCACATCCTAGTCATCAGAAGATTTTCTTAAGCTTAGGCAAGTTAAATGTGCAAATAGAAATAGAAGATAATTTTTGTGCTGTTTTTGAATTTCTTATTGCTCAGAAGCGTGAATTTGTCATTTTTGGCGCCAAAAAATTCAAATTTTTGCAAGCTCTAATCGACAGTGGACAAAGACAATTAAAAAATTTGGCTAGGTGGTTGAGAGCGCTGACTACAAAATCCCTAATTAAAAATAGGTCTCGGGTTCAAATCCACTCATGGAAAATTAATTTTTTCTAATTAAATATTGAAAGATAATCACGTAAAACATTAATTGTTCTATCAAAAATTATTTCGAAAATATCTCTTCGTCTTCTCACCTCCTCCACCACGTTGAGGTGGTTGCTGTGAATGTTGAAATCTATGTTGCAGTTGAGGTCTATGTTGCTGTCCCATTTGTTGTTGTTGCTGTTGAACAAAAGACAAATTTTGTTGTTGTTGGCTTGGACTTGGACGAATGCCATAAGAAGGAGGATTTATTTGTTGTTGTTGAGAGATTAATGGGTGTTGTTGGTGAATTGTACCAGCTGAGGGAACTCGATGAATACTCGCTCCTCCGACGCCCTAAAAATAAATTTTGAAAAATTAAAATTCTTTTAATTTCTAGGACCGGTGGCATTTGATGAGGATGGGAATTTGGTCCTCCAATTATTTGTTGATGATAACTACTTCCAGATTGTTGTTGTCCACCAATAGGAGGGGAGTTAACCATACGATTTTGTAATTGATTTTGAATATCTAAAAGGTGTATATGTGAAAAATAAGCAGATAATTAGACATGTCAAGGGACAAACCCGAGACCATGAATTTTCACAGAATGATTGGAAAAACAGATTGATTCTTTAGGAAATTAAGCTAGAATGATTCGACAATCAACTCGAAAAACTGAGATAAAAAAGACAAGTAAGTTGATCGGGTCAATATAGTCAATCACAAAAAATGTCCCAATCCTTAGGTAATATTTTGGCTGATCCCCCCTCCCACACCCACTTTTTTCTTGAATTCCCTGAACATTTTGATATCCTTTCCTAATTTGTCAAAAGAGAATAAGGGGAGGGAACAGCCAAACTATTACCCATCCTTCTGCTCGAAAAATTTTGTGACTTATTCAGTAATTCAAAACATATATTAAGTGTTTCATAATTCAAAAAAATTTTCATACGATGAAATTCTGCTGGACCATTTAAACGCAAATGTGATTGTTGTTGCATACTTGATGGAATAACTTGGTTTGATTGAATTCCTCCTCCTATATGTTGTTGTTGTATTTGTGAAGAGCCATAAACAGGTTGACCTGCCATAAGAGGTGACTGGGAAGGAGGTTGTACCCATCCACCGCCCATTTGAGGTCCTCCACCTCCTTGTGATGTTGATATATTGCTTGAAGGAATAGCTACTCCACCACCCCCAACACCACTTCCATTCATTCCACCACCACCACCTCCTGAACTTTGTAATTTCATCATTCTTCTTTGCATCATTCTTTCAGCTTGACGATTTTGAGATCGTTTTTGTTCTTGCAATTTTTGTCGAATTTGTTGGCAAAATGGAACCTAAATTAAATTTGAAAATCAAGTCAAATCTATTTATTAGATCACTTCTTGAAAAGAAAATCGAACTTTATAATTTTAAACTGAAGGTATATCCCTCCGAAATTCCCCCCCCCTACCCTCCCTCGCTCAATAAACAAAAAATTTAAAAAGCGAATATTAAATTGAGGGTGTGTGTACTTAACATCAAGAGTATATAAAAGCGTTTTGACTGATTGTGAGATAGGCCTGAATGTATTTAAAAACGAGGTTTTTGTTAATTCAAGTACCTGGCATTTTGGCTGTGTACAATGTTTTGCATGATAACAACAAAGAGCAATCAATTGTTTACAAACAGCACAATTTGCCCCAGCAGATGCTCTTCTTTTGCACGCCTTTGTGTGCGAAATAACCCTTTTCATTTTGTGACAAGTTCCACGACGACAATTTACATCCCGGCATGTGCAGGCATGAACAAGAGAAGTAATACATCTCTTTATAGACTCATTTCTTGAAACGGCGGATGCATCAGAAGATGCTTTTTCTTCAACAAGTGATAATTTTTCCATATCGTGAGGATGGTCAATTTTTGTTTTGCAGGATTCACAGAGGTCGTAATCCTTTAAAATAGAAAAAAATTTGAAAATTAAAATACAGTCAAACTTAATTGTAAGATACTCCAAAAGAAGCTTAAAACTTGCCCCTTATAATGCTATTAAGTCTGTGCTACAGGCAACTAACTAATCAAGATTAAATTTCATATATAAACCCTGAAACTAAATGTTAATACCCAAAAAGTGAAAAGGATTTATGGAAATGCAAACTAGAAGAAAAAAAAAGCATAATGGAACAATATTTAAAGGGTTATTTCTCAGAGTTTATGTAGAGCAAAATGATGGGTAAGTTTTTGACGAAATTACGTTCTTGCTTGGGGAAATTATGATTTTGCTCATTGAAAAAGAGGGGAAATAAAGAGTAAAAAGATCTTCCGCAATAAAAAGTCCACAAAAAAGGGGGTGGGTGGGTGGTAATCTTTAAATGGGAGTACCCTATATCCCCTCCCCAAAAAGGGGAAGGTAATTTATATTGAAGTCTGACTTTATTAAACAACAAAATTACTAAATCTTACATCGCAAGTATTGCAATGATAAGAGGCTGGTTGTTCACAAACATTGCAAGTATAACTTAACCCTTTGTTTTCTTGTTCTTGTGTATGTAAAGTATAACAAAAGTTGAGAGTTGACCATTTTGCTCTTCTTAATTGACTAAATTCCCAATGTTCATCTCTCGATTTTGCCAAAAAATTATCTCTCGTATCCATCAATTCACAACTAATTAAAGGATCCGGATCTTCAATTCTCGGTTTTTGTCCAATAATAATTTGTTCATCATGGACAGAGAATAAACGAATAGTAAAGAAAACGTCGCGATGCTTCTCCAATTGTTGAAATAAACGATCAACAACAGGATTGCCTGTTGTTACACCTCCCTTCTTTTTTGTATTTTGCGCTGATTTTTTAAGGTTACTCTTCTTCTTATGATTATTATTATTTGTCTTTTGTTGTTTTTTAACTGGTAATCCATCATCTGTTTGGAATGTGTCGTCATCTGAAAAAAGGGAGGGATTTCTTTGGTAAAGCGGGAAATTTTATAAAATAGGGTGAAGATTCGGTTCAAACCCGCTCGGTGTAAAACAATTTGTTCTTGTACAAACAAAAAAGTTAGGTTCAAAAAATAGCCTCAAGACTAAAAAACAAGCTTTTTACCCGAAAGGTTGGACGAATCTTCCGTTTGTGCTTGTTGTAAAGCTTTTCTTTTATCAATTTCTTCATCTTTTTCTGCACTTTGTATACATTCATCTATTATTCTAGGCCAATAATCTCCTTCAAAATAAGGTAATCTCGTTGGCGTGTCAAGTCCATCATCTTTTGCTTGATTAAATATATCTTTATAGCTATAGACTGTTCCTTCTTCATTTCCATTATTTAACATTGTTTTGTACCAATCTTGTAATCTTTTAGGTTTTGGAATTTTTTGTTCAGTTGGATGACAATGAAATATATAATCGTCGCCTTCTGAAGGAGGGCATGCCCAAATATGTGCCATTGTATAACCAAGACGTTTGACATACTTAAAAAATTAATATTAAATTAATAAAAAATGGTGGACTAGTTTTCGAATTTTTTTGACGTTCAAGTTTTTTTTTGAAAAAAAGGGTTTCGGCTCTCGAGTTAATCTTAAAATTTTCACCTTTCAAAATTACAAATGGAAAAGGTATATAATTGTAAAAATAAAATTAATTTAGAAAAGCAGTCGAAAGACCATTATCTTCTCGTTTTCCATTTGTAACTATTTTGAGAAATTTTATTTATTTATACCATTATAGGCTCCAAACCCTTTTGTATTTTTTAAGGAAAAAGGATAAAGTTATAGGGCCATCTCCAAACAGTTACAGAAAAAAACAAAAATAAATTTTTAAACCTGCAAATATCCCAAAAGAATTTCATAATAAACAGAAGTTCTCAAATGCCTCGGTTGGAAGAAATGAACAGAATCTAGATAGGCGATATAAACACGTCTTTGGTTTGGTTGAGCACAATTAGTTCCATATTCTTGGACATACAAACCAAAGAAACAAACTTCTGTTGAAATACCAGTGTCTGGATCTTTCAAAACTTCAAATGCAAAAATGGCTTTTGAGCGGTAAGCAAAACGTTCAGGATAACCAGAGGCTCCATACCTTCAAGAGAAAAATTTTTTAATTTATAAAAACCTCATAAATACCCCTTTGATATTTTGGAAGATTCTTGGACAAGATTCACTTTTTAAATCAATCTTCTCCCAAAATTTTTCTATTTCCCTTATTTCGGGGGGGGGGGGCTTCAGGCCATGGCACGCCCTTACCTAATATTAGGGGTATTTACAAATGTGGTACAACGACTAAATAAATTATTTTAAACACAAACTTTTTCAACATTTGAGGTTTAACTTCAACTTCCTTATCAGAACTTGAAAGAACACGAATTATAACTTCAATTTCAGGATCATTTTCATCTAGTTTTTGTCTCAAAAAGTTGTTAACTCTGTCTTCAATATAACGACTAATTTGGCAATGTGGCAATTCTAAAAAAAGAAAATTTCAAAAAAAAATATAAAAAAATTCCTTACTTTTGGCAGTAAATTTATTTTCTGGGCGTGGTCTACTTTTTTCAACACGACATTGTTCACAAATAAATCCTTCAGGATTTATTTTGCGATTATTTAATGCACATATTCGGTGCCATTTTCTATCACAAATTAAACAATTATCAAAAGGTTCCATATCAACTTGATCATTTTTCATTTTTTGAAACATTGTTTTTGGTATCCAACTGAAAAAAGAATAAAAATTAAAAAAAAAAGAGAAGACTCCGCCCTACAAATATAAATTCAGCCAGTAGTTGACTGAAATAGGGTTGGCGAGGATCTGGACTAGAAAGAAGTCAGAATTATAAACAGGACTGTGTGTGTCTCGTGTCGGGTCAGTCTCACGTCAGAATAAAAATTCAAGATATCCGATTACTAAATCCACTAACAACAAAATAAACTTAACTATATATGGCACAGTCTAATTGTTTAGGTAAAAGAAGTGAGACCTCCCTATCTCTTAACACCTAACTTTGAATTTTCACCCTACGATTTTAACACTTGTATAGGGATGAGTAGGGTTAAGAAACTGTCGGACTGGGATTCGAGTTTCAAGTTGAAAAATTAGCGGTTATGCTTTCAGGATGTATGAGAAGACCTTTCCTGACCCGAATAACCAAATTTCTAAAAAAAATTCGAAAAACAAAAACAAACTTTGGAGGATCAGAAGTATTTTCATTCAAATTAATTCCCTTTTCAGGCAAAGCTTCAAAACATTTAACACAATAAATATATTTTTCAGCAACAGTAACACCAAAACCGCTAGAACTACATTCATACATAAAATATGGTTGATCTCTAGCAATAACACAAGCAGCATTATTTTTAGTTATTCCAAAACAAAATTGAACTAATGGAGTAAATGAAAGTTTTTGACCACAACAATAACCCATTTGTCTCATTACTGGATTAATTTCTTCAATAAATATTTCGCTTAAACGAGTACACCATTTGTGGACCTTTAAAGATTTTTTTAAATTAATTTAAAAACAGTCAACCCTCATGATAAAATACCACCTTTGAGTCTGAAAAATTGCCTTTTATAACGAGGTGTAACTTAAATAGAAGGTATTGCCCCTTCACACAGAAGCAAACCAAATTTGAAAATATTATCTTAAATAGAGGTGTAATTTTGCAGGTAACTTATAATGATATTGAGGTATTTTAAACTGACAGGTTTGACTGAATTAATAAAAATTGAATAGTTAAAAATATACTTTTGTGTTTTTACGATTGTAGAGCCAAGCATTTTCAAACATTAGCCACATGTGATCACAAACCTCCCATGGATTTTTATATTTTCCTTGATCTAGCCCATCTTTTATTGTTTTAAGATCCATTGGATTTTTAATAATATCAAAGTAATCCTGAAAAAATTTTTCCTTGTTAAATTAAAAAAAAATTTTTGTAAGTCCATAGAGGGTTCCGAATTGCAAATAAAAAAAACTCCCAAAATCTCAAAGGTCTTCCAAAAATAAAACAAATTTCATAAATTTCCCAAGGGTCAAGACTTGTAAAATTAAATCCTTAATAAAATTAAATCCTTGATAATAATATCCTAACCAAAAGTGGTATTTGTCGAACAGAATATTTTTTATTATGAAAACTACCTTAATAGATCTTAAAAAATCAAAAGTCCGAAGGGGTTTCCGAGTTTTTGCCTTTTTTCGAAATAAGAATTCTCAGAATCCTTTTAGAGGTCCAAGACATATAAACTGAACCCCAATTGAAGCGAACATAATTTTATAATAAAAATATAAAGAACTTACCGGAATGTTTAACGACTCCGGATCTACAGGTAAACGGAAAGGGATACATTCAGGTTCAGTATCCCACAATTTTTGCCATACTGGTAATAAATGGCTTCGCAATTCATTAGCACTAAATATCTTTGGATCACGAATTATAGGTTCAGGAGGAGCAGTTGAAGTGCTTGGCTTAGATTCTTTAGGTGTTGTAGGACGCCTATTAGTAGTAATAGTTGAAGCAGATTCTGAAGATGTTGATGGAAATATGTTGGTGTTAGTATTATTAGTTAATTCCATTTTAATTGATAATGATAGTTCTGAGGTTGATGGAATATCTGAAAAAAATTATTGATAATTAAAAAAAATTAATAAGCAAATAATAGAGATTGAATTGATGAAAGATCATAAAAACAAAATGGGCACTATTTGCCTCGCCTAGATTTGCTACGGCCATAAATCGGGAAAGAAACTAAAGGCATTTCTCCCCAACACATATTCAGTGCAAAGACCACAGAATTTCTATTTTTGTACTTGCATAGATTCTACGGGAAAAGACGACCGCAGATTCTGCAAAAACATGATAGATTCTAACAGATTTGTTCAAAATAAAAAATATGCATCAATGTAACTGACCGGTAGGTCTGTTACACCCACCCCCCCCCCCCCCCCCCCACCTCCGAAAAAAGATAGTAAATTTAACTATATATCTAATCAAGCCTGACTCCCCAACATTTCCCTAAACACAAAATAAAATAAAAATTAAATTTTCCCTTACCAGGTTCCTCAATCTTTGGACGTTTATTAGGTATTTGATCAACAAAATTTAACATTGGTTGATTCCCTTGAGGCTGTTGTTGTTCACCTTTTGGTTCTTGCTTTATTTCTCTAATATGTACTGATTGTTGATGTATCAATGCTTGATGATGTTGTTGTAAATCTGCCTGTTGTTGTAATTGTCCTCCTCCAAGTTGTTGATTTTGTTGTTCATTTAATCTTCGGTTTTTCTTTTCTTGCAATTCTTTTTGAATTTTGTAAATTTTTTCTGCTAACATATGATAATAAGCTTCTTTATCTGGCGCTTGTTCGAACATGTCTTTTTCGACCTTTCGAGCATATGTGATTAAATCACGAATGCGTTGGTCATGAATTGCAGCAGGATCGGGCGATGGAAAAATAGCCTTTAATAAAAGATTTGTGTAGTTTTACGAGCGATTTAAAAAGAAAAAAAGCCTCCGAAGCCACTTACAAATGTGGATACAATTGGGCTAGCTTTGCTTGAAATTACTAACCTAAAAATCACATCTCTTACTAATAAACTCATGTACCATGCCGGGTGTCAGTAGTTAGTATAATCCCCGAAACTTATCTACTACATACTAACATGCATAGAAAAGAATCCTTAAAGTTGCGATTACATCCGTAAGGGGGGGGGGGGATAGGGGAATTCCTACCCTCCGAAATTGGGAAGGGAAACAATTTAAGGAGGAAATTGGGGAAATCATCAATGCATGAATAGTCTTTGGTTTTATTCGAAAATTTGAAGCTAACAGAAAAATTAGATAACCCTATGATATTAAACCTATCAGCTAACACCCTACCCTATATTCAAATCTAATTTGTAAAAAATTAAAAAATGAAAACCTTAACCAATTTTCCAACCAAATGATTTCTCAAATCAGGAGTTATAGAAGCATGCCAATCTCTAGTAGTTGCTGGCGGTTCAGGAAGGGGCATTCCATCATTTGATGAAAACTGTTGTTGTCCACTACCTTGACCACCAGTTTTGTTTGGAGGATTTGTTGAACGGAATCTAAAAAAAATTTTAGACTGCGGATTATTTAAAAACCAAACGGATTTGGATTGTATCCATCCAATAAAGTATTGACTGTTGTTGCTTGAGATGGTGGCGATCCAAACATTTGTTGAGAAGAAACTTGACTTTGAGGTTGTGATGGTATTGATGAGCAAGAAGGACCAGCACCAGAAGCAGCTGATGATGATGAATGCTGTAACATTGGACCTCCCCCACCAAAGTTTGAAGGATTTAAGATCATATCTAAATAATTAAAAATTTAAAAATAAGCATTGAAGCAGCGATTCAAAAGTACAATATTAAGCTTATCAATGGACGAAGGATCGATGAAAACATAATTATTTTTGCTATTTTCCTTGTGACGAGGAATAATTAAATAAAGGCAAGCGAATAATAAAAAAACTAAAAAATCATGGAGAGACAGGGAACGGCTAAGGATACAAGGATCTAATGAGGGCAGGGTCGATCAAGATATACAATAAGGGCTATAAAACCAGTGAATGAGGGCAAAGGATTCACAGAGTTTATAAGTCCAACGGAGGCAGGGTAACAGCCGAACGAGAGTCAGTGATCAAAGGGGGGCCAAGGAACCTTGAATTAGGACCAGGAATTTAATAAGAGTAGGGGAGAGCTGGGAATTTTTTTGATAATAAAATTTAAAAAATAAGAGACAGGAATCCATTATCATTTCGATAAAAATACCAAAAGGTCTCCAAAAATTTCACAGAAGAAATCTTTTAAAAAACCTTGTTTATGTTCACCACCAGCGGCACCTTGTTGATGTGTATATCTTTTAACAGGATTACACACAGGACAATCTTCTTTAGTACAATTTTTCCAATGAGAAATTATTTGGCGAGAAGAAGCACAATGAGCAAATTGACATTGACGTCCATATGTACATTTTACCATGTGCTCCAAAACACCTTTCATTGTACTACAATAGGGAAGATTGCAGTGGCTACGATTTTGGGGCTCCACCTATTTAGAAAAAAATTTAAAAAAATCAACAAAAGGAAACCTTATCCCGTTGTTGACATTTATGTGCATGCAACAAAAGTACTAACTGTTGTTGAATTAATTTTCGTTTTTCAGGATCTTGTGGCTGTGTAGTACCCACCAATTGTTGTGATGGTGGTGGGAGGTGTTGTGGTGGTAGTCCACCACCACTTGGACCAGGTTGATTACGCATTGGTTGTTGTTGGCCAGGATCGTTCATCTAGAGAAATTTAAAATTACAAATGGTTGAATGAAAAAAAAGTGAAAAAAAATAATTGGACAAATGGGTGTGAGACAAATGAGTTGAAACAAAGGGACAGCGAAATGTGGTTAAGTGGTTTCGCGGTGGGATTAACAACAAGGCTTAGGTTCAGATAATCTCGAGTAAATAAAAAATGTCAAAAATTCGGCGCAGAAATTCGGCGCAGATACTTTTATGAAAAAAACACAAAAAAAAATCAGAAAATTTTCACGTACCATTATTCCACCTTGAACTTGAGAAATAATTCCATGTTGAGATTGTGATGAAGGTACAGAAGAGACTGGATGTCTAGGTCCTCCTTGTATTGCTTGATTTCCATTTACCATTACAGTTTGAGAATTTGGACCGGAATTAATTTGTTGTTGCATAGGACCACCACCCATCATTGCTGATGATTCTACTGGACCACAAGGACCAGACATTATCTAGAAAATAAATCGTCTCTAAAATAAATTTAAATTGTTTCTCGACAAAGTAAACTGACTGAAATTAGGTAAAAAACTGCCCTAATCTGAATCTTAGTTTTTGGACTCTTTTATTGGATACAAAAAACTAAAGTTTAGTCAGTGTAAAAGTTTACAATATTTGATTTTAGGAGACATTTAGTCAGATGCTTTATTTTACAGGGACAGAGGTTTTGTTACGGGGACGTTCAAGAACTGTTCAGGGGACAAAGAAGTCAGAAAAATTTGTGTCATGAATATCGTCAAAACAACATCGATCAAAATGTTTTGATTAAATTGGCTGTTCAGAAATGTTTAATTCTAAACCAATAAAAATTACTCGTCATAACCCTTCCCTCCCTCAAATTACAAAAAAAAAATAAAAAAACCTGATGCCCAGTAGAACCAAAACCGGGTGGATGAGGCATTCTATGTTGTGGTCCCATTTGTTGTTGACCAGCATTCATAAAAGAAGGCATTTGTTGATGTGAAGATGTACTTATCATTTGTCCTCCTTGTATAATATATCCATTATTTGATTCAGACAGAGGTAATCTTTGATGTGGCCCTCCTCCAGGCATAGGTTGGAATTGTTGTTGATGATGATTCCCTCCATCAAAAGAGTTGTGACCAACCATATTTTGATTCAATATCATTGTCCCTGCTCTTCCTTGAGTTGGAGGGGTTGGGGCATTTGACATTACAGCACCTATTGAAGAGGAATAAGATTTAGTGCTTTTCCCTGATCTAAAAATCGACCAGTTCCTTCAACAGAGACACCTTCGGCGCATGCGTCTCAGCGCCGAAAACTCGGCGCTGAGATTTTCAAAAACGAAAATGGCATAACCCTGTTCAGTACAATTTCGTTACTAGACGGTCCCAAAAATTTTGTTAGGGTTCGTCGATTACAAGTTCCATGAACCGTGAGGAAAAGAAAGAGCTGATTAAAAATGAAAAAAATTTTAAAATAAAAACTTGGATGAGGATTTTGTTGACGAACAATGTCTTTCATAATTTGTTGGGGCCCTGACATATTCGGAGGAAATCCTTGTCTAATAGTTTGTTGGGGTAAGGCACCACCATGAGCCAATCTAACAGAATTGGCCCCGTACATGTTTTGTCTTGGATGCCTTCAAAATTTTTAAAAAAATCAAAAAAAAATTTTGAAAAAAAAACTGTGGAAAAGAAGAAAATTGTTGCTGATTGTGAGGTGGAGGAGGACCAGCCATCATTTGTTGTCCTTGTATATAACTTCCTGGAGGCAATGAACTTGAAGGTTGACCGCCAATATTTGGGTCAAACCCTGGTGGCATTGGTTGGCGCATTTGTTGCTGTGCTGCTGAAAGCCGTTGCTGAGCCATACTTATATTTGAGGATTGAGAACCTGGTGCAGACATTGAGGGAGGCATTGGGCTTCTTAAAAAAATTTATTTTGGGTAATTGAAAGTATCCAAACGATCCTATAACTACCAGGATAGTATTATGTGTGTAACCTGAGGGGCTAATAGGGATGTAGTCCTTTGACATTCGGTCGCCTAAATGATAAAAGTGGACAAAAGATACCAAACACCCTTAAACAAAACTCAAACCCTTCCTTACTTGTTTGGGTAATTTCCAGCCGATGAGTAAGACTGCTGCCTAGGACTATTATTTATATTAGAAGAGGCACTAGAAGATTGGTTGTTTAAAAGAAGTTCCAACACAGCACTTTGTTGCTGCGGGACTTGACCTACTGAATTTGGTCCATGTTGACTATTTAGTCGTTGCTGAGGTGGGGGTTGTGAGGAAGGATGGCCAATTGAAGGAGATGCTGTTGTTAGACCGTTTAACATCTTTAAAAAAATTAAAAATCAACGGGGAAAGTGGCAAAAGATTAAATAAGTAGGAGGGAGAGCAGCGCTAGTTGTTCGTTTTTTGGGATTTGGAGCTCGAAAATTTTTTTAGAATTCCCCAACTTTTATTAAGGAAAGGCCTAAGTAAGCATTGTTCTCTTGCTTCTAAAAATCGAGGATGGTAAGTGCTTTAAACTTTTTAGAGATTGAAGGCTCAATTGCCACCTTCAACTTTTCTTCGAGGGCCTCCAACTTTGCTCCATTTCTGGACGCTGTAAAAAAGGGGGAAGCTTAGGGCATAACTCGCACATTAATATCATCGTTTTTGATGGAAACGATGAATAAACTCGACAAAACATTTCCTATTCACCCCCGCTATTCTATCAGAAGGAGAAATTTCTGCTTTGCATTGTTCTGGGGAGACAATTTCAGAATATTACCCCCTCCCCCTATACCCTTTTTCATCCTTAATTTCTCTCTCAAAGCCCTCAGAGAGACTGAGAAATCCCCCACAACTAGAACTGTTGGTTCTTGGAAAATCCTCAGATATCCGGAACCACACCAAAAAATCCTCGGTTCTTCTGCTCCGAACCGACCCCCCCCCCCAACCCCTTCTGGTGATTCCCCCTTAAAATATTTAAAAATGAAATACCGGTCCATTATGAACAGGATTACTTGTAGAACTACACGATGGAGCAGAAGACTGAAGGGAAGATTGTTGTGTTGATTGTTGTTGTTGTGAATCGACAGGATCAAGCTTGTCAAGTTCACTAAACCCATCCAAATCCATTTCATCGTCAAAGCTTGGTTGCGAAGCCATTTTTCTTTTACGTTCAGTAGAATGTTCTTCCATCGTTTTATCTTCACTTGAAGTCATTTTAATGTTTTGATACACAAGTTTACAAAATAAAATATAAGAAAATACTTTTGCAGCGCATGTGCAAAAAGTGGATGATAGGCACTAACACACCTTCAACTCTTTCTTTGTAAAATATTTTTTAACTATGAAAGAAAAGTTGTTATAAAATGTTCATACAATCAAAGAGAACCCACGTCTTAAGTTTTTCTTGAATACAGTAACCGATCGATTTTCAAGAGGTATACGGTAACTGATCGAATTTCGGTACAAACAAAAGGGAAACGTCGAGAAGTCTGCAATCTCTAACTATACCAGAATCAGAAAAACAAAAAAAATTTTCAGAACCCTAAGAAAATCAGACCAAAAAAAAATCTAGGCCAGCAAGACAAGAGAATCTCGAAAAAAATATAACTCCAATGGCGCCCATGCAAAGACTAGAAAGGGAAAATGATTTTTAGTGAGAGAATGCATTGAATATGAAGGATGAGGGAAATAAGAAGAGAGATATATAGTGGGGAGTGTGTGTACACCACGAGAAAAAGAGCTTTCTCTCTCTTTTTATTTTTCTCTGTTGTTTTCGTTAAAATTTTGCACATCAATATAGTGTTACTGTATAGCCGCCTTTTTAAACATTTTTTGAGTGGAACTTTTTTTTAACTCATTAGAATTTTTTTTTAATTTTTTAATGGAGTTTGAAAATTTTTTGAAAAAAATTTTTTTATGAAAATTTGAAAAAAGTTAAAAATTTTCAAAAATTTTTGAGGTTTAAAGTTCAGGTTCAACAAATGGAATTTTTGTCTAAAAAATGAAATTCAACCTTAAAATTCTCAAAATTTTCAAGCGTAAAGGCGAAATATCATATGGACATAGGTCCAACTCGAAGAGTTTCTAGATAGCTATTTAAATTGCCATAAAAAATCAGAAAATAGAAAGTGAAAAAGAGTTTGCACCATAATACAAGTAAATACACCAAAATCTTTATATTACAAATCCACCGATATTCCACTCAAGCTCTTCCAACCCCTCGATTTCACGCAGATTTCTTCGCAGATTCTTCCTTCATTGCCTTTTAGGCAAATTTTTTTAGAATTTTGAATATCCGGATCCGAACCGAAGATTTCCGGATATCCGGATCCGACAACCCTAGTGGTTCCCTTTCCAGCAAACCGAGTTCTCATGATACGGGCCCAGTGGCCACCCTGTTGAATTCTTCCCTTTTTACTCCTAATAAAAAATAAATTTAAGGAAAAAAGTGTTATCGTTTTAATGAACATCTTCAAATATCCTGAACTTAAAAATCCTCCCACCTCATTATAAGATACCCCCAATATAAGATACACCTCTATTTAAGAGACGTTTTATCAAAAGTTATCTGGCCATATGATAGGAGAGTGCTTAAGCGAGGACCCTCTATTCAACATACACCTCACTATATGGTACGATTTTTCAGACTTAAGTGTGTATTTCATAATGAGGTTTTCAAATTTTTTTTAAACAAACAAAAATATTTTAATTTTTTTTTCGGGATTTTCTTCCTTTTTCCTGTAATCTTTCTTCTTTAGATATTTTCTATTTTTATTCCAAGCATTTGCATAAATTTGCCAAGTCTTTAAAAGCAAAAAAAATTAAGATTAAAAATAAATAAATGGAGGAGAGTGTGTATTTATGTATATTTTTTTGGCATTTTGGAAGAAAGAAAGGAATTTTTTAAGAAAATATTCTCCTTATTTAATGCCCCCCCCCTCTTTGGGGCGAAAAATTGACCCTATAAGAGATGTATTTTAAATAAAGGTAATGTAACTGAGAAGATATTTTAGTCATTCTTCCACACCCAATGACCACCCAAAATTTTAAAACGTCTCTTAAATGGAGGTTGTATTTAGTATTGGGGGTATCTTATAATAAGATTCCAAAATACTTTCCCTATTAGATAATCTATTTGAACTAAGTTTTATTAAAATTTGATTGGCAATTGGGTGGGAGAGCTGCTTAAACTTGACTTGTGTACTTTTGTTGGCCACCATCGTTCGTACATATGTAAATCCTTTTTGTTTTTAATAAAATTTAAACCAGATTTGAATAAACAAACATCTTTATATTTGGTTTTATTTTATTAAATTTTTAAGGCTTTTTTAAATTTTCATTTCTTTTATTCGTGTGAGAGAGGGATATACCATCGGGGCTGAAAAATTTTGTATATAAAATCGAGGGGTATCACTCTCGCCAATACCACACAAAAAGTACGCTAAACTGTGTTAGGATTCGATGCTTTATAGTATAAATACATATCAGAATTAAGTCAAGTTTAAAACTTGAATTTAAATCAGAATTATTTTATTTCAGAATTTAAAGTTTAAATTCTGATTTTTATTTCAGAATTTAATCGAAATTTAAGTCAAAGTTGAAAATTGACTGACGCTTACTTGGCCGCGCTCAGTTGACCCCAACCTTTTTGATTATAGAACTTGATCTTTTTTGATAATATATCCCTCCTCCCCTCCCCAATTTTCAATTCTATATTAACAACTTTTTTAATCTTTTTTTTTACTTTAAAAAATGTTTAAATAGTCAATTTAATGTTTCTTCTCTTTTTTCAATTTTACCTCTCGTTTTTAATACTTAAAAAATATTTTTAGCTTTTCCCCTCTTTTCTTCTTCATTTTCTCCCCTTTAGGCTTTTCCCCCCTTTTCGCAACAAATAAAAAAAGAAGATTAAAAAATAATAAAAAAAAACTACTCAAATTTCCCAACAAATTTTTGTGTTCTTCACTCTTTTAAAAATATTTTTTTAATAAAATATATTCTCAAGTATGCCAATCAATCTACCTTTTTTTAAAGAGGGATTTTTAAAAGATTTTTTAATCCTTTTTAAATTCTTTTTTTTTCGCACTCAATTCAATTCATCATAATCCTCTCTTCTTTCAATAACTAGATACCTATGTACATACAACTTGTATTTTAAATCAGAATTATTTAAATATCAGAATTTAAACATAAATTTGAAACCAGAATTATTTTTAAACTTGAATTAAAATCAAAAAAATCAGAATTATGTATATAATGTCAAAATTTAAATCAAAATTATAAGTTTAATTTAAATCAGAATTTATTTCAGAATTATTTTTTTAATCCAATAAAGTATAAATTCTGAAATAATTCTGATTTAAATTAAATTCAAGTTCTAATTCTGATTTAAATTTTTTTTCCTTTTCTTTAAAGTTTCACTCATACATTAACCCTTTAATTACCCTAAAACTTTAATTATATTTTATTTAAAAAATCTAAACTTTTATTTTTAAATTTATTGTTGTTTAAATAATTATTTATTTGTCTGTTTATCTTTTCCTATCTAATTTTAAATAACAATTAAAAACTTTAAGTAATTGGACGTGTTAATGTTTGGGCAGATCTCCCCCTAAATATCAACTTTCATAGAGAGGAATTACCTCAGAGCCATTTATTTATTAAAAACGTTTCTGTGCCTTTAAACTAATTTTATTTTAGAATTTAAACCAAAGTTAGAACTTTAGGCCTGTGTGAACTTTACTTTTTTTTGGTCTTCGCTACACTAGTAACATTTCTACCCTTTTTCCGCGCATCGCTTTCTTCTTTAGTTTTTAATTTAATTCAACATTTACTCTAGCAATTATTTTATTAAGCCAGAATATCCCTGAAAATTTTTTTTCAGCGCCAGAACATCCCCAAAGTACTTTGTTTTAAAGTCCAAATTTCTTCTAAAATTTATGGAAGCCTTTCGCTTCCCTCAAAAAATAAAACAATTGTCAAATAAATACTTTAGAAAATCTTCCAAAAAAATATTTTTTTATTTTATTTATTTATTTCCCTCTACACAAATCACTCTTTTCTCGCTTTTAACATTTTTAACCCCCACAAAGAAAAAATTTTTATTTTTTAAATGACTGCCGGTCCACATTTTTTCTAACAAATAAATATTCTCATTATTTTTTCTAAAATTTTAATCTTTTCTTTTAAATTTTTTTTTTGTTATTTTTAATTGTTTTCGTTCTCTCGTTAATAAAAACATTTTTTTGTTTTAAATTAATTTCTGGTTTTGAATTTTTGTGTAAATGTTTAAATCAGAATTTATTTAATAATTTAAATTTCAGAATTCAAACTTAGATTTTATATTAGAAAAACCAGAATTATATATATTAGAAGAACTATTTCTGAATTAAAAATCAGAATTATTTCAGAATTTAAAATTGGATTTTATATCAGAATTACAAATACAAGTTTCAGTTAAAACTTAGAATTCAAACCAGAATTATTTCTTAATTAAAAATCATCAAAATTAAAATTTAAATTTAAACCGGAATTTATTTACTAGAACAATCCACCCACTAACCCCTCAATTCTTTTAAATTATTATTTTTCAATAATAGTAAAATTTTTTAAATAAAAAAAGTTTAAACAATTATTTAATTGCTTTTATCTTTTTAATTTTTTAAATTTTTATTCTTTGTATTTTTAAACAATAATTTAAAATAAAATATTTAATTGTCCTTTATTCAAATAATAATTTTTTTATTTTTTATTTCATTTAATTCTAAACTAAAATTAATTTTAAAATTTATTTTTCTTTTAATTGTTCTTTAAATACAAAAAATTTTTAATTATTATTTTTCGTCTTTCTTACCTCAATAACATTAATTTATTTTTTTGACTATTTTAAAAATAAAAAATATTCTTTGCCGTTTTTAACTTTTATTTTTTAAATGTCTCTAGGGATTTAAAAATTAAAAAAAATCAATTTAATGCCAATTAAAAAACTCTTAATTTTTACCTTAAGTATACCTTAAATATATTATAGTATAATATAAACTCTTAAGTATACCTCGGCTATACTATACTATACTACAACCAAAAATTTTTTAATATAATTTATTCTCTTAATTAAAAAAAACTCTTAATTTTTGGCTAAAAGACAATAAAAATAACTACTTCCAAGATATTACCACTAATATGTAGTGGTGATCTCTAGGGTTTTATTGAGAAAT